CATATAGACGTAAAACGAATCAATCAATCAATCAATCAATCGGCGGCTATATATATGGCTCGCTAGCAGGCGCTAGGCGCTAAGCGAGAAATAACGAGCGAGACAAATACAAACAACCATTGATAAATAACAAATAAGACAAACCATCAGAAACATAAACAAACAACAATTAGCAAACAACAAACAAAGACAAACCGTCAGCTAGCGCTTGCTGGTAAGAACTGCAAGGAACGCGCTAGAAACCCGTGACAGGCGGTAAACCAACAGACAAGAACCAGCCTCATACGGAAAAGATGAAATGGACAATTTCGGCCGCACAACTCAAAACGGTACTTGAATTCGCTTAACAAACAAAAAGGTTCCAGAGTAGAGACGACATCAACCAGTAAAACCCTATCTTGTTCCTATTCTTCTACCTTTCCTTTGTCCTATCTCTGTTCCCCTTTCTCCTTATACTCTCAGATTGAATCGCCAATGTAAATTCCTAGCGTATTCCTTTGAATAGTCTATAGCCTACATATCGCTCAGGGCGATGGGTCAGGGTAAATAAATACAACTCAACTCAACTCAACTCAATCAATCTTCTCTCTACGCTTAGGCGAGCCTCATCATACCGTTTTACCACTACGCTAGAGTATTAAGATACCGTAATAACTCTAGTTTAGTAGGCAGAGGAGGGAGACGGGCAGCACAAGGAGTATATAGTATTAGCGGAAGGACGAGCTATAAAGATAGTAAAGGACTACGAGGTAGCGGGGCCCCGCAGAATAGCGGGACACGTAGAGGAGGCTATTATAAGATACGCAGAGCGGCCCGTAGCGGAGTATCAAGCATCAGATCGATCGTTTTAACGGTAGCGGTTCAGGTACGAGGCCGAATAAGTAACGAAGGTAGTAGCAGTTTATCTAAAGATAACGAGAGGTTCGGGGCTTCTCCAAAGGACGATATTTAGCGGGGTCTTAGCAGAAAATTAGAACTACGGGTACCCGTAGAGTCTCTAGTCAATCTAGCTACAACCTCCGCAGCTCCCGTAGCCCGCTCTACTAGTCGCTCGTTCGCTCGCTTATTTATACGCGGGCTAGCGCTCGTTCGCGAACCTTCGCCCGCCTCGTCCGCTCGCCCGTAGGCCCTCCCGCGCTCTCCCTCCGCAGTACCCTCCGCGTCCTCCTCCTACTTATCATCTACGTCCTTATCCGCTAAGCCCTCCAGCTCCACAAGCTCTCGCGGAGAGGCATCAACACGTACCTTAGGAGGTACGAGACGTCGTCGTCCTATCCGTATTTCGCAGCCGAAGAGTACTCTAAATAGTAAAGCGCTATATACCCTTCGCTAGTAGCTATTCCGCTATAGTATAATGTCTAGGCAGGCGTAGGCGAACCCGGGATAGCTATATACGATTCGGGCCCTCTTAAGCTTCCTTTTTACATCTCTATTCGCACTCTCAACCCAACCCCCCCCCCCCCTAGCTCTATAGGTAGCGAGGACGCCTATATATAAGGTCGATCCCGTAGTCGTTAAACAGCTATTAAATAATACCACAGAACTCAGTACCGTTATTAGTATATATTTACTTTAGCAAGCCGAATAGTTGTATCCAGCGTAGTAGTCCTACAGCTACTACTCCAGCGCTCTTATCCTTCAGGGGTATCAACATACAGTACTTAGAGTAGTAATCCCTAATATATAGTACGTATTTATCCTGCGTTACTAGCTCGCGGTGGTTCCTATAGTTAATTAGATCTATTTATACTCTCTCAAATACCTCTCTCGAGATAATTAGACGTAGTACCCGCGGAGCAGGCGGAGGCTACCTGGTTACAGTATAGACGCGGTAGAGACGAAGCAGCCACCTTACATCAGCGCTAGTAAGCCCGTAGTACTGCGGTTATAGATCCTTAAACGTAACTTCTTTTACTACAACACTATATCAGCATAAATATCAGTATCAGAACGGCGAACGCACCTAAATAGCCGTAACTAAGATAAACGTCTCGAATGACGTTAAAAACTTCGTACGTCCTTAACACCTTCCTCTCTATAGTTCGTTGTAGGCCTCCTGTAGAGGCCTGATTTGCCACCTTCTCCATAATAGTAGAGATATCTGTTAAAGGTGTTGCGGCGTTTCTCCTCCTCATCACCTACTAGGTATCTCCCAAGGAACCATAAGCTGTATTCATAATATTTACCATCACTAAAGTGATAGCCCTCAGGGGCAGCCTTAATATACGCATTGAACGAAGTTCTTGCGGCATCACTAAATGCTGGCACAGCTCGCTAAAGGTTAAGGGGACGCGGGGGCAGAGGGTCAACACCATCAGCTACGAGAGGACGCTCTATAGTAGCAGGAGCAGGAGCAGGAGCAGTAGCAGGTTCTACTTCATACTCTGCCTCACGCTCTATAGCAGCAGCACGGGCAACAGCACGCTCTGCCTCAGCACGAGCAGCAGCAGCACGAGCAGCAGCAGAGCGCGCGGGGTTAACGGAGGACGAAGAAGATATGATTTGATTAATCTAAATTAGTGCTTAGTAAATTGAACAAGGCGTTGAAGTTCAGTGACCTGCTAGAGCATCCGCAAGCCCGTTTTATAGGCGAAAAACAGCCTCCTACAATGCATAAACGCGTGTTTAGTCTTTTGCTTTTTGTGAAGTCGAACCAGGCATGATATTATATAAATATCGGGCCACCATGCCGTTGCAGTAGCTGCTGCAGGCGCAGGTCGGTGTTGAGCCTTTATATAGAGGCGACAAGGATTGCTTCAGGGGGACGAGTCAGTAGGGACACGTGAATCACGCCACAACACCACATCAGGGCCCTGATATAGCCAATCAAACACGGCCCATTCCGTGCGTGTCTAATTGGCTGAATCAGGGCCCTGATTAGCTGGCGGGCCTGTTTCGTCCAACACCCGTTCTAATATTTACCTAGAGCTACTAAGGAATCCTGCCCTGGGTTCCTTAGGGTATATAGGTTAGAATTCCTAAACCCTTAGTAGCTTTAAAGTAATAGCAAGTAAATAAACCTTATAAAGTTACTAGATATATCGTAGCTGCGAATAAGAAAGGAGATTTTTCTCTAAATTCTCTACTTTAGAAATAGCTATCTACGTACAGAAGCTATACGCAACACCTAGAACCGTCTTTACCATTACCTCTACCGATTTAACATCGACCCATTCTTCCTTTGCATGTAGTCCATGTCCGTAGGGACCGAAAATAACTACAGGTATCTGTTTCCCAGCGAGAAGAGCACAGTCCGTCCAAAAGGGTTCTACACGGAGCGCTGGTGCTTCACCAGTCTGGTACTTTGCATGTTGAGCGACAAGCGAAACGAACGCATGTTCTGGCTGAATCTCAAACGTAGGACGGGAGAACATGACTTCCAGTTTGTACGAGAAGCCGGAAACGCCCTTCGAAATGCGATTCAAAATACACTCGACCTCTTCGCGGACAGACATAGGCGTTTCCCCTGTGACTGTCCGTCTCTCCAGCACGATAGTGCATTGGGCGGGGTAAGAAGACGCCTCTTCGCCTCCCTTAATGAGCGAAGCGTGGACACTGCCCGTTCCCAGTGCTGACTGCTGAGGACTTGCTTGAAGCTCTTGAGCATACTTGTCCAATTCAACCAAGAAATACCCCGCTTTGGAAATAGCGTCAACCCCAAGCCCAGGCTGCGACCCATGGCAAGCGACCCCTATGATGTCAACTTGCAGCCAAACAAAACCTTTGTGGGCGAAGACAATGTCCAGGTTACTAGGCTCGCCCACGATAGCGGCATCAGCCCGCCAACCAGCCTGCAATACTTGCTCGGTGCCGATGCTCAAGTCTTCCTCATCAGCCACGCCAGTGAAGATGACATCGCCCCGAAGCCCAGCGCGCTTCGCTTCCACGAGGATGGCAAGGAATGCAGCTACACTACCCTTCATGTCTGCAGACCCGCGACCGTAAAGTTTACCATCCTTGATGTGTCCGCTCAGAGCATCTCCATCGTAGCCAGCAAGCGTGACAGTGTCAATATGCCCATTGAGCATAAGGCTCTTGCCTCCACCGCTTCCTCTTACCACACCGACCACGGATGGACGGCCGGGAACCTGCTCGATCCAATGGGTTTCAATATCGCGATGTTCCAACCAAGCCGCGATGTATCTTGCAACTGCGGTCTCGCCTGGACCGGGAGTTACTCCGCCGGAAGGGCTTGCAGAATTGATCTGGACAAGTGTCTGAGCGATGGATGCAGCGTCGTCACTGGACACGCTCTTCGGGATATCGTAGGCACGGCTACCCTCGGTGCAGAGCAAGACCACCACCGAGCCTGAGTGAAGCCCGAGAGTTGATTTGTCGGTGGGGCTAAGGCGGCGAAGGGAAGCCAACGATGCTGCGCCACAAGGGCCGGCGGAAACGCCTTTAGAGCCAAGGTAAACCGTCGCAGTGTGAGCTTCGTGGTCAGAAACAGTCGAGCTGGCATCGACTCCAGAAGACAGAATTGGCCAAGCGATGCTGGAGACGGTCCCGCAGTCCATGCCTGCCATGATAGTAGGGATTGTTTGCAAAGGCGTGGCGGTGCCTTTTTCCAGGCTCTTCCAAAGACATGCCGCGGTATCCGGTTCGACTGTGAGGACGGAGGTGGAGCGACCCGGGTTTTTGTAGTGCGACACGACTGCTTGTGCAAAGGAGCCAACACCGACAGGTGTAATAACAAGATCAGGTTGAAGACCGTTCAGTTGGATGTCGATTTCTCGCATCATCGTCGAGTAGCCTTGGACAATCCACTAGATAATGGTTAAATTTAAATATCAAAAGTATTGTAGGGGCCCGGACATACACTGGGGACGTCTTCGTATCCTTCGAACGCCGTGTCTTGTATCATAATGCCTCCGTTTTCTTCACACTGTGCGAAAGCGGTGGTGACAGCGTCATCATAACTGCCAGGGACCACTGTTAGACGGGCGCCCTCGTCAGTAATCAGTCGAATTGTATCAGGATGCATATCCTGAGGGACAAATATTCTGACTGTGAGCCCAAGTAGGCTACCGACTCGAGCGACAGCACGTCCGTGATTGCCTGCCGTGGCAGCGTGCACGGTCGTAGGATCGGCTTTAGCCGCTTCTTTGACTTGGGTGATGCTGCTATCCAAAGGTAGCTTGAGATTCTTTGTGACGGCCCTGAATGCTCCCCAAGAAGCTCCGAGGCTCTTGAAAGACGGCAAACCCAAGCGGTTACTTTCCTCTTTCAGGTAAACAGCGCCCACCCCAAGCTCTCTTGCCACCTCGTGAAGAGATACAAGCCTCGTTGGAGTGTATTCGGGAAGGCTTTGATGGAATGCATCGACAAGGTCAGTGGGCTCTCCGGGTGGTGTGACCCAAGCTCGAGCGGAAGGGTTGAAGTGAAGGGATCGACGAGACGAGGCCATGTTGATGAAAGTTCAAAGGATGTTCACAACAATTGACGACTTGGAAGATGGATGGGATGAGCTTTTGTTCAGGAGGTGGGAGAGAATACTCATCGCGTAACGGCGCCTTCTGACAGAAAAGCATTTCTCATCAGTGCTCCGCCCTTTGACAAGAGCGATTTCGGCGCGGTCGAATAGCCTAATGCGGTTGTTATTAGGCAATTACGAGAGATGATAAACCTTGATTCTTGCAAGCATTATCTTGTGACTTGGGATGGTGGTCGAATCGCCGAATCGGGGAATGTCGCGATGTTGACTTTTAGTCTCTTCGTCCACAGTGGTCGCCGTGGGTTGTGCAAACAGCGCCAGCTGTGTAATTGAGTGCGCGCTGTCGAGCTCGACTCGCGATACAGTCAGCTACAAATTTTCACGTTTGTTGCGGTCAACCGGATTGCTATACCTCTCGTGTGGCCTTTATTCGGCATACAAACGCCGTTATGCCTCTCGTGTGGCCTATTCTCGGCACCACGAACACCACCACCAGGAGAAGCCAAAATCGCCCGACGGCCCCTGAAATTAACTGCGGGTTCGAAGCGTGGCCTTCATCGCAGCATGCGCTGTCATCCCAACGCTAAATGCCGTATGTCTGTCGTCGGCTTTAAATGCCATCCGTCTCTCTTTAGTGACCCTGTGCCTCGGTGTACAAGTGTGTCCACGAAAGCTCGCAACAATTCCATATTCATTGGACTACAGAGCTAACCGCCGCTTAGTCTTGCGAGACAATCCTTTAGAACTGTTACGTACACTCGTAGACGCCAGGATGCCATTTCGTGAACTATTCTGCTAGTACGTCGTCGTGCCGTCCGCGGGAGACTTACCCGTATTCGTGACTGGCGGACCCACTCGGCCGTCGGCCGGAATCCACAGCACCCGGACTGGGGAAATGACGTGGTTTCCCGCTTTGTAATTGATCCTCCACCATCCATCGTGATAAATAGTGGCGACCTCCATGAAACACGGAGACGTCAAGAAATCCCTATTTCTCACCTCTTTTAAGGCGCAACAAAGTGAGTCTTGCATTCCGATCCAAACCCTCAGCCTCTCACGCTCACTCTTACTTAGAGAAGACCGCTAACTATTCAATTTATAGATCGGGTTCTCGCAAAATCCTGTACATACGAAACAGATTTCCAAAAATGGGTACCGTTGAAGAATTCGACGACAGCTATGTCGATGAGCCCGATTACCCGGAAGGAGGCTTTCGAGCGTGGCTTGTCGTTTTTGGTGCTTGGTGTGCCATGATTCCTTCTATGGGTATGCTTAACACAATTGGGGTCCTTCAAGCATGGGTTGAAGAAAATCAGCTTGAAAACTACTCAGAGTCTACCGTTGGTTGGATCTGTAGTGTCTACGCCTTTTTCTTGTATATTGGCGGAGCGCAAGTCGGTAAGAAACCTTTCTTTGTCACCTTTCTGTCACCTTTCTTTGTCACTGTGCTCGGAAAAGACTCTCTGCTAAAACATTCTTTCTCATAGGGTCTGTTTTCGATAAGTACGGAATAAAACCACTTGTTATTCCCGGCTCCATCGGAATTGTCGCATCGATTATGTGCTTAAGCGTAAGCCAAGGTATGTTGTTGACTCAAACTTGTCCGCTCATAACTTCCAAATACCGAGATCCTAACTGTATTCCTTGTTAGAGTATTACCAGTTTCTTCTCTCCTTTGGCGTACTAGGCGGCATCTCAGCTTGCCTATTGTTTACACCGAGCGTTTCCACTGTCGGACATTGGTTCTGCAAGCGCAGAGCTCTAGCAACAGGAATTGCATGCACGGCTGGCGGTATGGGCGGTATCTTCTTTCCGATAATCATACTCTACCTTGCGCCCCGCATCGGCTTCCCTTGGGCGATACGGGTCATTGGCTTCATCAGCGCTGGTATGTGCCTCATCGCGTGCCTTTTGCTCAAGACGCGCATCCCATCGAACAAGAAAGCCGGAGCGGCAATCGATCTAAAGGCACTACGCGATCCTCCGTACGCCGCTACAACGGTGGCAGTCTTCCTCATCGAGTTTGCCGTATTTATTCCACTCACATACATTTCCTCCTATGCGATCCACATGGGAGTCGAGCCGCAACGTTCATACCGCCTCATCACCTTGCTGAACGTCGGATCTGTCCCTGGCCGGGCATTGCCAGGCTACGTAGCCGATCGCTTCGGTCGCTTCAACGTCATGATCACGACCGCACTATTCTGCTGTATTTTCATATTCGGACTCTGGCTTACTTGCAACAATGAGGGCGCCGTCACATCCTTCGCAGTGCTCTTCGGCTTCTGGAGTGGTGCGGCTATCAGCCTAACTCCGGTCTGTATCGCGCAGGTCTGTCGCATCGAAGATTACGGGAAAAGGAATGGCACGACATTTTCTATAGCAAGTTTTGCTGCCTTGGTTGGAGTTCCAATTGCTGGTGCTATTTTGGGCGCTGATGGAGCCAATTACACTGGGCTTATAATTTTTGGTGGTGTATTATACGCTGCTGCATTTTTGGCATTCCTTACTGCAAGAGTAATCGCAGGGCCGCGAGAGCTGAAAGCGATTTACTAGAGAACACGTACCGTAGAGGCACTGGGTTAACTGTAACAAAGAACAAGCGACTCATCAATGACTCTCATGCTGCATACTTAATCAAGGTTGTAGTATATAGCTACGGCTATTGCTAGGTACCTTCTGTGGGTTTGCGTAGGGAAATGTTGGAAAAAACAGACGATTACACAAAGAAACAGTCGTTCGTCCGTATGCTGTAATGACCGTAGCATCTTGGATCCCACCGTATCAAATCTCCAATAACCTATATCCACGATTCCCAAGTCAACTTGAACAGTTTAGTCCTGCCCCTTAGGTACAGAATCCAGCGTGTTGGGCGATAACCTGCGCTTGAGGAACGCACGATATGCAAGGACAAACCTTCTCACGGTTAGAAAATCTAAAAACAGCAAGAAAGAACTCGAGGTTATACGAACAGTGCCAGAACCACCAACAGCGCACTCAGCCGCACCTTCCGTATCACCTCCGTTAAGGGCATTGACGACGCATGGAATAGTACCAATAACGCCGAGACATTGCAGGAGGTTACACTGGATCTCTGCCTGCCTCGGAACTAATAGCCAACATGGATAAGCTCCTGAATTACTCTTAAGGAAACAGGAATGGAGCAAGACGTACTAATCTCGGCTTTGTGGCCGGCGCTGTTAGGAGCGGCAATTGCAGAGGCAGCGAAAAAGGCAGCCATGAGGGGACCGGTAATGGTAGAGAACATCATTTTGGCGGATTGGATGGCGGGGAAGTAGATCTTTGTCAATAGATGTACTGCTTTTGACTCGGCGAATGGTTACTTGTGAAAGAACTGGGGAAGAGCAAATCCTGCTGGTTTATATAGATATCAAATTGAGCTGTCATCGTCGATGACCCTCCTACAGTTCTCATGGCGTTCTTGCATGCTATCCTCTTCGGGGAAGATGTTCACTAATGGCGCATCTGGGCTGAGGAGCATGGATCTTGAGGTAATACATAGCCGTCACGCTTTGTGCTGAGGAACTTGTGTTTATTCATTATAAGCTGACCGCGACTGGTTTCTTCGAAGTGCCACATGATCTCTAGCAGTAGTCAGAAAGGATAAAATCTGCGCTAGATAGTAGGTGCTCCAGTTTTGTTTGACTGGTGCAATCCAAACAATAAATCGGTACATGCAGAATAATATACTTATATCTTCGGGGCCCATTCTACAAAATAGCCAAATAAAGGCTTAAACATGTAACAGAATGTTGTAGTTGCCTATTTCTATGCTCAGGGTAATGTTTACCGCCAAGTTCTGTGATGCCAAATTCTGTGAAGTGGAATGGCACGAAAACTGGTAAGGATAGTGATTGGTAGCGTTCCAACGCTGCCAAAGTCAATCTGCATTGGCGTAGTAAACAAAAGCAAAAGAAAATCTCTAGCTCTTCAAACTAGTAAATATCACACGCCACCGTCTTTTCAGGCAGATATATTCTAAACTTATCTTTAAATTGGGGAGCCTTTAGAGTGTATAGCTCGCTAGTTAATCATTAACGACCTAATCAATTGGTGTGGATTCTAAAACTGTACTTTTTCCGGCTGGATAGTATATAGTCTTTGATCCTCACATTTGAATTATATTAGCAGAGGAAAATCGATGGGGGGTCGATCTAGATTCGGTTTGCAGCACTTTCTGAATCTTTATGACGTGAGGTAAAGCCCCTACAGCCACATTTGCCGTTAGGAGACAAGTCAATGTCTAAAATAATCCAAAATCTCGCCGAAAGACATTTACCTACGTAAGATATTGGTGCTTTGCACCAGCTGAGCCTAACTACTGCATATACCTTGCTTCTTTTCGGTTCTCTCGGAACCTCTGCTTGCCTCAAGTCAATCTCGTAAAGAATTCTCAGGTAATTATCTTCCAGCAACCAACTTGTAGAATCATAATCGCTGTAAGGAAAGCATTTCAATTCACGTATATGTTCTACTGGCACACTAAACATGCATCGTTTACTGACCTGAGAACTATATCTATAGGAAAGAAAACCGAAGAGTTCGAGAGGGGAGCACATGCTACTAATTCCTTCGTGTTTTAAGCGCAAAAGTAACAGCTATGAGCAAGGCTAAGTGAGACAAAATGCCCTTAGGGAACTCCTCGACTTCTCAATGTTCTCAATGTGCCGCTAAGCCCGTAGTGTGCATCAAGAAAAACATTTTGCAAAATCATATGTTTCATGCACTCTATGGTTGCCCAGTACCCACTTAACCGATCGTGTGGTTCCATGCGAATACGGATGGCGCAATATCACATGCCACATCGGCTTGATCGGAAACCTACAAATCACTGAATGACAGATCCATGCGTTTCTCCCCGCATTCTTACTTGGCAATCAGATCTTTATGAAGTACACCGTTATTCACAAGTCGTTGTTAATCAGGGACAACTGAAATGAACAGGCACTGTGAGCATACTCTTCACTTATTAGTCTAACAAGTATAAACTGGTTAGATTTGAAGTAGAAGCTCCGCCTTTCTTCTGTGTACTACTGCACAGTGATACCTCCAGGTCATGTCACCAAACCTCCCGCGACCCGATGTGGAGAAGCAACATGGGGGTCCATCTCAACGAAGCCTGTTTATATTTGTATTTATATTTTTTGAAAGCAAGAACCCTGCACGAATATCAAACAGCATGTACTATCACTGACACGAGAAGAAATTCGTAACTGGCTGTAATTAGTGAGTGCCATGATAACTTGCCTATCCCATGCTGCATACTGAATTTGAAATTCGTTCTTAGATCCAGTCGAACAAAAGCTTTACGTCGACAAAATAAAAACAGTTGCTCAAGTACTAATCGGTATGTCTGACTACGCAAGGTGTAAGTCCAGCATTAAACTTGATATGTGCTGTGTTGAATATGTAGTCCTGCTATTTCCATCTCAATATCGAGGAAGTAGCACAGCCGCGGACGTAGTTTCACTCCGGAATGAAGAGCCGGGCTGACGAAACCCATTGATTGCTTTGCCTAAGGAACTAGCCGACGACCGTTAGTCTAGAGAAGAAGAAGATAGCCAAAGCTAATGTTGCACGATGCTCTCCAGATTGGGAATGCCGTAGCGAAATTTGTGACAAAATTGGTAACGCGGAAAGTCGTGGTTGGGAGAACCCAGTACAAAGTCATGTGGAGTCAAATAGGCAAATGCAGGCTACGATACACATGTCGCCGAAGTTCTTAGTTCGGTGGGTGAATCCAATTAGAGACCATGTTCGGCGTTTAGGGGATAATAAATGGTTGCCATCCGGAGTTCTCCACATTTTAGAAGCGGGAAGGCGTTTCGGTAAGCCCTCTAAGATCTTACAACCTACAGCTAGAGTTACAACTTGCGAGTGGCTGTTTTATCTTATTCCTCGACAAAAAAGTCTTTGCGAAGTTTATTCATATTTCAGCTGACAAGTTTATTAGGCGGAAACTGTCGCGGGGGACAGGTAGGTAGACTTCACCGGACGCGGCTCGGGTGTTGGTGGCACAGCGCCAGAACTCTAAAAGGAAAGATTATGTAGCCAAAGGCAGCCTGAAGACACATGCACCCACCTCCTCCCGATATTTCTTGCAGGCACAATCTATTTGACACTTTCCTGCATTAGCTCCGCTGAATTAAAAGACTAGGCAGGCCCAGAACACGTTGCCGGTCAGCTCGGGTAAGCTGAAGGTCGCGTGAACCTGGCTCGCGGGCGAAACCATGTCATCCGAATTTCTTTTTGCCTCGCTAAAATCAGATACGAGTGCGGTTCGGCGTTCGTTCCTCAAAGCCATCGTCCTAATCCTCTTTGGCTCGGTATGTTACACCTCGGAAACAAGCTTATTATATCATCAGTTGTTGATCAGTGCTTTGGATCATATTAGGTTCGCTCTCAGTGCCTACGAATTACTTGAGAGCAAGTACAGATATTGCCAGCCAATATATTTTGACTTTTATCTTCTCACGTCTTTAATCTTGGTTTAAGTCCATATCGTCGACATCGGTCATGGTACGCAAATAAAGATGGCGGGAATAGTGGCTGGTAGCGCCATGTGTGACTTTGATGCTGTATGTGGAAGGTCGTTAGGCTGGCTGCAGGACATGTTCACCCTGCATCTGGGGCTGAGAGCCTCTCCAGCCAGTGTTGTTGATTGCGTGAATGCCTTGACGTTGTGGCGCTTCACCCCGCAAAAAATTAATTAACTCTACGATAACGTCCCCGGGATCTCCAAAGCCGTAAGCGAATACCCCGCACACGATCGGGTCCGCTTAGATCTTATTGACTTTCACAATGTCTAAAATCACAATTTAATACCACCTTCTGCTTCGGAACCGCAGACATTGAGGCCGCTGGCTGTAACGTGCAGAAGCTTTATCCATGCAGCACTGGTCGGTCGCCTGATCCACTCCGTGTTGCTCACCGATTGCACTCCATCCTCTATGTGCTTTCTCAAGCTTGTCTCCAACTTCTGTCCGATGAGCAAGGCGTCCTCCCTTGTCACAGATGCCGTTTTCGGGTCGGGCGCCTCTTTCCCGTTCTTCAAGAAGCTCACGCATTCGGCAACATTTTTACGAAGTTCCGGGTTGCTTTGAAGCAGGAATACATACATATCATGGTATGGGAGCTTCTATTCTGGCATAATGTCGATGCCGCTATCTTCATTACTTTCTCAGAATGGTACGTCGAGTTCCGCCAGCGGGCCTTCAAATCGAGCACACCAGTCCATAAATCGTCCTTCTGTGTAAACTGATAGATACGGTTTTGTAGCAATGTGGAATTGCAATCAAAGTATATATGGCAGGCGTGGAGACGGCTATAAGCAGATTATCTCATGCTTGTCGTCCTACAGAACTATTATCTAACTTCGGTGTTCCATTTCGGCGCCTTCCGAAGACCGGATCCCTTGGATGTCTCACCATTGCTTTTCTTTCTTTGTATTTCATTACCTCCTTCCAGCCTCGGAATAGCTTCTGTCTGCCTCTCTGGAAACTTGCGCATGGTTTTAGTCCATCGTATTTTGGCGACTCTAAAATTAGTTCCAGCACGTTATTCGCGATTATCAGCGTACTGGAACAAGGTTTTCGAAGCCAGCTCTCATATTCTATCTCTCATATTGGCGCTTGGCAAATAATTTGGTCACACAGAAAAGTGCTTGGCCTTCTGCGCCGCGGGCGAGGAAAATGCATGGAGGTTCCACACAGCCATATTCTCGCGGGCCATGACGACAGAGCTGCGAGGGCAGAACAGCGCGGTTTGCGCCGCATAAGATGAGTTTCTTGCCCAGAAGATGCCTTCAGTTATTACAAAAAACCCTGGATTTGAAAATCCTCGTCCGAGGCCATCGTAGATTTTTAGTAAGTATTGCGGACTTCAGCCCTCTTGATATTTCCTCACTCATCACAATTATCTTAAAATTAAAGTTCACCTACAGACCGCTTAATAGGTCTGCTGGAGAAAGCCTTTGACTCTGAGCATCATCTTTTTAAATTGATGAACTGCTACTACGAAGGAGAAGAATCGGAGTGCTCTATAAGTCACTGTTGCTGCATAGTATAAGTTCATTCGGCATGCCAACAATCCGTAGTCGTAATCATAGCGTTTCAACTCGTCCAGTATCTGAAAAGCATCATGCATGAACAAAGTGGAGATCAAAAAACCCTTGCATACTTTGGCGGAGCTAAGTTGCGGATAGCTTCCCAACAGAAATGGTGGAATGTACCAGCCCGCGTAAAGCTTCCTTGGATTTCCGCGCGACATTTCCCGAGCATACGCAAACCGCATCATTTTCTAGATCCCACTGACTTGCTCATTCACTAAATAGGCACTGCTATTACACTAATTGCAAGAACAGTTGTCGAAATCGCAACAATGTTTCTGTTAGATTCAAAAGGGTCAGGATTTACCAAGGATCGAAGGAGAAGAGTCCGTAAGAATTGGATAGGTCACGATGGGACAGTTTGATTAAACTCCCCCAATCCACGTGGTTACTATTATCGAGGCATGACTGCCCCAAAGTATGTGGGCCGATATCCGACTAGGCAGCACGGTAAAGCACCATGTGCCTGTCCTATTGGTTGACCCGATGGACAAGATTAGAGATGCACCTCCCCTCGAGCTGTCCGCCGCAGTGATGTTTAAACGGCACTCTCTCTCGACCTCTTAGGTCTTATAAATGCCCGTCCAGCAGAACCAGGAATGTAAGACAAAGTCCTTCGAAGTATACATGCACCTTGCTGACATCTAGGTATATAAACACTCCGTCCCGTCTCTTCAGATTGCATTCCTCACTTACCAAGTCACCACACTGCCAGTCCAGTTCCGCGGCGCCCGGTAGGCTGTACCAGGCATGGCTCCTACCTACACTCTCCTCGGGCTGTTTCACCTGCTGTTGACCAGCTGCGAGGCATTCAGCCCATCCGCATCACCACCAAGTCTCGAAGACTTCGAGATCGGTACCCCTGAGCTCCAAAACTACTTCCGCCCACTGCAAGTCATCACCGGCGACGTGGAGCAAGACATCAAGCAGCCGGACTCGTACACCGTCTACGCCACCACGCTCAACAATAGCCAGCCGACCTACACGGTAAAGACCAACTGCGAAGACTGCGAGCCCAAGATCTCAAAATCGCTGCTGGACTTCCTGGTCGCGCAGTTCGACAAGCCCGACACTCCCGGCCCGGCGCCCGTCGACGCCGTCCCCGACATCCAGTCCGTCATCAACAGGGACAGCCGCAGCTCGTACTCCAGCGCCAAGTCGCAGGCCGACAGACTCCACGTGCACATCTCCACCAATGCAGCCGGGAACGCGTCGTCGTAAGCTCCCATATACAACACCCTTCCCACCCTTTCCTCCTCTTTCCATCCCTTAAACCCAGGTCCAACAACCCAACACACTAACCGCCCACAAGTGCAGCCACCGGCACCGGCACAGGCACCGACCCCAACGGCGCCTACGTCCCCTACTCGGGATCGGCGCAAAACGGACTCGCGCACAGCAAAGCCAGCGCGCAGCGCCACCAGGAGCAAGCGCAGAGCCTGATCAACAATGCGGCCGGGATACTCGGCTACGTCGTCGCGGGCATCGACTTACCCGGCAGCCTGGCTCCCTTGAGCACCGAGGCCAAGGCATCTTACCTGAGCGAGGGAAAGGCCGCCGGCGCTGTGGCGTGCGCATCCATTGCGCGGGGCGCTGCGGCCGAGGCGCGGAGCTCGGCCATCTATGTCTTCGAAAATAGTACTTCTGTCCGGGACAAGACTGACATGCAGAGCTTTGCTTACACATCTTGCGAGTCGGGTTTTCAGCCGCCCAAGCTCAGAGGCCGTGCAAACATAGATGTTAATGCTGGGCTTCAAAAACTCAGCAATGATGAACGCGGTGTTTCCTTCGGCGTTGTGAGGCCCTCCGGGGCTTATGTTGAGGCGCACTGTGGCGGGATCAAGAGTATGGATGTGGACCAAAGGCTCCATTACAAGTTCATTATCAACGGAGCGTTTGTTCGCGGGGACGGATTTCAAGGAACAATTCACGGCGAGAAGCTTGACTTGTTTAGGGCGCACTGCTTGTAGTCCTTGAAGGTTCGTCATTCAGTTACACGCTAAGATGTGGTTGTTCAATCATAGCACCAAAATCAATCTACTTGCCGTTTTTGACGACTGCGACCTGGCTCCTCACTGGTACGTTTTCTTCGCGACCAGGCTCGGGGAAACCTTGTACATCAACGCCCTTCCGGAACATGAGACAGTGAGTGGACCCTCCAAAATGGAACATCCCTATCTCATCGCCTTTCTTGACATGCTGGCCTTCCTTGACTGTGATCTCGCAGGTGGAAACTTCTGCCATACCGACTCCGAGGAATGCCATAAGTCCGATTGCCGGATTGTCGGCCTCAATGAAAATAATGGCGCGCGTCGCGGTGGCAGTAAGGTAACCTTGACAGGTGGTTTCTCCTCCCATATCGATCTTGTCGCCGGATTTGTTTGCCGGATCCCCAATGCCCTCAAACAGAGGTTCTGAGTAGTATGTGCCATCCTTGACGTAGGCTTTAGTGATCTTACCACTGACCGGTGCATGCCAGCGATGGTAGCTCAGTGCGGACAGGAAGGCTTGGTAGACAGTGCAACCATCAAACTTTAGTGCCAACTTGTCGTGAGCAAGCATGTCCAGGACAGAATATGGCTGGCCCTTGATCCAAAACTTGTCGCGCAACTTGCAGTTGTACTGACAGTCGTAAGGCTTAGACTCACAAGAGTTAGCAATGACGTTGTCGTCGTCCGGAGAAGCAACAGGTCGGACGCCTTCCTTGAATGTTCTTGTGAAAAAATTGTCCCAAGACTTGAAGCCATGGTAGGGCTTAGAAGGATCGCAATCGAATATGTCTTCAAAGTTGTGTGACTGGCTAGCCGCCTTGTTGGACACAGCGGTTAGGTCAGATTTTCCAGTGGTGCTGAACCAACCGCTCGAGCTCTCGTTTAAGGCCTGCTTAGCTGAATTCTCGGACTGCAGAAATTCTCCCCAGGCATTGAGTACTTTTTTCAACATGGCATTGACGTCGGGATCCATAAAGAGAGCGAAGCCGCTCGGCGTTCCCATGGGCCAGTCCAGGACTGCGTTGATAGGTAGGCCGACCATGCCCACTTTTTCCGACTTGTCATTCCAGTGGGGAGCAGTGGTCATCAGATGATTGAGAAGCTGGAGCATGTGAGGGTAGTCACGAATTTGCTTGGCGCCAGTTGGGTCCCGGGCATATGGTTTCTTGGTCGGGATCTGCTCAAACATGGATGACACTAGGCAGTAGACGCGGGAGTTGTTCTCAATCAAGTCCTGGAACTCCTTCAGGACAGGGTGCAAGTCTTTTGGGTTGCTGTCGACATGATCGATAATGCCACTCAGCCACTCTTTGTGCACCCGATGGTCGCCTGGCAGCCAATCACCGACCCTTGAAATGCATGTCAGATTTGGGTAGACGGCGGGAGTGGAAGAGGTGAAGCGAGCTTACCTGTGGAGGCGGTGCTCATGCGGAATGTCTTCCTCGCGCTTTCCATGCATGATTTGGAGAAAACGTGTCTACCCGGGTGTTGCTGTGACACAGTGAGGCTGAAGTAGATAGACGGATGGAAGGATTGCAGGTAGGTCTTACATGGCGCAGTAGTACCCGGCTCGGCGTGGGGTAAATGAAGGATGCGGTTGGTGACATGCCGGTTACGTCATAGTCTTGCCCACCTACCGTGCTTGGCAGCCACCGACGACGAATCTTCTCATCGCCGCTTGCAACCGGTAATGGGCACCGTCTGTCTACGTGTACTCGTAGACCTAGCCTTCCAGTATGACACTATGCTGTCGACATCACCTAACCTTTACCATTGCCGGGGGGATTTCCTTGACACCACGAAATCATCGTCCGGAGCCTCAATCCAACAAGACAACCAGAAAAACGCCACAATCTCCATACGCGCATCCCCAGGGGTTCGGTCGGTCCACGTTACTCGTAGCCGGTGCGGGGTCCGACATTGCGACAAGCCCATGCCGATCCTTCGCAAGTCGTACGCCGGAGCGATGCTTTTGAAGTACAGATAGAATTACAAGGCGTACAGCTAATGACACAAGACTACAGAATACAAGTATAATGAGATAGAGATACAGGATACAGAAATCCAGACAGAATACAACCCAACAAGATATTACAGCCCATCGTACAGCCCAACTCAAGACACAGGTACAGCAAACACGCAAACCAAAAAGCACGCGCAACACAATGACGAAGCACCCAACTCCTGGCCGATCCTGATGACCCACAGCCATACTATCCAACGAAAACATGAAACAAGCGCCACAAACCTCCAAAGCGCAAGGGAAGACAGAACAAGACTTATTCAATGGCCATTGACCAGGCGACCGTTAGGTACCGTGCCGTTGACGCCATTGGCTCTTTCCTTGCTGACCTCGAGGGCGAGGTCGCCAAAGGACATCTGGCGGTTGAGCTGCAGCCAGCGGAGCAGGTGCTCTGGCTTCTTCTTCTGCTGAACGTCGACAAACTCCCAGGTGCTCGGGGGCACGAAGAGACCGACCGTGTCGTGCGCGGGCGGAGCCTTGGTGCTCCACTTGTCGGAGGCATCCATGTTGGCCCATTGAGGCTCGTCGGAGAACTCCTCGATGACGTGCGCGATGAGATCCGTGTGGTTCTCAATCTCGTCGTCAAGCCAGCCGCCCTGGCGCCCGTAGATGCGCCTCATCAGCTCGACCTGGTGGAGGACTAGCTGGCTCGCAAGGTCCTCGGGCATCTGCTCGTCGGTCTCGTCAGACATCTCGGTGCGCACGATCTCCTCGTGGAGGTCCATGGCATCGTCGAGACGGTTGACGGTGACGTAGAGCGAGGAGAGAAGGTTGGTCATCTCAATAGTGACCTGGTCCAACAGACCCCAAGTGCGGCGCAAGTTGTAGCACATGCTCTCGCACAGGGAAATGGCAGCCCACTGCTTGTTGCGGCAGAACAGAACCTCCACGAGACGTCTGCCCACGGCAATGACGGTGGTCGCAGACCAAGAGGCTTGCACCAGACGGGAGTTCCAGAGCTGGGTGAGAAGCCACTGTAAAAAAACGTATTAGTATGATGGTTCAGAGGGGTTGGAATTGGGGCAAGCTCACCTCGAGATCGATGTAGTTCTTCTGCTCGCCCATCAGGCGAACAAGGTTGTTGAGCTCACTGGCCTGGAGCTGCACGAGGTCAATGTTCTGACTCTTGCAGGCAGCCAGCGTCTCGCGCAGGACAGTCGTCGACAGCTCGACCATCCTGGCCTGCAGCTTGAAGTCATTCGTCTTCGGCACTCCGAGACCGGCAAGGTACAGAGACAGCTTGAAGCTACTGGCAATGTTCTTGGGGTCCTTGAAGCCTCCACGCGAAGAAACAAACTGGTACAAGCACAGAGCAATCTCGTACGCTTGCACGAACTGCTCGCGCTCCAGCAGGGCGCGAACCTTGCTGGTGCCGGCGATGCATGCAACAACCGTCAGATCCTCGTGGTGGCTGTACCTGCTCAGCTCCTCCAGCACAGTGATCAAGAAAGCACGAGTGGCCTCGGGGCTAGTCTTGATGTTGGCGCCGGCTTGCTCGATGAAGAGGCCGTACAAGGCGTTCTCAACGGCAACGCACTGCTCAGCGCTTTGCTCCTTGCCCTTGAGGAAGGTGTAGAGACGAGCACCGTCGAACAGCTTGATTTCTGGGCTGATGTTCTTCTGGTTGAAGGACAGCTGGTACCGGTCATGCAAGATGCTCTCAGTGAGCAAGTCGGTCATGACGTCGGAGAAGCCTCCCTTGTTCTCCTCATCACGAAGCGTACCCTCAAAGGCAGCGACGAAGACGAGCGAGCGGCGGTCAACAGAGTCGGGAAGGGGGACGTTGTACTTGTGAGTAGCGCGGGTCTCCTTGGCGATAATCTGGCGGCGCAGCTCGCGCAACAAGGCCCATCCCTGCTCGGTGTACTTACAGGCGTTAAACGTCTTGGCGAGCGCAACAGCGGAGTCGAATAGCTTGGTGGAGTCCTTCTCAGTGGTGAGCACCTCGACCGTGGCGGACTGGAGCTGCTTGTTGGCGGCAGAGTGCAGTTCGGGCTTGTCAGACTTGCTGTACGCAGCAGCCAGCGCGGCCAGGGTAGCCAGAGTGACCTTGCCCGAAGGACCGTGCTGCTTCTTGTGCGCCTCGAACTGCTCCTTCCACAGCGTGACGGCCTTGTCAGTAGACTCGGGGGTAGTTTTAGCCTGGGCGGAGTAGAGCGCGGCAAGGTGGCGCTTGGCAGTCGCAATAATGGTGAGCTGGCTCGCCGACCTAGCCTTTTCAGGAGTCTCGTTGACTTTGGCAACCACGGTCTCGCAGATCTTGAGGGCCTCCTCGTGGTGCTCGGGGCTATTGCGGTAGACCTCCGCAAGCTGCAAGTTGGCGTGGATGGTGATGACGTGGTCGGGTCCATAGACCTCGTGGCAAGTGTCGCGGTACTCGATAGCGAGACGGCGAGTCTCCTCGCTGTCGACCTTGAGATGGGTGTCCAGGATGGTGACATAGCGCCTGTAGAGGACCTGAGCAGTCTCAGGGGTGATACCGTACTCCTTACCGTGCTTGGTGAACGTGGCCCAGAGGGAGGCATACACGACGCGAGCCTCCTGCCAGCGCTTCTGCTCATAGTAGATCTTGGAAAGCTTGAGCGAGGCAGGCAGGGACTCCTTGCTGAGCACGCCGGTGTTGTCCTTGAGGGCCTTGACCACCTCGAAGTAGTAACGGTCAGCTCCCTTGATGTGGTACTTGAGGCAAAGGTCACCCATGGTGTAGAGCGTCTTGATGGTCAGCGGGTTCCTAGATCCCAAAGCAGTGCGGTAGCTCTCAAGCAGCAGCTCGTGGATTTGGAGAATCTTGATGTACTGCTTGGTGCGCTCGTAGAAGGCGATCAAGTCGTTCGAAGTTTCGACGACAAGCTCATCCTGGATGCTGAGGCTGGAGCGGGCAGAGTGGAACAGGAAGGCATAGATCTTCTCCGCCTGCTCCGTCTGGTTGCTCTCAGTGTGGCACAGAGCGAGGCGGCGAGCAAGCTTGATGGCCTCGGCAGTGTAGGACTTGGGGAAGCCATACTTGCCCTCGATACCGAGGTTGGGCCAGAGCTTCAGGAGCGTCTTGTGCAGAACGTTGACCGCATCAGTCCAGCGGCCCTTGCTCATGTAGAACAGCGAAAGCTTCTCGCAGGTCTCCAGAGCAGTCTCCTTGCTCTCAGCAACCTCGCCGGGCTTGGGCGCCGCCGGAACCGTGTGAGCCGCGATAGCAGCTTCGACGACCTCGTCCATGATGCCATCGGCTTCTTCGTCTCCCTCATCATCGCTGATATCGATGTCGTCCTCGATGACGTCAGGACCAGCAACCGCGCGGGCCGCCTCCTTCTTCGCCTTCATGGACTCGGCCTTGCGCTGCACGGTATCAGCCAGAGCAACAGCAGTGGCAACAGCCTCAGCAGAGGTCTGCTTGCCGTTGCTCTTGAAGTGACCCCAGATGTTCTTGAAGACGCTGATGGCAGTCTCGAGGATACCCATAGCCGAAAGCTCCTCACCGACGTGCTTGAGTTGCTTAACAAGGCCGTCGCTCTTGTTGTCACGGTGCTGGTAGTCGAGCCAGACGCCGTGGAGGATGTTCTCAGCCTCAGCCTGGCGGTTGTGCCTCTTGAGGAAGTTCGCATACGCAAGACTGATCTGGACCTTGCGCTCGTGAGCATCCGCGGCAGCAGCGTGAGTACGGCAGTGATCGCTAAGGCCACGCCAGAGAGCAATGTAAAGCTCCTCGGCACGGACCAGATCCTGCTTCTCCTCGTAGGTCTCGGCCATGCGGAGAGTGATCTCAACACGGCGAATGTCGAAGATCTCCAGGTTCCTCTCAGCAGTCTCGAAGATAGGCTGAGTGTACTGAACAATATCCTCATGCCTGTCCTCCTTGACGAGAACGGTCCTGAGCTTAGCAGACGCGGTGTTAGCCTCGCGCGAGAATTCACCGTGCTGCTTGACGGTAGTCTGGTACATCTCGCGGTAGATGTCCTCAGCCTTCTCATTCTCCTGGATGTCCGTGTACAGCTGAGCAAGCTTAGTCTTGTACTTGGCAGCCAAGTCGCTGGCGGCACCCTGCTGCTGCTTGCCAGTGTCCACAATGTACCTGAGCATTTCCTCGCGGCGAGCGACGTCCTCAGTACGGGTCTTCTGCTCGATGCCCTCAGTGCAGTTCACCGAAGCAGCAGCGCAAGCGACCGCGAGGTCGTTGGACTTGCCGAGAACACTCTGGCCCAGCTTGGCAGCCTGGTGGTAGTACTTGCTGGCCTCGATAGGGCTCTTGCGCTTCTCGCACGACTGAGCAACGTTGATGGCGTTCTGCATGACAGCGCGGTTGTTCTCGCCAAGAGCGTTCTGACGGATGCGGAGAGCCAGGACGTGGAGATCGTTAACCTTGCTGGTCAGAGCCTGCTTATCCCAGCAGTTCTTCTCCAGGAGAGGAAGAACGGTGGAGTTGGGGAAGACGCTCTTCAGCTCAGGAGTAGCAGGCTGCGGCTGGCCTTCGGCAAAGAAGGGGGAAAGCTTGAAGTGCTTGACCCAGTTGCGAGCAGAGTACTCCAGCAGGGGGTTGGACTGGAAGAGGGAGGCAACTTCCTTGCGCGGCAGCTTGTCCAGGGAGGGCTCGGTGTTGCGCGTAACACAAACCTTGTTGTACAACAAAAGCCTGGTGGTGAGGTCGCGGTGGGCCTCGGCCGGGCTGAGCAGCTGCTTGCCTTCCTTGCTGAGGTTCAGCAAGTGCTGGCGCACAGACTCATTGCGGAAACGGACAGTCTTGTCCTGCACGGTGACCAGGGGGCCGCAAGAGCGCTGAATATCCTCGACGATATTCGTAGGCCTTGGCTGGTGAGTGCCCTTCTGGATGTTGAGCTCCAGCAGGGTCTGCACCTCGGCAGTGGTCAGCGGCCTGTCGGCAACCAGAAGCCAACCGAGCATAAGGCGGGCATCGCCCTTGAGAGAAAGCGTGCTGATGTGCTTGTCGAGAACCTCCGCAAGAGTGGAAGGAACTTGCTTGGCAGCGTTGAGCATGTCAGGCACGCTCGCCTCCTTCTGCATCAGCTGCAGAGTCATGTCGGTCCAGGTCAAGGAACCCTTGCTGCGCTGAGCAACTTCCTCAACCACCTCATCGATCTCATGCGGGTTGGTGAAGCCCCGAGTCTGGAGGAATGCGCGAGTGATGTGCTTGACATCCTCAGCCGTGCGCTCAGAATCCATAACGACCTGGCGCGTAGGCTTGGGGAAGGGAACAGCGAACGGCCGGGTCAGAACGATGACGCGGACATTCTTATTCTTGCTCGCAATGTCGTGCAGCCTCTCGAAAGCCTCCAGCTTGTCAACCTCCTCGCCCTGGAGGGCATCGAGGCCGTCAATGACGAGAACAATGTTCTTGCAAGGCTTGATGGCAGTCTCGAGGGTGTACCAAAGGGCATCCTCGGCGTCAGCCTCGCTGGTGGTGTTGGAGTCGAGCTCGAGCACGTTGGCAAGGCACCTGTAAAGGGCAACATTGCCAACGTTCTGGTCCAACAGTTGCACGAGCAGCTCCTTGATCAGGTTGATCTGCGTCGCAAGAGCAGGAGTCTGGGTGCTGATAGAAGCCCCAACGGCGGAGTAAGTCCTGCGGCTGACGGGCCTCTGCAGACGCTCCAAAATCCAACCGTGGAGGGCAGTCTTGCCGGCACCGGTTTCGGCACTGACGGTCAAGACACCGTCCCTGCTGCGGAAGAAGTCAATGAGACATCTGTCGAACCACTCGCAGGTGAACTCGGCGCGGGAGGCGCGAGCAGCTCCGCGCCTGGTAGACAGAGCCTGCAGGGTACGGTCCTGGGGCAGCAGCCACTGGCGGATAGACTCGATAGAGACTTGGATTTCTGTATTTTGTTAGTTTAATGTCATATTTTGACAAAGCGAGGGCATTACCAGTAATCTCTGGGGAGTGCTTCAGTTGGTAGGTCCACATGTGGTCGGTAATCCTGTCCCTGCGCAGGATAAACGACTCCATCTGAGAGCCAAAAGTTATGGTGAAGTCGACCGTGACCATCTCCGCCGACATGGTCCGGATGCTCTTCCGGTAGTGAACGGTAATCTCGACGACCAGGTTGACCATGTCGGCCAAAGCGAAGCTCATCTCCTGGCGAGTCTCAGGAATGGAGCGCAGAAGCCCGTAGTTCTTGATGTAGAAGCCAAAGATGAGGCCGTACTCGTGGAAAATGGAGAAAGCCCTCTCCATGGCTACGCCCTGGCTGGGGCCCAACTATCATCGCGTTAGTTCGAGATTTGTGCCTGAGGCATGTACGGCGACGACTTACCTGGAGAAGGAGCTGGAGGCATCCCAAGATGAGTTCTACGGCCTCCTTGCTGGAAGCAATGGTAGACTCAACCGCCTCCTCGAACAGGGAAAGGGTGATGGCGAAATCCTCAGCCCACTTGAGAATCTTGTCCCACCTGCTGCCCTTGGCGGGCATGCGCCTCAACCGCTCCGCACCAATGTAGTTGAGGAAGCCCTCAATGGCGAGGCCAGTGGCCAGCCATGCGTCATTCGACGACTTGATCTCCTCCTCCAATTTTATCCTGAGCGACCGCACAGCATCGTGGACAGTGGTGGACTGCCTGCTGCGGGGGGGAGGCGACTTATTCCGCACCGAGGCCTTGGCCTTGTTGAGCATGCCGAGGGTGGAGTCCTCTTGGGCTATCGTCGTGTCGGAGACGAGGGTTGCGGGGATAGAGTTGACCGACATCCTGTCTGGCTCGTTCTTGGCAGAAGGCACAGAGGTGGTTCTCTTGGGGGTGGGTTGGGAGGGCTTTTGCTGAGGTCGGGGGTTGCTGGTGGGGGCGGGCGCGCTTTTATGGTGCGCCTTCTTGAGGTTGCTGAGGATAGACATGTCGGGGTCGGTGGAGTGCGAGGACTGCGTGTCCGAGAGGTCCTCGTTGGCGGAGCGTGAAACAAGAGATGGGGTGCTTGTCACGCTTCCTGCAGGGAGAGAGCCAGTGTTAACTGCATGGAACAAATCTAGAGCTTTCGGTTGCATAGCCCTACCCTCTTCTCCGGCACCACGTAGGCCCAGTGCGCCCAACACATCGGCAACGCCCTTCCGAACGCGGTGCTTCCGGCGCCCAGGCAGCGAAAGGGTCTTCGTGTCTCTGGCCTTAGGGTGCATTGGTCACTGCTGATCACTCCGCTTTGGAGCCGAGGTATTGGTTTCTTTGAGGGAGAGACTGAGGGTGAGTAGACGTGGTTTGTTGGGGGAGGCCGGATGCGAGCTGCGAGGCGCGAGATATACGGTTCGTTCATTCACGCCGGAACGTCATCTTGGGCCTCATTTCGCCAAACGGTCATACGAATAGGAGCACGATCATACAGGTCGGGGACAGAGATTGGTGTGAGTTGCATGACTAACGGCCCTTGCGACGAAAAGCAAGACGATCCGGCCAGAGGGACGCGGTGGATCGCTCGGCTAGTCATGGAGGGCGGTGCCTTCGTATGGCCACACGCCGGGCGTCTGGTCGGCCGGCGCTGGGCAGCGGTGCGCGCAGCAGGGCCAATGGCCGCCAGCGCAGAAGATGCAGGCTGATCTCATGTCGGGCACGGGCGCACGGTGATATGGCGATGGCATTGGCCGGTGGGCGCAGGCGACAGTTAGGGTGGTAGTGGTGGTGAGAAAAAAGATGCTATAGTGAGAATTAGCGTGGAGGTCGAGCGGTGAGAGAGAGGCTCGGCGTGTGGGCCGGCCCGGGGCTCCGTTTAACTCGATGAGGACGGGCACAGGCGGCCCCACGCGAGGCCCGGCCAGCGCAACGACCAAACGTCCCCGCCCACCAGGACCACCGGCTGCCCGAGTCCTCCCCCCTCGTCCACTGGTCCCCTTCCGCTTCTGCGCACGCGATTCCGCCCCCGGCGACGGCGCAGCCCCTGGGCAATGCGACGTGGTGATAGCTGGTGGTAAACTAGCCTCGGCCACGCCGCCACCGTTGCGCTCTTCCTCCCGCACCACCACTACCATCACCACTACCACCACCGGCCGCCGTTTCAAGCCACCGCCATTGCGGCTCCCTTCTCCCTCTTTCATTCGACGCCTACGCCGGTCCAGCCAAAGCCACGCGGCCGACGCGTCGCAGCTGAAAGACATGGACGCACGGCTGCCACACTCTCTTCATGCACCCTATCGGCCCTTTGACGCCCAGCCGCGTGGGACGAGAGCATCGCCATCCACTTTCATAACACCCTCCCCTGAACGGCCTGCCCGCGACGGGAACTCTCTGGCAGATCTCCAGCCGTAGTCCGGAAGCGGCCGACCGTGCCAATATTGGACCCCGGCAGTGGTGAGACACCTCATTTTGCAGCTCGTATCAGTGTTCTTCTTGTCCTCTTTGGTCGTTTTTTTGCCGTTCAATTGCCCAAAAATGGGCCGTCAAGATATCCGTTGCGGGCCGACGTCGAGCGGCTCAGACCCAGAGGGCATGATTGTCTGCGCTATGCGACACTGCCTCCGCCAAAATCCTAACAATAGCAGTCTGTGGAACGTGCCCGCTTGCTTGAGAGGCTGAGAGGGTATCCGCAATCACGCGGCCGACTAGGCCTCCATGGCTACCTGCAGCAGCAATTTCTTCCCGCGCCTCCTACCCGTGTCTCACACCCTGTCTATCCCGTGCTCTTGAGACGCTTCTGCAGCATATCCCCTACTAGGAAGCAATCTTCTGCATCAGATGCCGTAGCGTGAGCCGTTGACGCCCAAGCTACCATCCTTCATGTCTCGCGAGAGATCGCCGAGACCGATACCGAGAGCTTGGTCTATCCGATATGGCTGCAAGAAAGTGGACACTGTGGATTTGCAGTAATGGGCATTTACTTGCATGCAGTGGCGAAGTCGAATCTTCGTGCAAGTGGGGTGCATTGCTTACATGAAGTTCATGCACACCCTGATGGACCCGCCGAGCCGCTGTCGGCCGGCGGCTCGCCGAAGACCAGGAACCACTCAAATCGGCCTGAGGAACCCTTCTCTTACCTTCTGGAAGTCCCGGCGTGGAGGTAAGAGTCGGTCAGAATGTCCTTTCACGGCAGAAATCCCGCGGGCCCGCATTCTTTTGTGCGGTGGGTAACTTGCGCAAGTTGGGGGCGATCGTAGCAGGGTGAGGTCGGCGATGCCGGCCATGTGGAAAGGGGGACCCAGCGACTTCACCGCCTGCCTTTATCGCCCCTGTTTTGCGGGGGCAGCAATGATAGCAGTGATGGGTGAAATGTCAAAGGGCTGTGAAGTGGAAAGAAAGTTGTCTGGTAGTGTGGAAGGGCCGAACACAAACTGGTCCCTGATTTTGTCCCTTCCTCAAGGGTTCCTTGCCTTGCCTACCCCGCATGACGTAAAGAGCCAACCACCACCAACCGGTCAAGGATTTATCAGACATCCGAAAGATAAGGGCTTCAGATAGTGGTTCGCTGCTAGGTAACGGTCTGAGCGACGTTGCGCGACGGATGAAGCGGCAGTGAGCCAGAAAGGGGGACGGCCCAATGCCACACAGCCCTCTCGAGCATCACTTTCCGGTGAGCCGACGACTCTTGCCCCATGGAGTTGTCTCGGGCCCCAGATCCCGCTCCAGATCGCTTACTGACATGCTCAATGCTTGCCTTCACGTGGGTTCCAGGATCAAAATTTCAGGCAAGCAGTGTAAAGCATCAGCCGCTCTGCTCCTTGGCACGCGAAACCCACAATTGCCGGTGACCCCTGTCGCTAAGATCACAAAGGCGCTAAGGTGGATATCCTGCATGCTTGGATTAGCTTACTCTGTCTTTTTGGCCGACGGTGGATCGCCAATCTGCACGTGTAACATCAACTTCATGCGAGCTCTTTCCAACGCTTTTCCCTTTTACTCACGACTTTTCTTCATTCAGGTCAAGTTAGACTCGCCATGATTAGTAGAGAGTGGGAATGGCAATCGATTTCCTGATGAAAATCGACTCGGGCTTCACTGTCTTAAGACGGTCAGCCCTCACAGTGGGCCCACGGGTCTGGACGACAGTCTATCGCCCAACAATCTTATCATTCATTTCTTAAGTCGTTGAGAAACTTGCCGAGGCTCGAAATTTAAAATCCTTTATTCAATATGTGATGAAAAAGCAAAGTGGACAGACACATGATTACCCAAGACAGTCCTGTGTCTTGAAGATCATCACACACACTTGAACAATGCTCACCGTCTACAGATGCGAGGAAGATCCAGTAAAGTGGAAAATCCCAGAATAGCTACAAACTGGCATCGGAGACATCTACGAGATCATCTCGCCTGCGTTAAGCGCTTCAGGGGGACGGCACATCGACGCGTATCATCCAGCCGGGGCCGGAGCCTGACACGAAGACGGCGCAGAACGAGGGAACTAAAGACGGGAGCATCCTTCTTAGCGGTGAACTCAGAGCCTTCGGCATTCCTTCCGATGGGCCCCAGCAGGGAACCGTGCAAAGGAGTGGCTGGGGACCCTCGACGACCTGGAGCTGATCCGTAGGGGCCGCGAATGCAGCCGTTAGTGAGGTTGTAGTCGAGAGTCTAGATTCCACAGCGCTGGACCAGCCCGCTCGATTGTCCCGAGATCAACCCCTAACTCCTGGCGAGGCTGTTCCGGGCATCGAGATCCCTGAGACGGTCAGTGGTTTGACTAAGGGATTCGATTATACGGGGTAGCTAAATAAAGGCGTCATCTCGGAGCAATGTCCTGTTTCCGTATTTCGAGCAGTGCGAAGGCACTGGCCGCTTCAACCACGTTCTGCTCGGAACCTATGCCCAATCAAGTTTGGTGCCGTTGTGCTTAGCCATTGCTCCATCCCGGGATGCCATAATCAAGCCTCGGCTTACGTTATCGTGGAGAAGTTACGGTGTGTCGTGCTTCGATCCATCAGAAACATGACACTTAAGAGGGCTTAAGGCAGCGCTATGAACGTTCCAGATCCCTGGACTTTCTCCCTGTGTGGATCGAGCCCCTGATACAAAGCAAAACTCAACGAGTTGCACGTTACTAGTGGCACTGCGGATTTTACTGGCTTCACTGAAAAACGGGAGTAGCCGTAGAGTAAGTTGGGTTGTTAATTTTCACTCACTCTAACAATCTGTGTACTAGAACTTAAGAGGAACTGACTCCGATCTCATATCATGATCCTATTTTGAGTGCATCCGGCGCAAAATATCATCGTACTTCAACACTGCTCCCAAGAGAGTTTGCGCTCCAATCCCGCAATTATCCGGAGAAGCATACTCCAAAGGCGAGTGGCTTATGCCGTCTCGGCAGGGTGTGAACACCATCGCAGTTGGGCAAACCATGTTTGTGAAGATGGAGTCGTGGCCTAAGATATCTCATCAGCACTCTAGTTACTGTGTTTGGAAGCAGTACTCACCGGTGTGACTAATGAGTTTCTCATAACTGTACCCCATTTCCTTGGCGGAATTCTCAACACAAGCAACGGCCTGCGCATCGAAGTTGACAGGATCAAAGTTGACGATGTTGTCGTACTTTGCGACCTCCAGACCTCGTTCCTTCGCAACTTTGTGCACAAACTCTTTTATTTGCGCCGTCATGTCCTTCAGAACCGGAAGTGACGAGTGCTGCATGCTGAAGGAAAAGTCTACAGATCCGGATATGTTGCAAAAGCTTTGAGGCCAGGATTTGAACAAAGATACAGTGGCCATGCCTGTCTGAGAGGCACGGCCGATTCGCTCCACTTCGAGCACGATTTGCGCGGCGCCGACCAGTGCATCTTGTCGCAGCTATTGTGGAAGTTAGTCAGTACTTCATCCGAATCAGTGATTCCGACTTACGTCCATGGGCGTCGTATCGGTCTAAAGATGATTAGTTTTTGACATTAACGTTCCAGCCGCAGAGTGAACTCACATGTCTCGTAAATCCGCGTAGTGAAACATCAAACCACTGCATGCCTTGCACGCTGTCCACGACTCCGACATCCTTTCCGGCTTTCTTAAGTCGAGTTCCTTGCTCGATGTGCTATTTTATGTTAGCTGACAGTAATCTCAAATCAGTGACAGTGGCCAAACGCACAATCTCGAAGTGAGCACTCAAGGGGTTAGTCTTGTTAGATACGCTCTTCGTGCCGAGGTATCCGATCCGGGCTAGTTCATCCTTGATGGTGATGCTGCGGTTGGCGGTGTCGGTGCATTTGTGAGCGTAGTCGATGTCCAAGACCCCTGACCACACGGATGACGCCATGCAACCTTATTTTGTCAGTCAGTTCTCTACTAATAAAGGGTCCGCCTACTTACCAGGAGGAAACCTCGCTCCCTCCTCATTCGTCCAATTGATTACACTGATCGGAGCATACGTCTTGCGCCCGCCCTCTTTTATAACCCTGGCGACTTCAAGCCCCGTGAGCACCTGTGGCGCACCATTGTACATCAGCGACGTTTCTTCAACATCAAGCAAATAAATACAGAGAAAATCAAACATACACCAAGCGGACCATCGAACTTTCCCCCGCTCTCCACACTATCAAGGTGCGAGCCGATCCCAATCGGAGGCAAAGCGTTGTTTTCGCCCTCGAGGGTGGCCCACTGCGAGCCCATAGCATCAACCTCGTACTTGCACCCCAACTTCTGGGCCTCGCTCGCAAACCAGTCCCTCGCGATCTTGTCGTCATTATCGCAGGAGAGGCGCTTAAGGCCACCGTCTTTCGCGCCGGCCATCTCGCACGTCGACTGAAGAGCATCCCTGCCATCGCATAAGCCGCGCTCTTATATATCAACCGAGACAACTTACCATAGCCTTGCCTGCGAAATTCTACGTCCATGGAAATGCCTCCATGTCTGCTTCGGCAAGCTTACCAAGTTCGAGCGAGCCCGAAGCGCGAGCTTAGTTCCAGCACCAGCGAAGAGGCTCATTCTGACAAGTAACCGTTTGGGGTAGTCTCGACTTGCGTAAAAGAGTATAAAGGAGTTGCTTACCGTCCGTGGTTATCTAATATAGAGTGTGAAGCACACTGGGGGAGGGGTACCTTGGTACGAGGCCCGGGCTGACCACAGACCCACTTACCGTCGGATACCGTGTCCTCTCCCACCCGCGATCGTCATCCACTCTATATTCCACTTTTCAATTTGAAAGCGAGGCCCGAGCCACAAACTCCTTCAACTTTGATTCCACGTTACAGGACTTGAACTCAGATGCGTTAAATGCAGACTGCGGAACGACCCAATTTGAAATGTAGTCCGTCCAGAGGTTCATGCCGGTCGAAGACAGGTCGTACCTAAAATATCACGACCCGACCTAGTTTGGTCGGGCTTATCCGGGCAAAACATAGTTTGAAATATGGCCTAAGTAAAGCAGGAGAATACAACGTGTTAACTTAGTAGGTGAAGGCTTTTCTGGTATCGACCACTTGGCATTGTACCCTCGCATGGAAAGGCTACTTTGTAAATATTGCGGTCTACGACCCGACTACGACCGGGTCGTGCCTAATCAAGAACCATTTGCATAGTCTAGAATGACCCCGTAGTCTGACTAGACTATTCCGCACTCTGGTTAAATGGGTGTTTGACGGGTAAGGCGTCGAATTACGATATTATCTATTGATTCTATGCCCGTAATTCCCATGACTTTTCTAAACTCCTGCAAATGCGGCGCGGCCATCAGTTGTAACAGTACTTGTTGAGACAGCTCGTGCACTCTTCCGGTAGGTCCTGGTTTGTCTTGGCCATAATACCACAGGCAAGGCAGCCTGCCCATTCCGGCTCCTCTCCTTGCGTCACGACTTGGACGTTGTTTCCGATGATAGCTATGACTTGTCAGTAAGTTGTTTTCACAGATGATGTTCCATTCATCTCACCTTCTGTCTGTTCTGCCAGATATTTAAGTGTCAAAGTCGTCGTGTTGCTCGCATGATCGTATTCCGCATTCGGCAAATACACAATCGTCATGACGTTGGTATCGTTGCAGCCAAAGAAGGTCGGGCGCACGTTGAGGCCCTCGGAAACAAACGTCTCGGTGCTAGGGATTTCAGGCATGCGCGCAAGGCCAGCCTCCTTTGCAATGTTGTACGTGGAGACCATCTCGCTACCGTTGGGCCAATTGAAGTCGGTGTCTGCAGAGTTGTCATTGACGAAGAGGACATCAATGTCGCGGTGCAGCATCGGCCAGATAGGGTTGTTTTGCATAATTTCACCGCCGTCGACCAAGGCCAGCTCCTCCTGTTCCGCCACGAAAGAGGCCGTGTCGTACTTATAGAACGGGTTCGGATAAGGAGCGAAGACATCTCTCGTGACGATTTCGTGTACCTCGAGAAGGAAGCCTGACAGGTGTTGGCCAATGTCGCTGTTGTTGACCGTGAGTGGACTGCAGATTTGGTTAAAGAGCGAACTCGAAGTTCCGAAAACATATCCGAGGTTGTCGTAGTTGGTGATGCAAGAAGAGTTCTTAGTCGGTTTGCCATTTGTCAGGCTAGATCCGAGGTATTCCGTCTTCACAAATGCGGCAACGCCCTCGTCCCAAGACCCGAATTCGTAAGGCGTAAACTCGTAAATAGTTGAGTTTTGGGTAGGATCGCAGGCACCCTCGAAAGTTTTAACTCCTCGCGCTTGAATAATGGGAAAGGGGACGTTGTAGGAGGTGAAGTTTTCCGAGTCTCTTAATCCGGAGAGTGTCTTGGCCACACCGCCATCTTCTCCCTGAAGGAGTTGGTACGAAAGAAGACGTCCCCAGGGATCAGTGAGAGTAGGAGGGAAACCAGCAATATGTTTGGCCAAAAGGTCTCCGTTAATCGCCAAAGATCCCAGCAATCCGTCGGCGAAAAAGAGTGTCTCCTCGAAAGCCTTGGTCCAGAGATCGTCGCGCAGAGAAGAAACAGTTGGCCAGTCGTTCCCAGCAATAGACGACAGAAGCCACGAGCCGCCAGAAAGGCCAGCGTGGTATGTAAGAGCCTGGTAAAGTCCGGAAGTTGAGTAATTTCCGTCGCGGCCATCCATTCCTTGGACTACTCCAGCGCCGCATAGCAGTGCTCGAAGGCCTCCGCCGCTGCTAGTCAGCCCGAGAGTAGGAAAATTGGAGACATTTTCGTAAGCCGGGTTGGTCTTGGTAAGCCAAGACGAGAGCGCAGTGTCAGCGATATTTTTACGCGCTGCAATGTACTCTAGTTCGGCAGAAGAGACACCGTTGGAGGCCTCTCGAACGAGTTGAGTAGACGGGCACGTGACCTTGACAGGTGCGTACCCAGAAGCGAAAGCAGAAGTGATAAAGAATGAGACGGCGGCAAGCCCGGAAAGAGTGGCCATTTTGAACAGACTAGTGACGTCTTCTCAACTGAAGGGGAACAGTCCAGAGCAGGACACGCAGCTCCTATACTTCTTTGGCATCGCGGGGCATTCACTATTTGTACATCTGCCGTCGGCAAGCTCGGGATCCGGCGAGATCTGAGTCGAGCCGCCCACTGCCCTGTCAAGTCATCGTGTTTGATTGCGTCCGCCAGAGATCGGCCAGGGAGACGACGTGACTTCGGCAACGGCAAAACGGCTGAACCACCTGCTTTAGGAAAGAACGGAGACTTACCCTGGCTGAATCGGTGATCAGGGACGGAAACTGGACCGCAAAACCCGGAGATCGCGCTGCATGCTAAGCGAGCCAGCAGACCAAGTCAACTCCGACAGAACGATATTTCTAGAAATAGTGCGTTCGGCCTTGGGGCGAGAGTGGGGGCAGGTTGTTCAACTGTTTAAGGAGTGTGAGCTTCTAATTTGGGGGCTTGGAAAAGGGTCCTTACTAGGATATGATCGACCGGCTTTCCGCAACTCCCGCAGAGCCGCCTACCGGCACTACGTACTACTCCCAAACGACATTAGTCATAACCAACTCGAACGATTTTGAAGTTGTGTCTTTACTGCTTTTCTCTAAAATGCGATTAAGATATTTATCGTTGGTCTCCAAAGGTCGTAACAGTCAAGTCATCCTCCCCCACCGTTTTCCAAACTGCACGCGCAATCATGTCCGTATGTTCCGTGCGAGAGCTTCGCGAGCTGCTCGCTTCAGCCTTATACAATCCAGAATTATGCCCATAACTGCCTTAAATCTTTCCCCTGAAGAGATTCATGATCATCTCCCTACCCGTAATCCTTGTAGTCGCCCACAATGTCGGGAAGTCCAGCGTGCTGGTAAATGTGTCGGCGTAGCCGAAGCCCAGCATGGGCGGGATCCAGCCCCTGGCGTACTCCAGTGCGAAGCAGGAGCTATCCATCTTGTACTGCTTGACGGTGCCACGGTGGAGGTGGTGAACACTGCCGGGAGGGTAGACCTGTCAAGCGGTGAGAATGCGATCCTCTGGAGTACAGGAATAGGTGTCAAGCAGATCCTTGCCCGTTTAACGTACCTCGGGCTCGTACTCGCCAGGGACATAGGCAAGTTGGGTACCGGTCAGGATGTGGAAGTAGTCGTCGGCCGTGTGGCGGCCGGTGTGGCCCTCAGTGCCGATAGCGGTACCTGTTGTTCTTAGCCTCGTAAAGCTATAGGGATGTGCAGGGGAATATATACCAAAGATAATAAGGTACTCGGTAATGCCTTGTCTGATGTTCGTAAATCATTCTTCTCAACGCCCATGGCCAGAACCAAACTCACTAGCATGGATGATGTACATGGCACCCATTGCGCCGCCGGCGTTGTTGAAGACCCATTCCTCGTCGAGGTTCACATACGGGTGCACGCCGTCCTTCTGCGACAGCTCGCCCACAATGTAGCTCACAATGGCCCTCGTGTCGTTGCCATGCGCCTCAATGGCGCGCTTGGAGAGGCCGTGCAGCTCCGCCGTGTCGAAGACATAAAAGGACTCGAGATTGGCCTCCAGGTAGGTGTAAATAGGGAAGAGAAGTGCCGCGATGGCCGCGATGAAGCTGAGCGCGCGGACGGACAGCATGGTGGAGGGCGAGGATGAATTTGCGACCACACGGCGGGTTGTTGACAGCGCAGCACGCGCGAAAGGGAGAAGGCTGAGAGCGCGTTGGGATCTGCCCAGCCCTGCCAACTGATTTCAGAAAGGCCCCGAAAACCGCGGCCTCCGGGCCCCCACTGGACCCTGGTTGGTTTTGACATGTTGCTTACCTAAGTCAAGCGGCACACAAAGTCTACCCGGCACTTTGCCCTCACCTTCTTCCTGGTCTGTGCAAACCATCAACACTTTGACAAGCTGAACGATTCTCCTTCATGCGGTACAGCGTTTTCTCGGGCGGACGAGGCAGACCGCTTACATTCAGAGGAGTTGCCGTAGCTCCGGTGGCTGGTCTCAGCTCTGTCGGCAATGAAGTCTACACTCCTCATTGGCTAGTATCATGCCGACCAGCCCGTGACACCTCTGCAGCCTTGCCGTGCATACATGATGGCGTTTTGGAGGTAGGCTGTGCTGCGAGGCTGAGCGTGGCTTGGCTGATCGCGTTCTTCCCTCTTGCCTCGTTCGCATCTCTTCAACTCACATTCAACTGCCTTCATCGTCTACTCCTACTCTGTTTCTACTTCAAGGGCCAGACGTCCTAGAATGGCTACATTATCCACTGCCGCTAATGCCTTTGCCGTGATTGGTTTGGCCGATGTCATCTTCAAGACTAGTGTCGGTCTTTACGACCACCTATCCAAGATTCATACTGCGCCGCGCAACATCAGCGACCTGCTTTCCGAACTCAAACACCTGGCTGAAGTCGTGACGGCAGTACAAGCCTACATAGCGGAGTTCAGTGCCTCGCCCTCGGCAACTTACGATGACCGGGATCTGGCACAGTGGAAACCTGTTTTGGAAGATTGTAGGAAATCCCTGGAAAAGTTGCAATAAACCACCGACGGGTTTGTTGCTGCAGCTGGCGAAGGATGGTTTTCGCATTTGAAGAAACACACATCGTGGGCCTTGAGCGATAAAAAGATCAAGGATATGTCTCAAGAACTTGAGCGACATAAAATGACCCTTGTGGTAGCATTATCACTGACGGGAAGGTAAGGAAACATACATTCTCCCCATGTTTCGGCCGTATACTAACATATAATATAGACAAAATGACCTGGTTTTCAGAAACATTCTCAAGCATACACGTAATGATATCGATCATGTCCAGACCAACATGAGAGACGGTCTCCAGGATATCAAGAGCCAGGTCTCTGCATCCAGCGACACCACGAATTTGAACCTTCAGAATCTTTCTGGCAAGCCTATTGTATCTTTAAATTGGCTATGGTAATAGTGCTCGTTGTAGTCCTTCGTCCTGAGCTTCCGTAGCTGATTGGCTAGTAGATTAAGCGCCTTCGGGAACATACGCCGAATTAGTAGCTTGAATAGGGGCTCCGGAAGATGCCGGTTCTGCGGCCGGGCGAATATCTGTGCCTCCTTATACTTAATATCCTGCTACTCGTTCTTTATTGCTTGAAGGAGACGCTCAACGAGCGTAAGTAGGTTCTGCCTCTGGTGATTGAGGAATAGCTTAGCACGGCTATGGGTACCTTCTGCGATAGATGTAATACTGTGTAGTTAGCTGTTTTTAATGGTATAGCACGTAGTATATACCGAATACTAAAATTGAGGTTATAAGTAGTCTATGCCCGGTACTACTGCTCCTTAAAAGGGACTTATTGTGTTCTAATATAACTAACAAAGTCCTCCTTCTCCGCGTAGTCGTTCTGAAAGGACTCCCAGCGAGTATCCTATTCTGTAGGCGTGGGAGTACTAGTAAGGTGTTGAAAGCGACGTGTATATGCCGTCCGCTGCTGCTCGATATCTTCGCTATCCTCTGTAGTCTCTATATCTGGATTAGGTTGATGTGCCTAGGCCTGCCTGATCTTGCTGCCGACGTTCTTAGTAATGTGCTATGTATAGAGCTGTTGTGGAACGTCGCTGTAGTAAGTCTTGAGAGTATTTTTCAACGCTAATTTATAGTTAGTAACGAAGACTGAAGGCTTCTTTATAACCCGCGAAAGACGTTTAATTGCCTAGAGATATTTAGCTTTACTTTCCTTCGCTAGTAGGTAGAAGGTAATAGTATACCTACGGCCTATGGGAGTAACTCCTATAATATGTAGTAGAGGTACTTTCTCGCTGTTCGAATTATACGTGTAGTCTATTATTACGACGTCGCCCTAGCGCTGTTGAAGGGCGAGAGCTCTCTTGTGTGCGAAGAAGAAGAGATGGGCGTTATTATCCGAGTCCCGCTGTAGCTTAGATACCTAATTAGGGTCTTCTTCGAGGTCCTTAGCTATTCGTTGTGTAGTAGTGAGGCTATCAAGGCGTAGTCGTCTTATCTTTGCCTGGTGGTTCTTAATATTAGAGCTAGTTATTAAACTGTTCGGGTCTTCGCTTAATAATTGAGCACGGATCTGTCTAGGGCGACTAGTAGCACCGAGAGTATTAATCTGCTGCTGCTGCTCGGCAGTTATCTTGCGGTAATATGGGTGAGCTATTGGCGATAAAAATAGCTTATGATTGTGTGGAGGAGCGTCTGCAGGAGCTTCAACTTTCTATGTACTATTCTCCTGGCGGCGAACGACGAGTTGAAAGGAATAGTTAGTCCTCCATGTGCCTGTGTTGCGGACGTGGGCATTGGAGATGTGGGTGCCCGCTCTGTCGCAGCGGAGGCGTAGCTTCTTCGGCACACCCTTTTTAGTGGACTTTGTGCCTTTGTTACTTAGCGCGTATCTGTGTTCCTTCGAGAAAGCTTTGATCACATCTCTGGCAGCTTGAAGCGTTGGGTGAACGCTCTCTGGCGGAGCGGCAAGGTCCATGGTGGCGTGGGTGGCCGCGAAGAGGCGTTGTGGAGAGGATACGTTGTTGCGAAGTCGCGATATCACGAAGTCGCGCGAAGGCAACTTTCTGCCGGAGCGATACCTAATTAGGCAGGCGGTGGTGAGGGGTGGGGGGGCTCTACAGCGAGAAGGGGGGGCACGTTAACTGGAGCCGTAGGTAATACGCGGAGGAGGATGCGGAAGCGCTTACGCGCGCGAGCGTGAGGCACGAGAATCGCTTTCTGCCGGGCGCTTTACCTAATTAGGCAGGCGGCGGTGGGGGGTGGTAGGAATATCCAAAAGGGGTGGTACAATTATACGGCGCCTATAAAGTTTATAAGCCATAAAAGACCCTCACAGTTCAGCGAGTTTTACCAATCAGAACTTAATGCGTTCTTTTCCGCCCTCTGCTTAGCGTGATTCTCTTAACGGTCAGGTTCGTTTATAGGTGAACGACGTTACGTTACAAGGGATTGCTGGTTTGGATTTCCTTTTTCTCCCGCAGCCATATAGGAATGCGAGGGTTGATTTCAGTTTTCTTTTTCTTCTGCAGGTATATGCATGCATGTATATAGCCATTCTCTTAATATAGAAACCAAATTGCGTAAGCATCGGCATCAACTGCTTATTTGACAAGATGTCATGTTATACATGAACACCTAATTTTTGCGAATCCTGAGCCCTTACTTTGATTTCTTCTGCTGTAAAAGGGCAGGATATCGCGTAGGAGGATGGAGATGTAGTGAGAAGGGCCGAGTCGGGATTCGGGTGTAAAAGGGCAGGACAGGTCGGTGGGGGGTGTGGGGTGGAACGGCACAGAGGATTCAACACATGTTTCTGGGAGGGAGGAAAGCAGAAAACAGGACAATCAGATAGGAAATGTTTATAATAGAGCTACACGCGTAATTGTACTAGGAAACAGTCTACTGCTTACGAACCTGCGAGACCGAACGAAGAGTACTCCTTCTAGGAGGACTCGGGTTGCTCTGAAAGTATTAGAGACAACATGCCGATCCTGCCGCAACCCTCTCACCCTGCAAGCCCGCAGGTATGGGTGCTTCCTCCCTGACCGCCCTACTGCCTCTCCGGTTCCTACCGGGAACGCCTCCTACTCGATTTCACTGCTATACCTGCACTCCTAATACACTCCGCCCTCCGTTCTCCTCACTTTTCATGCCGCTCTTTCGCTCGCCGCTGGCTTGATTCTCTGTCTGGTTTTTAGTTTTGCTTCTTGCGTAATTACCGTACAGCCAGCTGGTTGTTGGCCCAGGCTCTGAACGGCAAAGACGTGGCATGTGCAAATGTGCATACTTTTTATGCCGCTAGAATTTTGTATGCTAATTCCTAATCACCGCAGTGCTGTTTTGCTTTTGCCATCCGGATAACAAACTCAGTATAATCTTACTACAAATCAGCTTACTTACAGCGAAGGCAGAACGTTGATAGACTATACCAGCCGTCAGCGAGAAAACAAAAGCGAAAACAACAAATGTATATTAACAAGCCTCCCAGCAAAAAGTCGGGCCCCAAGGCCCCCTAAACTCACCGGCACAGTAAGGGCAGCTTCCCCAGCACATTTACAGTGGCTAGTATACCACTTGACTCGTAATTTCTGTTCGTGCTATGTGAACTACCGATTGGGCTTATAATGGTAGCTAGCGTGCGTCCTCGGTGAGCGTATCTACTGCACTGCTACCGACTACCGTGAACGACTATCACGTCGCGCTTACGCGGGCGTACCTACTCTACAGCAGTATCTATTTAGTCTCACAATCTAATCCTCAAGCGCGTGCGCACATACTGCACTGCCAGGTCAGTCAGCGTACGTATATCACGCAGCACGCCTACCACAAACGGCAGCTCGCGCCAATTGCGCTTACCATGCCGGCCCTACCTCCAGTAGCTTACCCATGTCCCATTTACCGCACTCTCAATCGTGCCCTTCAAGCTCTCACGACCCTACTCCTCCTCCCAATTGTCCACCGGCTCCTGGAGCCCGTTCCGGAACCAGCCAATACTGGAAAAGGGAAAGACGCGGGCGACGACCTGGCCGCGCACCAGCGCCAGCGGCACAGGGCCAAAGATGCGCGAGTCGCGCGAGTGGAGCTGGTTATCGCCGGCGACGAAGCAGTGGCCTTGGGGGACCTGCATGAAGAAGAGAGCACGGAGGAGACATCAGCCTGGTATATTCTCTGTCGCGGCCTCTCAACCACCACTACCACCACCACCACCACCACCGCTACTGGCATAGCGACGCACCTGCACCATCATGCCCTCGCCCTTGCCCGGGGTATCGCGCAGGACAAAGTCGCCGGGCATGCCGATGACGCGCTTGATGACGCCGCGGTCGAGGCGGAACGGCTGGTCGAAGCTGACGAGGTCGCCGACTGTGATGCCGCGGCCGCGGCGCTTGGTCTTGTCGATGAGGACGGCGTCGCCGATGGGGGCCATGGTCGGCACCATGGACGCGCCGTACGTGGGCTTGACGGTGTAGGCGTGGGTCGCGAAGGTGTGCGCTAGGAGGGCGAGGTTGAAGGTGCGCACGAGCAGGCCGACGGGCGTGAGAGCGAGGCGCGGGGATGGCATTGCGTCGTGTCGCTGTGGCGCTGTGGGAGGGGTGCGTGGGTGAGGTTGGAATGGAAGACGCGGGGATGCGCGATGACGCGCCGGGCCGACTGCGGGCAGAGCGCGGCATCACGAGAGGCTGGCGCTGTTGATACTTTCTCTGCCTCTCTTTTTCTGTAGCAAACTAAACAATCCATATCCACACGCGTCTGCGTCCGCGGCACCATGGCATCCCAGGAAGATGCTGTCGCCGAGTCTGTACGAGGTCGTTCAGCCCCGTCCGTCCCACTCACATCACACCATAAGATATATCAAGAGCAAGGAATTACCACAGAGAGGCGAGAATAACGGCAATGAAAAGAACAACAGATTAACCAACTCCGTCCCTACCACAGACCTCATAACGACATACCACGAGCTCAACGCCACGCACATCGACACGCTAACCACGGAGCCATCACCACTCGAATTCCTGCGCTACGTCGCGCGGAACCGGCCGTTCGTAGTGCGGGGCGGGGCAGCCGACTGGCCCGCCGTGCGCAAATGGGACGCCGCGTACCTGAGCTCGGTGATGGGCAGCGCGGCGGTCAACGTGGCCATGACGCCGGCAGGCAACGCCGACGCGCTGGTCCGCGACCCGGTGGGCAGCGGCGAGCTGCTCTTCGTCAAGCCCTTCGAGACGCGCGAGCCCTTTGCCGACGTCTTGCGGCGCATTGCTGAGCAGGAGCTGCACGGGACAGATCCGGACGTGGTGCGCTATGCGCAGACGCGTGCGTACATACCCCATCCCCAACCCCAAAACCCCCCAAACCGCCTCTTCCACTCCCTCTTCCACACCCACCCTAACAAAAGGCCCGTACACGCAGAAAACGACAACCTGCGCAACGAGTACCTCGCGCTAGCAGAGGACGTGCCGGCGTCGGTGCCGTTCGCGCGGATAGCGCTGGCGCAGCCCCAAGGCCCCGACGCCGTGAACTTCTGGCTCGGAAACGCGCGCTCGACAACCGCGCTGCACCGCGACAACTACGAGAACGTGTACGTGCAGGTGTGCGGGCGCAAGCACTTTGCGCTGCTGCCGGCGCTGGCGGCCGCGGCCGTGGCCGAGCGCGAGGCTATCGCCGCGACGTATGTGCCTGAGGACGGGAGTGAAGTCAAAAAACTAGTCCCCCAGCGCGACGACCCACCCGCAAAAGTCCTATGGCCGACCCTCGACCCCGATAGCCCCTCCTACAGCAGCGCGAACGCGTTCGCGGAGTGCGCGCCAGCCATGCACGTCACGCTGGAGCCGGGGGACATGTTGTATTTGCCTGCGTTATGGTGCGTCGTGTGCTTCCATTTTCTTTCCTGTTTTTGTGGTGGATGGGGAGGTGGATGTTGTTTATGTGGGTGTTGATGCTAATGTGTGTGTAGGTACCACAAAGTGTCCCAATCGACCTCCGACGAAGGCATCTGCTGCGCCGTCAACTACTGGTACGACATGGATTTCAGCGGGCCGCTGTGGGCGCTCGCGACGTTTGCGCGGGACGTGGGGCGGCAGGTTGGCGGTGGCGGTGGTGGTGCTGCTGCGGGGGGGACTGCGGGGGCAGAGACGAGGGCGTAGATGGGGGTAGATGGGGGGTGGCATGGGCGCTCTGCTCCAAACAAACGAGTCGATAAGAGCCGCGCGCGGCGGCTGCTCTGCTCTGTCTATGTAGTAGGGGGTATCTATCTCTGCGGCAGACCGTGCGTGGGTGGGGACGAATACCTAGCGTCTAGCTACGGGGGGAGTGTGTGTGTGTGTCGGCTGCAGCGGTGGGAGGGAGGAAGAATGGAAGGAAGGGGGGAGTGAAATGAAGCAGAGCGAAATGAAACGAATCGAAACGAACCAAAAAACGTATAAGACGGCAAGACGCGGATAGCCAACAACAACAGAAGAAGAAGAAGAAGAAGAGAAATAAGAAGAGAAAAAAGCAGCGAGAAAGCAAAACAACCACCCACCCCCCAATACAACGCCATTCCATCCAAGCACTCCCCCTCTTCCCCTGCCAGTACACCCACTATTTCCTCACCCGAATCTTCACCCCCGCCCCCGTCACGCTCCTCCACACGCTCTCCTGCACCTTAACCGGCAGCTTCCGACCCTTCAAAGCCTGATCCACCAACCACATGCCGACCACAAACTCCTCCCTTCTCAACCGCCCCACCCCCCTCTCATCCACCAGGTCCCAAACCTCCTGAAGCACTCCAGCCGGCAGCCGCGAGCGGCCCCAAATGTCCCTTACGACCGCGCCTACAACCTCGTCTTCCAAGCCCCTCCCTTCGTCCTCGGCCTTTAACCCGCACCGAGGATACACCATCTCCAGACACAGCCCCTTGTTTGCCGCCCACACGCCCTCGTACCGCTTCTTCTCGCGCGGCGTCACCGAGTCCCGCCACCGGCGCCGCGCGCCCTCGGCGTGCCGGTTCGGCGCCTTCGGGCCCAGGTGCCGCTTGCGCTTGTGCTTTGTGTCGCGGCCCGAGTCGCTGTCCTCGCTGCTGCTGCTTGGCTGCTTGCGCAGCGTCGGCCGCAGGAGCGGCGTGCCGTTTGCGCCCGTACGCTTGGGTGGGCTGGGCGTGCGTGAGGTAAGCGGGAGCGCGTGTAGGGGGTTCTTGTGATGGCCGTGGGGGAGGAGATGGTGATGGTGCTGCTCTCCCTTGCGCGGCGGCGGTAGCGGCGGTCCTGCAGATGTGGAGGCTGGCGATGTCCCCTGCGAGGAGGCGAGCGCCGCCCCGACCATTGCGTTTGCGAGGCCGTCTCCCGTCATGTGCGGCTGCAGCAGCTTGAGCGAGCCGCGCTTATACGTCGAGCTCGTGGACGGGAGCGTCGGCGGCGGGGCCTTCGCATGCCCGGCGTCGGAGTGGGAGCGACGTCGTGGGGGCGGCGGAGCGACCGGCTTGGAGGGCTGCTGAGTCGTGCGTTCAGGGAGTGCGGGCTTCTGTCCGGCGCGGCGCGGTGGAGGCACTGCGGGCGCGTTGGTGATGGTCGTGATGACTGCCGTGTCTGCTGGCGCGGGCTTGGTGACTCCTTTCTTGCGTGGGGGTGGCACCGAGGGCTTCTCCTTGGTCTCGTCAGCTTTGGTCTCCGGGGCGGAGGCGTACGCCTCGGAGTCGTCGCTGTCAGCATCGTCTGCTTTCCGCGGCGGCGGGACGTCGCTCTTGCGCCGCGACGCATCGTAGTCTGGGGCCTTCTTCTTAGCAGGTATAGGCGGGAGCGTCGGTTTCATCGCAGATTGCGACGACGCGACGCGCCCTTTCGTGGGGACCTCGCCCGACAACGCGGCAGGTTTCGGCTTCGGCCGCGGCTTGTCAGAGACGACGCGCCGCGCTTCGCCCTCGCCAGCGCTGACAGGACGTTGCGCCTTGGGCGGCGGCGCCTCCTGAAGTGCCCCGTACGAGGGCGCAGCCGCGAACTGCGGCGTTATGTTCCGTTGTGGTTTGGGTGACTTGATCTCCGGAGCGGGCCCGCGCGACGTGAGGACGGGCCCGAGGATCGGTTTGGGTTTGGGACTGGGCTTTGGACTAGGCCTGGGGCTCTTGCTCGGCGCGTCATTGTTCTGCTCGAACATCTTGACGAGGTTCGTCGTGGGCTGGATGGACGTCGCGTCCGTCGTCTCCGGAGTCTTCGCCACGACGCTGCCCTTGGGCGAGCGCGTGGGCGTGAGGGCCTTCTTGTCCATTCCGTATCTGGCCTTGGTGTCGTCTGCAGCCCCGCGACCCGGCGTCGAATCGGTGGATCTGCTGCTGCTCTGGCGGCTGGCAACGGTGCTGCTGCGGGCCTTGGTGTCCGTGTTTTCGGAAGGGGCGGGAGTGTGTCGAGCGGCTGCTAGCGACGCGGCCAGTATCGAGGGCGAGCGCGCGCGCGTGCCGGGGGAGCTGGGCACCCCGAGCGGGCCCGCACTGCGCGGGGAGAGGGTGTTGTTGCTGTTGTTGCTGTTGTTGTGGGCGGTGGTGCTGCGGACGCTATTGCCCGTCTCCTGGCGCTGTATCCGGGCAGGCTGCTGAGGAGTGGTGGATCGCTTGGCGGCGGCCAGGGCACCATTGCTGCCGCTGTAGGTGTTGAGGGCGGGCTTGGGCTTGGTCGGGGGTTTCGCAAAGGCCGCAGAAGCGCCCCGGAGCGCAGCGTCGCGGGTGTTGTGCGGAACGGTGGTCTCGGCGGGGCGCTGAGCGGGAGGGGGCATCGGGGAGAGGGTGACGGCCGTCATGGAACCATCGGGCGAGGCATTTGGGGCAGAGGATGATGTACCGCGCCTGCCAAATAGATTAACAAGGGTGGAGCTGCTCCATTTTGGCTGTGCCGGCCTGAGGCGACGAGGCGACGAGGCGACAAGGCTGAAACTCCAGTCACGTGCCTTGGCGTTCTGGCGTATCTGCTGCCTAGGTACCTACGTCTTCTCACCACTACCTACCCAGATCACCACCACCATGCGCTCCCGTGAGGCTGCCGAGGAAGAGCTGAGCCAGTACGCCCACGGCCCCTTGACCCTGGACGAACTCGACGAAAAGTACGTCTCTACCTACCAGCGTCACTCTTGCATCCGTCCGTCCCACTCCGCACCTATGCACGCGTGCCGAGCACTGACATTCCCCAGATACCCAAATCGGCCACACAATCACTCCAAAACATTCCCCTTCCGTGACCTCTTTCTCACCCTCTTCAATCCCCTCAATGAAAACAAGAAAAAGCCCACTGGTCGTGCCATTGCACGCAAGAAACTAGGCCCCGTCGGATCCTCCCTCACGCCAAACGAGGTCCGTCGTAAAATCGTCGAGCGTTTCATTTCAAGATGGCGCAGAGACGTCGGCAACGACATCTACCCGGCCTTCCGGCTCATCATCCCCGAGAAAGACCGCGACCGTGCCATGTATGGCCTCAAGGAAAAGGCCATTGGTAAGCTTCTCGTGCGCATCCTCCGCATCGACAAGGACTCGGAGGATGGCTTCAACCTGCTCAACTGGAAGCTGCCGGGGCACACGACGCACTCTGTCATGGCGGGTGACTTTGCCGGTCGATGCTTCGAGGTCATTTCGAAGAGGCCCATCCTCACCAAGCCCGGCAACATGTCCATTGCCGAAGTCAACGAGAAGCTTGACTTGCTCTCGGCTGCTTCAAAGGAAGAGGAGCAACTCCCTATCTTCCGCGAGTTCTATAAACGGATGAACGCCGAGGAGTTGATGTGGCTGATTCGGATCATCCTCCGCCAAATGAAGGTCGGAGCAACCGAGAGGACCATCTTCGCCATCTGGCACCCAGACGCGGAAAACCTGTTCAACGTGTCTTCGAGCTTGCGGAGAGTCTGCTGGGAGCTATACGATCCCGCGATCCGCCTAGACGGGGACGAGCGTGGAATCAATCTCATGCAGTGCTTCCAACCGCAGCTCGCTGCTTTCCAGATGCATTCGTTTGAGAAGATGGTGGCTAGAATGAAGCCAACAGAGGATGACGACGAGTTTTGGATTGAGGAAAAACTTGACGGTGAGCGCATGCAGTTGCACATGATTGAGGATGATGCTGTGCCCGGCGGCAAACGCTTCAGCTTTTGGTCCCGCAAAGCCAAAGACTACACCTACCTGTACGGAACAGGGATCCTAGACGAGAACAGCGCGCTCACCCGGCATCTTAAGGACGCTTTCAGCGATGGAGTGCGTAACATAATTCTCGATGGCGAGATGATCACTTGGGACATGGAGCAAGACGCAATGGTCCCCTTCGGAACACTGAAGACGGCAGCTTTAGCACAGCAACAGAATCCGTTCTCGAGCGGGCAAAGGCCGCTGTATCGTGTCTTCGACTGCCTTTACCTCAATGACCAGCCACTCACCAATTACACGCTTCGCGACCGGAGGCGGGCGCTTGAAGCAAGCATTAACTCGGTCAATCGCAGGCTCGAAATCCACAGCTACACAAAAGCACGCAGCGCGGCAGACATCGAGCCGCTTCTTCGGCAAGTCGTTGCCGAGGCGTCTGAAGGCCTGGTCATCAAGAGCCCTCGCTCAATGTACAAGCTCAATCAGCGCAATGACGACTGGATCAAGGTGAAGCCAGAGTACATGACGGAGTTTGGCGAAGACCTCGACTGCGTCGTGATTGGCGGGTACTACGGCTCTGGCCATCGCGGCGGAAGGCTGTCGAGCTTCCTGTGTGGTCTCCGCGTGGACCAAAACCAGATCGACCAGGGCGCGAATCCGATGAAGTGTTTTTCGTTCTTCAAAGTAGGCGGTGGCATGACGGCTGCAGACTACGCTGCCATCCGACACCACACGGACGACAAGTGGGAGAAGTGGGACGCCAAGAGGCCGCCGACCGAGTACATTGAGCTCGGCGGCGGCGAGAGGCAGTACGAGCGGCCCGACGTGTGGATCAAGCCGTGCCATTCGGTCGTCCTGTCGGTCAAGGCGGCTTCTGTCGGGCCCACGGACCAGTTCCGCATGGGGCTGACGCTCCGGTTCCCGCGGTACAAGAAGCTGCGGACGGACAAAGGGTGGAAGGACGCGTTGTCGATCCAGGGGTTCATGGACCTGAAGAACAATGCCGAGAAGGATCGGGCGGACAAGAAGTTCAAGGTAGACGACGGGCGGCGGCAGCGGCTGAAGCGGGCGAAGAAGAAGCCGCTCACGGTTGTGGGTGCGGACGACGTCGTCAGGACGCCGTATGCTGGGCCGCACACCAAGGTGTTCGAGGGCCTCACGTTCTGTAAGTGACTGACTGACTGCTTGCTTGCGCCTACCTTGCAGGAGTCGACCGTCCTAACCCGCGCTGCTGCAGTCATCATGAGCGAGTGCCTCAAGCCCAAGACGACCAAAGCCGAGCTGGAGCGCATCGTCAAAGAAAACGGCGGCAAGCTCGTGCAGACGCACGCCGCGGCAGCAAAGGTGCTGTGCGTCGCGGACCGGCGGCTCGTCTCGGTGGCGTCGCTGGTGAAGAAGGGGAGCTGCACGATTGTGCGGCCGGCGTGGGTGCTCGAGTGCGTCAAGCAGGCCGAGACGGACATTGGGCGGCCGAGCTTGCTGCTGCCGTATGAAGAGAGGTGCGTTTTGCAAGTTTTTTGTTTGTTTGTTGGTTGTTTCGTAGACCGCTCGCTGACACGACACGGCTCCAAGGCACATCTACCACGTCTCGGCGGACGACCCCGTGCAGATTGACGGCAACGTCGACGAGCACGGCGACAGCTACGCGCGGGATGTTGGGATGGATGAACTGCGCGAGGTAGGGGCACAATCACCAACCTTTTACCTATGGTTACGTTCTCAAGCTAACGCACTCAGATCCTCAAATCCATGCCCGACAACGAGTACAAAGGCACGCTGGACGCGCAGGACCTGCTCGGAAACGAAGACGACGACGACCAGCTCCGCGGCTGGCTCTTCCGCGGGCTCAAAGTGTACGTCGACACGGCCGGCACAGAAGCAGGCACAGAGCTCTCGCTCGCAGCCACCACAGTCGCGTTTGCAGGCGGGGCGGTAGCGCGCAGCGTGGACAATGCTGAAGTCACGCACGTGGTTGTAGAGGAGCGGGAGCGGGCGCGGGAGCTGCGGGCGCGGATAGCGGGACGGGCGCGCGTGCCTAGGGTTGTGCGTGTGGGGTGGGTGGGGGAGAGTTGGCGGGAGGGGACGCTGCTGGATGAGGAGGGGTTTGCTGTTGTTTAGGTAGGTAGGTAGGTAGGTAGGTGGGATGTATCTTCTATTCTAATATGGCCATGTCTATCTATCCTCCTTCGCCTAGGTAAGGTAGGTCCGCTCTATCCCACCCTGTCTATACATACATACATACATACATACATACATACACACATCCTCCTCTATCTTAGTCTCAGTCTATCCTCTTCACGCACCACCATCACCATCACCATCACCACCACCACCCTCCACACCAACCCTTCGCCACCGCACCCTCACGCCCACCAGCTCATCCCTCCCCGCATCGCAGCACGCGCCCCGCGCCAACGGCCTCGGCGCCCCCGCCGCCCGCGTCCCCCGTGCCGCTCTTGCCCAGGCAGCTGCGCCTGCGCTCACGCCCGCACCCGCATTCACACCCGCGCTCACGCTCACGCCCATCCACTCGCGCCACTCGTCGCGGCCGGCGCCGTTGCGCGGGTACTCTGGCACGGGGGGCGCGGGGACGACGTCGCAGCCGCAGTCGGGGTCTGCGTCGTCGTCCTCCTCCCCGTCTTTACACGCAGCACGTCCCCCTTCCCCTTCACGCGCCTCCCGCGCACCTTTACGCCCCTCCCGCCCCTCCACCCCACCCCCATTCCCGCCGCTTTCACCGCCGCCACGCACACGCACCAGCCGCCCCGCGCTCCACGTCTCGCCCAGCGGCCCCGCCTCGCCAGCAAGCAGGGCGCAGAGCTCGCGGCGGCGGGCGGGCTGCGTGCGCACTTCGAGGGTGAGCGAGGCCGTGTGTGCCGGTAGGTGGGCGATGGTTTCGTGCAGGGGCGCCAGCACGTGCTGTGCCCAGTAGGGGGGCGTGGGCGACGTGAAATACAGCGTTAGGTGCAGGGCGGGGGGGCCGGGGTGCAGGGCTGCGAGGCCGGTGCTTGTTGTGTTTGCTGTGGTTGAGCGGATGCGCGGCCGCGTCCACCAGTACAGGTGATGCAGGCTCCAGTCCCGCCTCGCCGGGTCCGCGACCAGGCGCAGCGTGACGGCCTTGCGCTGCTCGGGGGCCAGGTGGCGGGCGAATGCGGCCGCGTCGGCGGAGGGGTGGCGCAGCAGGGTGCGGGTGACGGGGTTGAGGTGGAGGACTAGGAGCGCCGTTTCCGCGTGGACGAGGCGGCAGGTTTGCGGAAGAGATACGGCTGCGGTGGGGGGAGTGTCGGTGGGTGGGCGCGGGGAGGGAGTGAGGGCGTAGGTGTAGATGGCGTTGCGGAGTTCGGCGGGGAGACAGAAGAGCGAGGACTGGGTTTGCGGGTTTGGGGGTGGGCGTGGGTGAGGGTGCGTGTGGGGATCAACGGGTGTTGGTGTTGTTGTGGGAGCAATGTCCGGGTCGGAGGCCTGGGCGGAATCCATAGGTAGTAGGTGGTGATGTGATTGGCTCGCCGGATGACGACAAACGACAAACGACGAACAGCGGGAGTGCCGTCAGCGGTAGTAGTGGTTGTGCAAGTCGACGCGGCCTCTGTAACGCAAACCGGCTTGGGGCGCGCCGATCCTGATGTCGCTGGTGATTGCGGAGCCTCGTATCCAGCTTTTCCAGAAGGGCAGGTCGTGGTCAAAACAAACAACAGGAGGAGGAGGAGGAACATGTCATTGCTGCCGAACGAGTGGCCGCCGCGCGTGCAAAAGCAAGCAAGCGACGTCGTATCGCCCCCACCACGGCTGACCGTACCTGATCGCCCGCCAACACCATCGCGCCCACGATGCGCCGGGAGATGGGCGGTGCCAACGGCAAACGACAACAATAACAACAACAATAACAACAGCAACAGCAACAGCAACGCCGCCGCTGCGCCTCGATGATCGTCGAGGGGTGGAACGGACCAGAGGGGAAATATCTTTACTTTCTCTTTTTTTTTTAGTTATCGGCACGACCTCACTGGAGCACGAGGGGAGAATGCGCGCGCTAAAATTAGGCTGGCAGCGTTCTTGTTTCATGACTGCCGGGATGCCACGCGCCGATGATACAAGTACGGGGTACCTAGATAGTTCATGAACGGTTTCCAATGAACCTGCTGTTTGTTTTCTCTCTCTCTCTCTCTCGCAATGCCCGAAGCCGCGACGGCCCCAAACACTCCCGACGCCGCCTCCGCTTCCGTCTCCGACGGACCCATCAACAAACACCATGATGACGCCGCCTCAGCCTCCGCCCCGAGCAAATCCAAGCCGGCCCTCGACTTCTTCCCCTTGAACCGCGTGCCGCCGCGCTGGCGTCTCGTCGCCGCCTCGGCCATCGCCCTGCTGCTGATGGCGTGCGTCATCCTCACCATCACGCTGAGCGTCGTCCTCTCGCGCCGGCACCACGCCCCGCCTCCCCCCAGCCAGCCCGCATTCAAACCGGGCTTCACGCCCCTCGTGCCGCCCGCGTACCCGCTCGCCGTGCGCAACCCCTACCTCTCGGCGTGGGTGCCGGGCGCGCGCGCCGCCAAGACGCTGCCCCGGGCGCAGGCGCACTTCTGGACCGGGCAGCCGCTGGGGTGGGCGGTGCTCGCGCGCGTCGACGGCAAGGCGTACAGCCTGTTCGGGACGCCGGAGCTGGCGGGCGACGACGTCGACGTCGAGGCAGCCAAGGTCGTCGGCGGCGAGTACACGTCGACGCGGACGGCGTTTGCCGTCGAGGCCGGGGGCGTGCGCTTCTCGCTGGACTTTCTGTCGCCGGCGTTTGTGGGCGCGGACGCGGCCAGCCTGGTGCAGCAGAGCCTGCCGCTCAGCTTCCTGACTGTCTCGGCTGCCCTGGTCGATCCCCACAAGGTCCCGAGACATCCCGACGTTAGCGTCTACTCGGACATTGACAACAAGTGGCTCGGCCCGCTGCCCGACACGGACCCGGCGTTTACGCTGACCCGCGCGAACCAGGGCAGGACGCACGTGTGGACCTGGGAGTCGACGCGCCGGGGCAATGTGTACCAGGAGAAGAACAACATGGCCGCGTGGGGGCAGGTGTTGTACGCCAGCCATGCCAAGGACGACGGCGCCATGACCATGGCCTTTGGCAAAGAGGACGACGTGCGCAAGCAGTTTGTGCAAAACGGCACGCTGGACGAGCTGGCGGCGCCGGTGCCCAAGTGGAACAGCTCGGGGACGCCCGTGTCGGCGTACGCGCACGCGCTGGGCCGGCTGGACGCAGCAAAGGCGACGAACGTGACGTTTGGCGTGGCCATGGTGCGCGACCTGGCGGTGCGCTTCTACGGCACCGACTACGCGCCCTACTACAAGACGCGGTACCCGCAGCGGGCGGACACGGTGACGGCCGTGGCGGACGCGTTTGGCGCACTGGAAAAGACGCAGGAGACGTGCAAACGGCTCGATCGCAGGGTCCACGACGCGTCGGTGGCGACGGGCGGCGCCAACTACTCGCACATCACGACGCTGTCGGTGCGGCAGGTGCTGGGGGCCGTGGACGTGACAGTGCCGGCCGACACGCTAGACGCGGGCAACGCGACGGCGTGGATGAAGGAGATATCGAGCAACGGCGACATCCAGACGCTCGACATCATCTTCCCGGCCATTCCCTTCTTCTACTGGCTCTCGCCGGGGTACATCCAGCTGCTGCTGCGCCCCATCCTCCAGTACCTCGAGATGAGCCGGCTCAGCCGCGCCGCCGTCGACAACACGAACAAGAACAAGAAGCAGAACAACGCCCCCGGCTGGCCGCACCCCTGGGCCGTGCACGACCTGGGCGACCGCGCCTACCAGAACGGCGGGTACCCGCGCGCGGCGGGCCACGACAACGGCCGCTCGGAGCAGATGCCGCTGGAGTCGACGGGGAATTTGCTGATTCTCGCATACATGCACCAGCGGGCGACGGGCTCCAAGGCCTTAGGGACGCAGTACCGCGCGCTGCTGGACGGGTACGCAAGCTACCTGCGCGCCAACGGGCTGCGGCCCTCGGCCCAGCTCGCGACCAACGACGGCGCCGGCAAGCTCGCGAACCAGACGAACCTCGCCGTCAAGGCGGCCGTGGCGCTGAACGCGCACGCGCACATGTACGCCAACGCCAGCGCGGCGCAGGGGGCGCGGGCCATGGCGGCCGCGATCGCGAGCAAGGAGTACGGCCTCTCAGACGACAGCTCGCACCTCCTCCTCGCGTACCACGAGCCGGCGACGTGGGGCCTGATGTTCAATCTGTACCCAGACACACTCCTCAACCTCAGCACCTTCGCGCCCGAAGTCCACGCCAAGCAAGCGCGCGCCTACGCGGCCAAACACGCCGCCCTGCCCGCGTCAGCGCGCGGCCTGCCCATCGATTCGCGCGGCGACTACGGCAGCTCGAACTGGATGTTTTTCTGCGGGGCGGCAGACCCCGAGGGGCGGCGCGGCGCGGCAAGAAAGGCGTTTCTGGACGACGTGCATGCTTATCTGGCGAGTGGGATGGGCGAGGGGGTGCCCTTTTGCGATCGCTTCTTTGTGAGTGGGGAGGGCGCGGGCAGGCCGAGTCCGGCTGGCCATGCGTTTAGGGCGCGCCCGGTTGTGGGGGGGCATTTTGCTGTGCTGGCTTGGGGGGAGGGGTGGGTTGGGTTTGGATGGGTGTGTGGGCTTTTGGGTGGAGCGTGGCGTTGGGGTTTGGGTTTGGGTATGGTGGGTGGGTTTATTGCGCTTACCTCTTTTTCTTCTTCCTCTTTCACCTCTCCCTAAGGTTCTTTTTCCTCTTTCGCTTTCCCCAACAAGCAGAATCGATGGATGGATGGATGGATGTTCCGGTACGGACGGGAATACCTAGGGGCGTTTCATTTCATTTCATTTCATGACGGACGGACGGACGGACATGGACGACGACGGCGGCGGGGGCGGTAGCCTACCTGCATAAGTGTTTTGGTAATGGACTAGACTAGACGGACTAGGTTAGATAGATGGATGGATAAGGGTAGGGATATAGGGCTAGGGAGCTCGACGGTGGGGATATAGTGTGTAGTGTGTAGAGTAGTGTTTAAGACTTGAGGAAAGACTGGATTAAGACCATACAAACGAAACAAGCAGCTATCAATCTACAGTACTAATCAATCTATCTATCTATCTATCTGTCTATTATCGCCATCGGTATCTATCATCATCGTCGTCATCGTCATGTCGTTACAGGTATCTATGGTAGGTATCATCGTCATGTCTCATGTCTCATCAGTCATCATCAGTCATCATCATTAATATCCCTCCTCGTCCATAAAAGCCCTCAAGCACAAGACCTCCTCCTCGCCCGGGCGCGCGACCTCAAACGCACTCCTCTGCGCCTCGGCAGCGGCAGCAGCCGCCTGGGCAGCAGCGACCGCCTCCCTGCGCCTAACGTCCTCGACCCACCCGCGCATATCAAACGCGGCGACGCGGCGGCGGTGCGCGGCGCCCACGTCGACGGCGATGGCCTCGTCGCCACCAGCGCAACTACTGCGACTTAAAGCCTTGATTCCGCGCGCAGCCTTAGCGACGCCGCGCGTGACGAGGGCGTTGGTCCAGCCGCGGCCGACCAGGGCGCCCAGCGCGCGGCTGAGGCGGGTTTGGCGGGAGGCGTGGACGCGGGCGCCGAGGGGGGAGAGGCGCATGTAGCCCGCGCCTGGAGCTGGTGGAGAGTCGTAGGCGTGCTCGGCGTCGGTGTCAAAGACAGCAGCAGCGACAGTGGTGGCGTCCACTGCGTGGCCGCCGTCCAAGCCGCCGCCAAAATACCGCCCGCGCACCGCCTTCAGGCCCGCCAGACACTCCCACCTGAGCCTCGTCGTGGGGTCCGCCAGCGCGGGAACGACGACCGCGGCGTCGAGCGCGAGCATGGCGGCCAGGGCCGGCAGGCCATCGCACGCGGCGACGGCGGCGACGGCGCCGGGGTACGCCGTCCCGAGGCGGAAGCGCTGCCAGCGGCGGACGAGGGCGCAGACGGCGTGCGGGGGCAGGCGGAGCAGGCGGGCGGGCTGCAGGACCAGCGCGCGGAGGGCGGCGCGGGCGCGGGGCGGCGCGGTGCGGTAGGGTTGCAGGGGGAGGTTGTGCGGCGAGTATTGCGTTGCGAGGCGGCGGGGGAGGCGCGCGTATGCTGGGGTCTCGGGGGCGGCGTCGGCGGTGGTGTCTGTGGGGGAGGAGTTCTTCCTGGTCTTGGTCTTATTCTTCTTGTTTTTGCCGGCCTTGGGCGCGGCGAGGGCGTTGCGCAGGCCCGGCTGGGCGTAGTCGTGGTGCAGGATGAAGCAGAGCAGGTGGCGCAGATTGTGGGCGCGGAGCTCGGCGCGGGAGTTTGGGGGCACGGCCAAGAGCGGGAAGCGATGTTGTTGCTGTTGCTGTTGCTGTTGCTGGCGCAGCAGCGTCTCGGGCGGGGGCGCGAGCGGCTGGCGGGCGGGCGACTTGCGCCGCTTGAGCTGGCGCGCGCCGCGGATGACGTGCGTCTCGAGCTCTTCGCGCTCAAAGTCCTCGGTCATGACCTGGATCGAGGCGCGCAGGCACTCGAACTCGGCTTTGCGCTTCTTGGACGTCGCCCGCTTTGGCATGGCCAGGGCGTTGTTGTTGGGGTGTCGTTGCGTTGCTTCGTGGCTTTCTTGCTTGGCTTGGCTTTGGTTGTTTGTATGTTTGTATATGTATTTTTTATTGTGGTTTTGGTATGCGTATTGGTTGGAGAGGAGGGCTTTGGGATTATTGGAGCAGCTGGCACGAGGGCGTAAGAAAAGGAACAGGCGGGGGACGTGCGAATGATGGTCCGGTCCCAGATGCCAGCAGTCAGCAGAGTGAACGTACCAGGGATGGGGTCCAGGAAGCAGCAGATCCTGTGGGTAGGGCTAGGTTGGTAGTAACTCTCTGTCTTTTGCAACACCATACCCAGCAGCTGCTGCTCCCCCCCCGCCGATATAGCAACCAGCAAAACCGGCGACCGCCTCTAAGCTACATGACGAAGACGATATTTTTTTTCCACGCCACCGGCCACCAAAGCTGGTGTTGTCGACAAAGGTCAAGCCGGCATCCCAGCTAAGGCCTTAGGTCACCCGTCCTAGCGCGACCACGTGTCCGCCCTAGTCGGAGCCAGAGTCAATACGCCTCCCGAAACGGGCAATATGTGTACATGGAACGTCGTGCTGTCAGGCTATCGTACAATAGCGCACTGCGCAGCGCGGCGCCTGACCAAGCTGACCAAGGCCGCGGCTGTCGTCGTCGGCTCGTCCGGCCATGGCGGTCTGCCCGCGGCCCGCCAGCGCAGCGCAGCGCAGCGCAGCGCAGCGCAATCCAACCAACGAATCAACCTAGCTCTTCCTCTCCGCCTCATCGACGCGTCGCTGCACCTCGCGCTGCAGGTCGCGATCCTCGACCTTCTCCGCGTTGGCCTTGCCCCCGTTCCACACCTCCCAGATCTGCTCCATGATCAGACTGCCATAGCCCCTGCCCTCCTCAATCGCCTCGCGCTCCTCCTTGAGCCTCCGTTCCTTCCACCCCTCCGTCTCGCCGCCCATCCACGCCCGCTGCAGCGCGTTGCGCTCGCTGTTGCTGCCATCGGCCCGCAGCAAGGCCTCGCGCTCCTCCTTGGCGCGCCGCTGCACCTCGTGCACCTGGCGTGCCCGCTCCGTCGGCAGCAGGTCGGACGACGACGTCAAGGCGGTGTCGAAGTTCCGCCCCACGCGCTGCAGCAGCGTGCCCCCCGTGCGCTCGCGCATCAGATGCTCCGCCGACACCAGCGTCATCACCCCGAGCCCCGTCGTGTACACGTCCAGCTTGCGCGGCGGCAGCAGCGCTATCACCGGGCATGCCACCAGCAGCCACATCGAAAGGTGGTGCGCCATCTTGGCGTAGCCCTCGCGCTCCGGCGCCGGCAGCGTCTGCGTCGAAGGCGTGGCGACGTCCGGAGGCGCCGGCGTCGTGGGAGTCGGCGTGCCGGATGGAGGAGCCATTGTGCGGTGAGGTTGTGTGTGTGTATGTGTGTGATGTGAAGGGTTTGCGATTCTAGACGCCGTTCGAGGCTTTCGTGGTCGCTGTGGCGGCGGAAGTTTTCTCGGAGCGCCGTCGAACTGCGCGTAAACGTGTCACAAGGTAGAACTTGGTGGGTGGATGGGTTCAATTGACCGACCTCTGAAGCAGCCGATGACGTCCCAGATGGTGGAGTGCAGTTGGAGTGCGGCGTGCTCGCGAGAGGTTGGGCTGGAGAAATGCATGCGATCATCACTCGGCGCGACTCGCTTTCGTGCCAATGGGAGCGCGTCGCGATTCGTTGCCGGGTCGTGCTTGAGCATCATGGGTAGGTTGCCATTGTCATCCAACATCAGCCGCCTTATTGCCTCAATCACTGAATTTGATTCCCATTTTCAAGACTCTCTAGGGCTAACCTTCCATTTGCAGCAGCTGTTTCGTTCCCTAGATGCCGCCCTCACGAGTAGTCTGCCACCGCATTAAATCCCCCAACCCATTTCCCCAGACTTCCCTTTCTATTCGCCTGCCGCTGATGAGATTTCCAGAGGCACCGAAGATGTTGCTGCCGACTCCGCCAGTAGGGAAAACTCAAAGGTTCAAAGAAAGAAAGAAAGAAAGAAAGAAAGAAAAATGAAATGAAGAGAGAAAGAGCCACAAGCCACTGCGCGCCCATCAAGAAGCCCGCCCTTCTCGCAGAAAAAAGCTCGCATCCAGCAGACACCTCCGGCAGATGATGCAGCCTGCTCTTAAGCTGAGTCAAAAAGTCGCCAAACTCATTCCTCGCCGCTCGACAGCGCCGGCCACTCCTCATTCTCAGCCTGGTCCTGAGAGATGTACCTGGCCTCACTCCTCTGCATGACATGCATCGGCTGCTCCACAATCATGTCTTTGCTCTTTTTCATGAAAGTCGCAGGATCCACCAGGTCGGCCCATTGGTTGGCGCCCTGAGCCTTGCGCTCTTTCTGGTTTCTGGCTTTCTGGTTGCTGCCTTCGGCCTGGCTAATTGCGACATTGCCGGCGTGCTGTCTCGCTGGGGCCGGAGCACGGAATGGCTGAGGGTAAATGCTTTCCGTAGTGTGGACTTGCTTGTGGGACCGGGACAGCGGAACAGCGTTGTTGATACCAGATCTGAGGGAACCATCATTCCAGCCTCTGCCCACCTGGACTGTTTGTTGTTCTTCTGTCATCCAGTCTGCAGGCGTGGTAGCCTCGTATTTAACGTAGCCAATCTTGAGGCCAGAATCACGAATCACTTCGCCGGTCTTCTGGTCAATCTTATCACGACGATCCTCTGCAGTAAGATCCGGACGAGCTGCATTCTTCGCACCAAGAAAACCACCAGAGATCTGGTCGATAACCTGACCATAGTTGTTGGAGTGAGAGATGCCACAGGATGAATTGGCTGCTTCGCAGTGTGAAACAAGGGCTGTAACGCTGTTGAAAAGCTTTAGGCACATCGTGCAACGAACCTGGCGAAGCGTGTGGACACTGCTGAAATGCTCTTCTAAAACCCACGGTTCCTCGTACATTTCATCGCAATCTGGCAGTGGACAGCAGTATTTTTCGATAACTGGGTTAAAGAACCGCTCCGGGTTGTAGTCCCTATGGTTGGGATCCCAGAAGCGTACTCGGAACATGTTGTTAGAGTTGTCTTGCTCGTATTGTGCATCCTTGGCCTTGAGGGCAGCCTCCCAATCAGTGTTCAGAGGCGTTGGCTTGGCTCCCTTGAACAATACTTCGGATGATTTGCCAGATTTCCAGGCTTTGCTTGAGGCGACCTTGCTTGAGGCGGCCGTGCCGTTCTTGACGGTTGTTTCCGTGGTGGCCGAGCCGGACACTGAGGGAGCACGGGCAGACGCATCACGGACAGATGCAGCCGGCGTAGGAGTCCTAGAAGGTGTAGGGGTCCGAGAAAGAAGACCCACGCCACCCTGACTGGAAGTGCAGGTTGAACCGGTGACGGAGACTGCCCCCATACCACTGGTTATGTCGGACAGGGCCGGCCAGCGCTCTCTGAGACGAGGCGCATTGACAGGAAGAGGTTTGACCTCCGGCTCCAAAGGCTTCTGTAAAGCCTCATGGCCAGCCAATGAGACACCTTCATCCTTGTCGTCAATAAAGTTGCCGATCTTGATGCCGCCAGTGTTGTCTATGTCGCGCGCGGCCTCGGTCCAGGTGTCATTCAGCTTGGCAACCGCATGCTCAGGGTTCTGGAGCAGCTTGGTAACAATGGTCTTGTGCTGAAGGTTGCTCTTGAACTGGGCAGCTCTGATCTTCGGGCAGTGATCGAACTCGAGGTGCTCGGTGAGAGCGGCGGCGCGGATGAAGTGCTCGCCGCAGCCAGGACAGCGAAGGTCTTGGTCAACGGGATGCCTCTGTCACCTAGTCAGTTGAAAGCTTGCGCGCGCAAAGGTGAAGTGAACTTAGGTAGTGTACTCACCTGTCTGACGTGTCTGTCACGACCACTCGTCGTCTTGAAGTCTTCGCCGCAGAACTTGCAGCAAAGGTGAATGACAGGTGAGTTGATCTTGTGAGCAATGAGGCTGTCCCAGTCCTGAGCCAAGAACCTGCACTTTTCGCAGTAGTCGTGATCATCTTCGCGCTTCATGTGACTGTGAAGCTCCTTGAGGTTGTTGAACGAAGCGGCGCAGCCCTCTTTGGCGCACACATGTTGTCTGATCGGCTGCAGTGGCACGACCATGGTGATGGTGATGGCAGTGAGGTTGGCAGCTGTATGGTGTTGGGAGGACAGAGGTGTTGAGGGGATGGAGACGTGAAGAAGATGTGAGCGTGCAGTGGTGACCGATGGTGGTACCGAAGAAAACTATCTGAAGAGCGGCGGGAACAGCGACGGATGGGCGCCAGGCGGGCAGCAGGCGGGCAGCAGGCAGGCAGTAGGCAGATGACGGACGTGGTACCTTGGTAGCGGGTGGAGTGGTACCAAGGTAAGCAAGAAATGGTTTGGAAGAGAAGTAATTGAACGAGTAGCGGGTAGTCTTGAAAAATGAAGGGACCCGGAAAGGAAAGCACAAGGAACACAACACAACAAAATCGTAGAAAAGCGGTCAAGCAACTCAACTGATTGTGAAAGTTCAGCACTGATTCGAGATACATATATATTAAAGAATACCCACCCCCCATTTAGGAAGTTGCGAGTTGCGGCTCTGCTTTTGACGCACCATAAACACCATTGTCTTATACCCGCCTCCTTTATTTATAGAACATCTCTATCAGTGTCGCGAGTATCTGCCCTATCGCTGAGACTTGTTACTGCATCTCATAGCTTCTTCATCCAACTTCCATATTAAGACGGATCGGAGCGGGCTCCGGCTAATGCAGGGATCCGGATCGAAAGAATCGATGGATCCAAGCGGGACGGGCCGAGGCAACCGTCCGGGCAGCGCGCAGATGGATCCAAGATTTCGGCAGCTCAGCCTCAGGTACAAGGGCTGGTCAATACCCTTGTCGATCCGTGTGCAGGCGATTGGCCATGTTCTGCCCATCATCCTTCGGGCGCGAAGTGATCCGCGCAGAGACAAACACAAGGGACGAGGCTTGAATACCGAACAAATTCATTATCTCCAAATCTACAACTAACTATCCCGAGTATTCTGACAGCATTCACGGGATATGTAGACGGATATCATCAATTACATATTATTACGGCGTTTAGAAGCGGTTGTAAGGGAGCCTGTGGGTTTATCAGCTGCGCTCGAAAAACAAGGGAGGTTTTTCAACATACCACTTGCCACGTAGAGTGATGACAGCCCATTCACCCTTCTCGTCCTTCTCCTTCTCAACCTTGGTGGAAAAGGTAATGGCGCTCATAATACCATCACCAAACTTCTCGTTGAGAATTGCCTTGTACGCGTAGCCGTAGTTCTGGACAACCTCATACAGACGGTAAACAAGAGGGTCCTTGGGGGGCATGTCGATGATACGGCCACGGTCGGGCCAACCAGAGAGCTGGCTCTCAAGCTTCTCGACGGGGATGGAGAGAAGCTCAGACAGGTTCTTGATGTCCTCGGGCGAGGCCTTGGCCTGACCGTAGAAGAGCGCGGCCACGGCAACCTCCTCACGCCCAAGCTTCTTCGCGATTTCCTCAAAGGAGAGGTTTTTGGCCTTCTTTGCTTCGAAAAGGGTGGGAGAAGAAGCCGGAAGCTTCGGAATCAGCGACGACTGATGCTGTTAGCGCGCAGTCGCCATAAGAAGGAAGTCGAGGGGCTCTACATCAAGGGTCGCAATGGGATACTCGGAAGAAGCCATGCTGGCAGAAGATTGATGGAATTGCCGGATGCTGGAGCTGAAGGCAGGACGAGCGAGTCTTGCGGAGAGGGGCGCAATAGCGCGGGGAGCGAGTCTGGCGGGAAGCAAGAAAGACATGATGGCAATTGACTGGATGAATCACACGGGAACCGGCTCAATGGTATAGAGATGCAGGAAAGAGGGGTAGCAGGGTAGACGGTAGCTTTGTACCTCGCCCTCAACAGTGGCTGACCTCATCGCAGGCGGATGTTTTGTCATTGATCCCCACAGCAGCCGCGATCGCCAGGGTCCAGAGGCGGGCAATCAGGTTGGCAGGCAAGCCACGATGATGAAGCCGGGAGATGTTGACGGGAGTTGTCGGCTTGCTGATGAAGCATAAGGAAGGCCATGAGCTCCGGCTATGCGGCTGTGGAAGCTTCCCTTGCAGCTGGTGAGATGTGGGGTAGAGCTGGCTGCTCTGCCCCACCGCGTTACCGCCCGTTTCGCGGGCCTGTCAGTGTCACACCTGGCCGCCGAAGAGCTGCCGTTGTCCAGCAGCCAGCAGAACAATGTCCGGCTACGATGACGACGATCACCACCTCGCATACGGCGAGTATCATGGCAGCGATGGTGAGGAGGGCGAGCGCGGCTTCATCGGCGACATAGGCCGACACTTTCTGGGGCGTCAGAGGCCTGGTGCAGACCAGCAACCTGTGAGTACCCCGCCGCGTGCATCTTGACCGCCAACACAGCCGCCTCCGTTGCGTGCGTGTACCTTGTCATGAATCGTTTCAGGTCACTGACCGTGCTGTCTGTCTCGTATCCCAGGCTTATAACCATCCTCACTCCTCCAACGTATCCGGAGGGTCCGCATCTCATTCATTCTCGAGACCGACACCCACCGGAATGTCGTCTTTCTTCCACAAGGTCCACGAGGGTCTGCACGACCTGAAGGAGTCGTTCACCGGCGGCGGTGATGAGGGGCAGCAGCAGCAGGAGCAGCAGCAGCACAATGAGGGCGGCAACGAGGGCGAGTACAACGCCGCTGGCGCTGGTCAGCAGCAAGGTCAGGGCGATGGGAACCACTCCGACCATCGCTTCCTCAGCTTTGCCCCTCAGCGTCACGACAACGACATCAAGTGGTTCGTCGATGCCTGCGGCTACATGTGGGCTGTCTCGGAGGCTCTCGAGAAGGCCAGGGAGTCCATTTGGATTCTCGACTGTAAGACGGCATTGCTCTACCGACGCGAGGTCAATGGCTAATGATTGTTAGGGTGGCTCTCTCCCGAGCTGTACCTGCGTCGTCCTCCTGCGAGGAACGAGCAGTACAGAATTGACCGCATGCTTGAGGCTGCCGCTTCGCGGGGCGTCAAGGTCAACATTATCGTCTACAAGGAGGTGACGCAGGCGCTTACCCGTAAGTACTTGAATCCGGTAGTTCCGGACTACCTCCATTCTTTTCTCCCTCGGTCGACGGACCCATTCACTAGATTCCTCACTCGTTGGGGACTGGATGTTATTTTCAAATCTTTGGAACATGTAGAGGCAACGGACCCGCTGATTGCCCCTCCTCTTACAGTGTCTTCTGCCCACACCAAGCACCACTTGGAGAAGCTCCACCCCAACATTGCCGTTTTCCGCCACCCCGACCATCTGCCCGATCGCCAGACTGTCACACAAGAGTTCATTGATGCTTTCAAGAACATCAGCCTTAGCGCGGATGCCGCTTCGAAGCTGCCAGGTGACACCCTCAAGGCCCTCTACGGTATGCACGAAGACACCGTCCTGTACTGGGCGCACCACGAGAAGCTCTGCCTTATCGATGGTCACATTGCGTTCATGGGAGGCCTGGATCTCTGCTATGGCCGTTGGGACACCAACCAGCACTCCATCGCTGATGCCCACCCTGGCAACCTTGACGACATTATCTTCCCTGGTCAGGATTTCAACAACGCGCGTATCATGGACTTCCAAGACGTTGCCAACTGGCAGAACAACAAGCTGGACCGCACTGTGAGCTCGCGTATGGGATGGTCTGATGTTTCCCTCTGCATCAGCGGCCCTGTCGTGCACGATCTCAAGAACCACTTTGTCCAGCGCTGGAACTTCATCTACCACGAGAAGTACAAGATCCGCGAGGATGACAGGTACAAGCGCTTGTCGCTTACCGGCTCCGGAGCTCAGTCTGGCGGAGAGGGCTATGACGAGGGTCTCGCCTACGGAGAGGAGCCTCAGCACCCTCCTCGCGGCCACACCTTCCGTGAGCGTGTGAGCGACCGCTTTGAGCAGGAAGAGGAACGGTTCGGCTTCCGCCCTCACCAGGGTGGTGAGCAGCGCGGTGGTGGAGACAACTCTCCTACCGGACCGTCGAACATCCAGTTGACTCGTAGCTGCGCCAAGTGGAGCCACGGTGTTGAGATTGAGGTAAGTATACACGGTACCTGCTAGGAGATCTGGTGACTAATGGTTCTAGCACTCCATCCAAAACGCCTACGTTGAGATCATCAGGAACAGCAAGCATTTCATCTACATCGAGAACCAGTTCTTCATCACCGCCACTTGCGACGATGCCAAGGCTGTCAAGAACAAGATTGGTGCCGCCATGGTCGAGCGTGTCCTGCGCGCCGCCAGGAACGGTGAGAAGTGGAAGATGATTGTCATGATCCCCGCTGTTCCCGCCTTCCCCGGTGACCTTCGCACCGACGAGGCTCTCAGCACTCGCGCTATCATGGAGTTTCAGTACAACTCCATCAACCGCGGTCATGGCAAGTCTATCTACGAGCAGATTGCCAAGGAGGGTGTCAACCCCATGGACTACATCCGCTTCTACAACCTCCGTACTTACGACAGGATCAACGTCAGCGCTGCCATGAAGGAGGCTGAGGACAAGGGCGGTGTCCAGTACGAGGAGGCTCGTCGCCAGCACGATGTCGAGTATGGCGGTGGCTACCAAGAGAACTACGGCGAGGACGCGCCTCGTTACGGTGACGAACCGCCTAGGCGCTCTGAGAACCCCGCGTACGGCGATGATGGCCAAGAGGCCGATGAGCGCTACGGCCAGTACCAGGAGGGAGCGGAGCGCGCTGGCAGGCACCAAGGTCTTGGTACCGGCCGCTGGGATACCGTCAGCTCCTGCTACATGCTCGGCGGCGAGGATCTCAGGAATGTTCCGTGGGAGCACGGTAACGTGGATGAGATTGATGCTTTCGTCTCGGAGGAGTTGTACATTCACTCCAAGGTAAGAGTTCTCAACAAGGCACAAGAGACGTCAAATTGACCTAGACTAGCTGCTCATTGCCGACGACCGCATCGTCATCTGCGGCTCTGCCAACCTCAACGACCGCTCTCAGCTCGGTGACCACGACTCTGAGATTGCTGTCGTCATCGAAGACCCCACCCCCGTCGACTCGCTCATGGACGGACAGCCCTGGCGTGCCTCTAAGTTCGCCGCTTCCCTCCGCAGGCAACTCTTCCGCAAGCACCTTGGTCTCCTCGTGCCTCAGGACATTGAGAACCCCAACGAGAACTACATGCCGATCGGCGTGCCGAACACGTACGACTGGGGCTCGCAGGAGGACGAGATTGTCACGGACCCCATCAGCGACGAGACGCTCGACCTCTGGAACGGCCGGGCCAAGAGCAACACGGACGCCTTCCAGGAGGTGTTCCACTGCGTGCCGTACGACGGCGTGCGCACGTGGAAGGATTACGACGAGTACTACGAGCGCTACTTCAAGGAAAGCAAGGACGACGACGACCACAAGGACGACGAGGACAGCGACAAGCCGCGCCGCTACAAGCGTGGCCACGTCGTGGCCGAGAAGTTCGCGCCCGGCCCGGAGGGTGCGGCGCAGGTCAAGGAGATCCTCGGCCGTGTCCGCGGCATGCTGGTCGAGATGCCGCTGCTGTTCCTGAAGGACGAGGATATTGCGAAGGAGGGTGTGCAGCTGAACGCTTTCACGGAGGAGGTTTACACTTAAGCTGTGGGAGAAAAGTATACGAGACACGCACTGGGATAGTGCGCATGAACGGTATGACGATGTTCATGACCATGGATGGGTCCACTTAGAACAAACAAACAAAGCAACACGTATGACACGGTCTTTGGAGATTCAACCACTCACCCGAGTCGTTCATGATGAGTTAGTACATTATGTATGCAGGCGAGAATGGTATAAAAAACATTATAGTATGAGAAATTAAGTGCGTGCTGTGGTTCCTGAGGTCAACAAGCCTTATTGAAAAGGCAAGGATTGAGAGAAGTGCTGACGATCATCTCGCGGCGAAGAGCACAATCAGTAACACCATCCCTACGCTCATCCATTTCACGCAGAAAACCAAGTTTAGGAGCAAGGAAGACTCAAATTTGTCAAGCACGGCTATATATGTACCCTCGAAGCATACACATAACTCCGCCGAATCCATCCCCCTCGCCCCTTTATTTATAAGTGCAAAGTGAAGAAAAAGAAAAAGCAAAAAGCCATACGCACGCCCACGAAAGCCCGTCTGGCGCACGCACAAGAGACTCGAAGAACCGTGATCCGGAGTCCCCACTAGCTGCTAAAGAAAAGGGCAAGTGTAAGGTGTTTGCTGATTTTCCGTAACGGGTTGTTGTCCGAAGAATCGAGACGACGAAGAAGGAAAAGAGAAATCCGAAAAAAAGAAACAAGGAAAAGGGTGTAAACGAATGTGATGACGACTCTTCTAAAAAGAAGCAAGAGGCGTCTAACAACGAACTGGCCAATCGGTGATGTCAAAGACGGCACGGCGCAAGTTGCCGCGATTACTGCTGCAGTTGCAGCAGCTGTTTGCCGCCGATGCTGTTGCTGCTGTTGTTGAGGCAGTGGAAGGAAGCATCAGCATTGCGCGCCGCCTTTGGTGGTGCCGCTACAGAGCAAGACGTCTACTGCACGGTGCAGGCGCTGGTGCCGCGCAGGGGGCGCGAGAGCGACGGGCCCTCGTTGACGGGCTCGTACTGCTCGGGGGCCGGGGCGCCGGCGTTGACGGGCTCGAGGATCGTGGGGTTGGCCATTGTGATGGTTGGAATGATAGTGGGTTGGCTGGTTGGGTGGGGAGGGGGGTCAGTTATGCTTATTTGATAATGAAGATGGTGATGTGGGATTGTGGGATTGTGGGATTGTGTGTGTGTGTGTGTGTGTGGTGTTTGCTTACTTGGATTGAAGGTGTTCGTGGTGAGGAAGGAAAGAGAGCTTGATGCCGCGGAACTTGCGTGTCTTTATACCGCGCTGGGTAGTCTTGAACAGGATACGCCGAGCATAGGCGGCGGCGTGGTTGACAAGGCTGGTGGTCAGGCCGGCGGCGTGTGTGTTCTCCATGGCGGGTGTGGCGGATAAAGAAGCGGGTTGTTCTCGATTCTCGAAATGGACCCTGATGTGTCTGTGATTTGTCGAGGGCGTATGTAGATCGTGAGAATCGCGGTTTGTGGATCAGAGTTCGTTGTTCGTTGTTTGGTTTGGCTTTGAGAAAAGAGATAAAGATAAATGTGTTCTTCTTTCATTTCAGTTGTCATCTTGATATTGTTCTTGCGTTGAGATTGTTGGTGATCCAATTGTTTGGTGTTGCGATTGTGCGGGTTGCGATTGTTCTTTCGACGCCTGAAAATGATGGACATACACTCGTGCCCCAGCCACTTCAAAGTTTAGATTCCCGTCCTCTCCTCTCAAGAGTTCATGGCTCTGTGACAAGGAAGATGCGGCTCAAGCCTGGTCTAGGGCGTCCTCACTTCTGTACGCCACCCGCATGGCGATAATGGTATCCGCGCTGGAAAGGCTGGGTTTAAACCTCAAGAGACGCAGAACGTCCATTGATGTCAATTTAACAGCAGAAATGTCTCTAAAATAGGCATGTCTGCAAGGCTGCCACAAGGTTACTTCGCCTGATAACTGATACAGCAAAGAGACTGCCGTAGGAGGACTACGTGCACATCATGACAGTAAAGAAACCAATGAGAGAAGAAACAGCGACATCTAAAAGATATCCGTGTGAAAACAACTCTTAACTCATACCCACAGACGGCAATAAAAAAAAGCAGCAAACCTACCGTAGACGAGACTTCGCATCAACCGTGATTCCCAACGATCCCAGCGCCCTCACAAGGACAGCAGTGATGAAGTGAAGAGCATTGTTCAGGAAGAACGTTGATATTGTTCCAGCAAGACGCCAAGGCGCTAAGCCATGTGCAGGAACCCTTGATTCAGACTTACCAACACCTTCATTCGCAGAAAGCACAGAGAAGAGAACACAGAAGAAGAAAAAGTATGACAGTTAAAGATTCATAGGGCAATACAGGCTAAACCACGACGCACATACCTGTCTTCCACCAGTCCGGGAAACGCCAACAAATGCTCAGGTCGCACCTACATTTCCAACCCCATCGACAACTCCACCCGCAAGGCCTCTATCGTCGAAGCATGCAAGCACGAAGAAGAAAAATGCCGCTGTTGCTCACGATGGTCCCCATTCCTGCCACTCCTCCTCAGCCCTCTTCTTGCGCACCGCCGCACGCGCCTTGCCCGCTGCACTGAACATGTCGTCCGGGACGTCGTTCCAGTTTTCCGCCGTTGTCGTCGTCGTGGCCGCAGCCGTCGCCGTCGTCGACGTCGCCTCTGCCGCTGCGGCCTTCATTTCAGCCTTGATTTCCGCCCTGCTAGGCCTGCGGCCTTCGAGCTGAGCCTGGGCCAGCGCGAGAGAAGCCTTGCGTCGTGCCTCTGCCAGCTCCGCCGTCGCGGGTCCTTCGTCGGAGCTGTCTTCGTAATCGTCATCGTCATCGTCGTCTTCTAGGTCGCCGTAGATGCTGCGTCGTGGCGGCATGTTCTGCATTTGCACGCCCATGCCCATGCTGTCGGCCAGCGGATCATCAGAGTACAATCCTGGTGCGCGGCCTAAGATTTGGTCGGCCTTGTTGGGACTCCTTCGCCCGGCCAGGGGCACCGTTGCTAGGCCATCGCTCGTCATCAGGAACCTGCTGTCCCGCTTTTGCTTGGTCGGAATGCTGCCCCATGAGTTCCGGTTGTTCGAAACCGTGTAGGAGATCCGAGGGGGCGGGCTAGCCCGGCGTGGCGGACTGTCAATGCCCCAGCCTGCAGCCCGCTCGCGGTCCTTTTGCCTCTGCATCTGCGTGAAGCGCTCCTCTGCGATGCGCTCGCGCTCTGCAACCCATTTTTGCGAAGCCTCCCACTGCCAACCATCACCGGTAGTGTTACAGATCGGCAGGAACCACAAAATCCGGTTCTCGCCGAGAACGTGCATCATGTTCCGCTTCCAGCCGAGATCGAACGCATTGGGCAGTTTCTCGCTGTCCAGCTCTTCCAGATATTCATTGTAGCGGTCGCGCTCTCGTTGAGCTTCCACCTCGGCCCAGTTGCGACGCAGCGATCGTTCGGCCGGGGAGTTGCGCATGGAGTACTCCTCGCCCTCCTCAGGGCGTGTCACACCTGGCACTTCCATAATGGCGTCTCCAATACTGGTGCGGGGTTCTATATCTCCATCGACATAGTTGCGTTGACCGTGATGAGCGTTGAATTGCTGTTTCGACTTGCGGAGTGGTGAAAGATAGCGCGTCTTCTCCAGGCTTTCGATCGTGGTCGTGCCGCGTGCGGCGAGCATGATGTGCCAAGCTGTGAAGCCTGTAATGACCAATCCCACGATACCTGAGATGACAGCCAGAACAATATAGTTGACTGGCATCAGGTTGTCCATGTATGAGTCGTTGGTAAACTCATTCCAGCACCAGCCCCCGGACGCCGCGAAGGATATCCAGCAGAAAATGGACAGGTATACGAGGAATAGCAGGAATGGTTTGTAGTTTCTAAGTCCAACGCACGTGGCGAGCCACGGGCAATGATGGTCCATCTTCAGAACGCAGCGCTTGCAGGTGGAGCAGTGATGCGCGCGGTCCGGTTTCCTCGTCTGACACTTTTTGCAGAATCGCAGCTCGCCAGTGGACTTGACGGTAAACGAAGTGTAAGGTCGTGATACTTCCTGGGTCGGCAAGGAGCTGTAGCCGGATTTGGTCGTATCAATCGGGGAACCAGGGTCGGTAAAGACGGCGGTGGTGTAGCACCAATTAAGCATAGCATAGAAAATCACAGCTAGCACGGCAGATGTATGACCTAAATACTCACAGCCTGTTAGTATTGCAGCATGACGGTAGCCAAACGATCCTGCGCGCAGATCCCCTTACTTTTCGATTTGGTTTTAGTCTCGAGCATGTCGATTTGGGTTGACACCCATACTGCCCACGTCGTGAGGCCATATACGATGGCCAGCGGGAAATATGAGAAAACACCACAGATGTAGCGCTCGCACTTCCGCGCCAGGCTCTTTCGCCGCATGGTGTAGGACGGGGAGGGCGGAGGAGAGTCGGAGGCGAGCGTGGCCATGCTACGGCCGCGTGAGGTGTGTTTGTTGGCAGAGCGCGCTGCACGGAAGCCTGGGAGGGCTCAGGAGTCGTTGGGGCAAAAGATGCGTAGGGATGGATGCGGCTGGATGGTCGCGCGGAGGTGAAGCTGCGGCGGATGCTTCGGCGGTCGAGGCTACGGTAACATCGCTGATTGGGTCCGCGGAAGCGATGAGAGAGGGAGGTGGCAGAAGCGGGTTGGGGCTCCGACCGACCAGTCTGCGGGCTGCGGACGAGAAGGGATGGGGCGTCGCGCGGGTTGGAGGCGTGGGTGCTTGCTTTTGTAAGACATGGTCGCGGCCAGAGTCGCCAGCCTGCCAGGCCGGCGCCTCGCGTGGCCCCCGCTTTCGGCTTAGCCTTGGAGCCCGCTGAATCAGGGATCTGCAGGGGACTCGGCTGTTTGACACTCTGACTTTGACATTCACATGGCCTCCAAATCAATTAACCCCGTCCTGAGAAACCTCCATCAATCGAATTCGTCCTTGTGCTTGGTGTTAGCTGTCGTTTCCGCCCAGCTTTTTTGCCTCCGTCCTCCGATATGCCCGTTGACCGCTCTTCGCACGGTACAAACGGATGATCCACGGGCATATTCCCGCCGGTTCCATGGTACATTGTCGGCAGATGCGCTCTGAAGCCAGCTGCTGGCCTTTGAGACGGATGTTTGCGGTGACGTTGCGTCCCTACGAGGTTGTCTGTCCGGTCTTTGTCAGCCAACCGCCGTCAATCTCATCACAGATCTCTTAGATAATGATGTTTCTCGTATGTGCGTGCTCTAAGATCTTTTCGCTCGATGTAGAGCTCGGGTCTGTAGCTAGCCAAGGAGCATTCTGTAGGGACTGCTTGTATTCTTCACTGTTTCGCTGGGTGGTGAATTTCGCTTCATGGTGACGGGGAGATTCAATTTTTAAACCTGTGGCTTCCCGCGATAGAACTCATACTAATGAGATATTAGACATTGTTTTCTAAAAGAGCGAGGCCTGTCTTTACAATCAATGGGTCTCCAAGCCCCCCGTCCTTATGCGGACCCCACCCTCGTACCCTGTCATGCCGTGCCTGTCCGGCACCAGATCAAGCCGAAGCTTTCCCGGTAGACAACGTCCCGCGTGAACGTCCCCTCCTCTAGAACCCCCATTCTGAACGCCGTTTCACCCTCTTGAAGATCTCGTGGACCTCGTCTCGCCCGCCTTGTCCCCCTTCCTTGGCCAAACGCCAAATGTTTCTTAGGTCGCGCTCATCGATGTGTTTGATACGCTCGGGGTCATCTAGGCTGCGCGGCACGTAGTCGCCCGCCTGATCTTTACACGCATCGAATGCTGGTGAACTGAGCCTTTCCAACTTCCCCTTGAAACATGACCTCAGGATGGCATCAAATCTTTCCGACGCATTGTCGACGTCTTCTGACACGCGTGTCCAGCTGCATATGATGCTTGGAAAGGGCTCCATGAGGGAAGTGGGGACGGCGATAACCTGCGACCAGTCAAGAAGCCCTATTGGAATGCCTTCGCCGTCAAGAAGCAAATTTTCCTCGGTCATGTTGGGATGGTACAGGTGTGCAGCTTTCTCCCCTAACGGCGGGCAGACTTTTGGAAGAAGATACAAGAGTTCCAGACAGTTCTGCATGCCAGAAGCAAAAGCGTCTTCGCTGAAGTCGTTCTCGTTGGTTTCCTCTGCCGTGTCTTCTTCTTCGTTTTCTTGATTATACTCGTCCAAAAGGTACCTTTGGGATTGCCAATCTATTGTGTCGTCTTCGTCAATGGGTCCCAAGCTCTCGATCTTGGCTCTGAGGCTCGCAAGCTCGCTCCATACAGGGTCAAGATCCCCCTCTAATCTTGATTCGCCTTCTCCATCGTATGAGGGTAACGTATCCATCTCCTTCCTATCGTACTTTCGTTGAAGCATTGCAAGCTCCGAGCGCTTCCTCTGCTTTTGGTCCATGATCTCGTGAAGTGAAAGTTCCACAAAAGACCTTAGGAAATGTTCAGTGGTAGAAAATGGTCCATGGAACACGCCATATTCCAAACGCCAGTCCCACATGTAGCACAACTGTACGGCAGGTCCTAATTCGAAAAGCTCATCAATCATTTCGGGGTCTGGGAGTTGACGGAATCGCAATTCTCTGACGGAATTCTGCGCATTGCCTGTTTGCGGAGGCATTTGTATCTCATCACGTGGTAAAATCTTCCTTAGCAGGTCAGTCCCTCCCATATAGAGGTCTCCCAAGAGATCATCGTTCTGCCAGGTTGCATCATTGTAACCAGTTGAATTATTCTGCCAGGTTGAAGAGGGTATCCTGCGCTGGCTTGATACAGAGCCCTCGCTTGGGGACTTCTTCCGATGGTAGAGGCTTCCAATTTCATTAAACCTCAAAAGCGATAGCTGGTTCGTCCATTCGGCCAAGACTAACACGATGTTGTACTTTAGGTCGAAGTCAAGTGCGTTGTTCAGAGCATAAAATGTGCTGGACCACTCTCCGAGCTTGTCCATCAGTATCCACTCATGGCCCATAGCGTTATCGCCGCTCGCATCGTACGCGTAGACTTTTGCGACCGGAATACTTGTTTGGAGGCGGACATATTTCATTGTTGCGACCTCACTTTCCGTCAAGTACCAGGGGAATATTGGAAGATTGATCTTTAGCAAGTATTCTTTTCCCCGATCAGACCCACTTCGTACGGTGTAATACCTGGCAGCGTCGCCACCATACGCGGTGGTGGGTCCCGAGTAGAAATTGTCGATAACGAGCTCTTGAGGATGCATGCCGAGGTCTGGCAAGTGCGGCTCTAATGTTGCTTTTACTTTATCAATATTAACGTTCCATCGTCCATTGACACTTGCGTAGTTCCATTTGAAGTATCCACGTCGCCTTCGTCGGAAGTATTCCACGGGATCAGCACCAGGTTGAGGTCGGAAATGCCTGTTACGAGCATTGGCGTCCTCCATTCTGTGAGACTGGGAGTGTTTGTATTCAGGAACAAGCTAATGAGTGCTTCTAAAGATTTGGTGAGCTCTTTTGGGGATACAGTGATAAAATGCTGAGCATTTGGGTGAGGCGAAGTTTGGCGGTTCTATTCGTAATGATGTTGCAACTAGGAGAAGGTGAAGGTAGGTGTTGTTGTTGCTTTGGCATGGAGCTTCCTATCTTTCAAAGCTGACCAAAAGAGGCAGGAGGAACGTCGACTCCCCCGCCACAAAAAGCACAAAGTTTGCGCACAGATATTACTCGCTGTGTTAACAAAGTGCACACGCTTCACGTGTCGGCTGTCAAACTCTGCGTGGGTACAGCGTGTTAATCGTTCACTTTCACATCGTCTTTGACACCATCAGCGAACAACTAAATTTCCGCCGCCTACTTAAGAGCCACCCACCACCCTCTTCCCTTTTCCACCTTCAACAAACTGCGCTACTCACCTTCGGTATCGCATGCCTTCTGACAACTCCGCTTCTGAAGCTTCTCATCCCTTCGACCATCCCTTCGACAACATGAAGCCTTCTTTCCTTGAGAGGGCCCTCACCGGCAAAGGCAAACGCAAGCGTAATAGCCCGCCTGACGCCCAGGCTGATAGCCCATCGCCGGCGTCACAGAGCCGTTGGTCGCCTGACAGCAACGCGTCGCGTTCACCCTCCAGCAGCGCAGATGGTCTTCCACCCGACAGGTCAGTTTTCCCGTCGAGAGACGACGGTGACATCAGCAAGAAGCATGCCTTGAAGCTGCGCGATCGGTTCAAGGGCTCTCTGCGTACGTTCTCCAGCTCCCAGAGCCTGAATTCCGTGGCTTTGAAGCAAGCGACCCCGGAACCGCAACACAGCCCAAACTTCTCGCCGACAAGCTCACCCCTTAGCCGGATCAGTTCAAGCAAAGTCAATACCTCGAGCAATCTTAAAGACTCGATCACGAAGAGGGGTATTTTTCCTCACAGGCGCCATGCTCAGACCACCGAGCCAATCAGTGAGCAGGAAACCGTTGTCGACAACTCTGAGTCCGCTGCGGTTGTCGTTCCCGTGGACGAAAACCACGTACGCGACTTCGCTTCCGGACCGAAGGAGCCCGAAACTCCTCACCCTTCGACCCTCTCCCCTTCGACTTCGTCACCTCTCACTTATTTGAGCACTCCGGAGCTGACTCATTCGTCGGAATCCCCCACTGACCCTTCGCCTAAGACCCCGACCGACCCGGAGGCGAGTCCGTCCTCAAACTCTCACGACTCTTCCTCTGACGACTCGCCACCCAACCCTCCCTATGACTCTCCATCCAGCTCTCCCCCCGACAGTCCCTCCCAGGTCTCTCCCTCAGGACATCACGATATCATGCCCCAGCTGCACGGCGCGATTGATTCACACATTGCGAGGTTTAGCGGTAGCAGCGACGACGACTCCACGCCAAGAATCATAGCCACCGAACACGCTCATCGGTCGGCCAGTAGAATCAATTCCTTTGCCACGGTCAATTCTTTTGTCACGGCGATGGAAGAGCCTCCTGACTCTGGTGTTCCTGTGGCGGATGCCATTCCTGTGGCGGCTTCTCATTCACCGGAGTCTGAGTTCGAGAGTGAACAAGATTGGGAGGCCCAGGCTGTAGTTGATTGGATTGAAGAGTTCCCGCTTGTACACAACAGTGATGAAGTCACATCTTCTGTGGTCACTTCTCTTACCGCAACTGATGCTCTGCCCCAGGATTGTTGTGAGAGAGACCCGGACACATTACCCATTCGCGTATCCATGGGAGGGCCCCCAGAGCTCTCTACAGACCTCCGAAAAGGTGTCATGGTGCACAAATACGATATCCTCGACAATAGCTGGGAACCTGCTTGGAAGATGGAGCCCGACATCGCTAAGATCGCAAACGTGATCCGCCCTTTCACAGGTCTTTGTGGTCTCGGAAAGGACATTGATGTCAAGTTCTTGGCCGCAGGCTTGTTCAACAAAGTCTACATTGTCTCGTCTACGGACAAAGACAGTAAGGGAACCAAGGAATGCATTTTCCGTTGCGCACTTCCAGATTTTCCTTGGTACCGCACACAGATCGAGGTCTCTACCATGGAGTATGTTCGCCACAACACTACCATTCCAGTTCCTAAGATCTATGCCTTCGACTCCTCGATGGATAACGAGCTTGGCCTTGAATGGATACTCATGGAAAAGGTCCAGGGTACTACCTACGCGGACGCCCAATCCAAGATGACATTTGAAGCCAAGGTTGAATTGCACAAGACTGTAGCCGACTGGGTTGACCAACTTTCCCGCATCCAATTTGATACGATGGGATCTCTGTACCATTCCTGGAACAATCCTTTGTCGGACAAGGACTCTTATCACGTTGGCCCACTCAACGATGACGAATTCGTATCCGACCTGCGTCTTGACTTCAATTTGGATCGTGGACCTTTCGAAAGCAAGAAGCAGTACACCAGCTCGCGTATTGCCTTTGCGATTGCCGAAACTCAGGACCTTCGGATGGAAGAACGTGCTCGTTACTGGGCGCCTATTCTTGTCCGCAGGGAATTGTTTTGGACAATGGAAGAACAGGTCAGAAAAGCGAAAAGCGCCAAGCTCGAGAGAGAGCAGGAGGAAGAAGCCGAGAGAGTCGCCAAGGAAAAGTACATGGAAGGTCGGATTCGCCCCAAGCCAATTCCAGAGGAATGGAAAGTTCTTGATGGGCTGAGTGAGAACGTGGAATGCAGCCTTAACATCAACGAGGACATGGAATCTCTGGGCGATCAGAGATACGACCTCGAGTCCCTCAAAGAGATGCCTAGGTATCTGCTCAAGCTGCAGAGTTGTCTCCCTATCATCTTCGGCCGCGAGCAGTTCGAGCAAGGCTCTTGTTGGCTGCACCATGGAGATATCCACGAATGGAACATCATTGTGGACGACGACGGCAAAGCGGTCGCTCTTCTTGATTGGGAAAAGGCATCGTCTACTCCTTTTGACTGGGTCTCACGCTACCCCAAAATCATCGACACCGCAGACTACGACGAGCCGGAACCTTGGACAACCATTGGCCCCATGGACGAAGACACCGCTTGGGAGTGGGAACAATGGGGGCGTGTGCTGTTGAGGGAGACTTTCGATGAGCGCCTGGAGCAGCTTCAGTCACCTTTCCTGAAGGAACGTGAAGAGTACCCTGAGGAGCTTGAAGCTATCGACAACTCCTTGGCGTTTGCTGGCAGCTGGAAGGATAGGGAGTTCATCCCGAATCTGAAGGCGAGGCTGGTCAGAAAGTTGGTCTAGTGTAGCATGTAGCATCGAAGACTAGCATGCTGCAAGGACATTCAGAAGATGACTTGCTCATGGCTAATCATGTAAGGTCTTTGCTTGGGTGCGGACTGTAATTTTCCTAGGTTAGTTTTTGTTGTTCTTTTGACTATTGATGTAGTTTTTCTCACTTTCTTTTGCGTTTAGTAGATAAGAAAAAATGACAAAAAAAAGTTATAGAATGCCTCCCTTCCAAAAAATATACGTAATATGAAAAAAATACAAACATTAACGTCTTCTAAGTAGGCGAACTTAATTAAGTACACCCGCGTGACATGTTATTCTGCTGGCTTCGGTTTCTAAGTATTTACTTGCTGTTACAATTCTATTTGAATACAATAGCCATGGTATCTTGCTTGGCCCATGAAACTCCGCACAGTAAGGAAAGAAAATCATTTTTAGAACAGAAAATAATTGTTGTTTTTCTTTCAAGTTACATTATCCTATCACAATGCATTCTAACGTAAAAGCAGATGATAAAAGTTTTATCCTCCCAAGATTTTACGATGACTTCAGTTTCTACCTCGCTTTTTAATCTGCCTCGTAGTTTTTTAATTTTCACATTATGATTCTAGGGACATCACTTTCAGGAAATGCATTTGGGGAAAGGTGTTTTTTTTTTTTTTTTTTGGATTTTTATCAGGGTTCTACGTGAGTGATGCTTTCTGTGATTATGTCTTCGAGCGTGAGTGAGACTCGAAAGTGTGCTCAGTTGCTCAAAGTTCAGTGATGGGATAGGGTATACTGTCAGCTGAGCTTGTTTGGTAGCAAGCAAGCATGGGGAAACGCAGGTGTCATTGTGGGGAATTGGATGCAGTCGTGTGAAGTTCGTGCAGTCGTGTAAAGCTCGTGCAGTTGTGGGAATCGGGTATAGTCGTGTAAAGCTCGTACAGTCGTGGGAATCGGGTATAGTCGTGAAGCTGGTGCAGTCGTGGGAAAGCCTGTAGAAAGCAAGTGTAGTCATTAGCAAGCCAAGGAAAAGGAAGGGTGATCGTATCATACCGGCCATCGCAAAGGGAAAACCAGCCCGGTATTAGTTGTGATCAGGGAAAGGGGATGAAGTCGTCAGTAAGCCTACAGAAAAGCAGGTGTAGTTGTCAGCAAGCCCAAGGAAAGCAGGTGTGATCATATCATACCAGTCGTTGCAAAGGAGAGATTAGCCGGCATTAGTTGTGGTCATCGTTAGTGGAGGCCATGGCGCTCAAGGGTTGCGAGTGCGGTTTGCGGAGGTGAAGCAAGTCAGCAGTTACTGCGCATCACACTGTGAGGAAGAAATGCCCAACCGCGTCGGATGTTGGCGTAGGCTCCAGCGACATGGAGGCACTCAGGCGTAGTCAGCCTCCTTACCACCGACTCCAGTGTGCGCGTTCTTCCAGGTTCTGTCACCCTGGATGACGCAGTTGTGAACAGGGACTTGAAGTATTCCGTTCTTCATCTCCTTCTCATCGACATCCGCGCAGGACGACTTTAGCGCAGCCTTGACCATAGCAGCGGGCGGGGGCTTGTTCTCCAAGGCGCTGGAGACGAAGATGGTAGCATAGGTGCTACCAGTACCGCTGCTTCTGATATCCTTTGCATTACTATGCCCTTTCTTGTCGGTAGCCTTGCTTCGCTTGCTACCCTTTCCGGTTCGTCCCTTTTTAGCTTGCAGCGAGACCTGATAGTAGGTGACACCGGCTTTAAACTCTCCGTCGTCGACAGCCCTCGTGATAGTGTGTTCCCTATCGAGGTGGTAGTCCATTTCTGAACTGTCTACAGTGCTGCTCTTACGAGAGCCGCGCATGTAGTTTCCACCCTCGAGCTTCTTGTCATCGAGGGAGTCGATGCAAGCCCAAAGCTTGGCTTTCGTAGCAGCAGTCATGTTTTCTTGTCGAGTGAGTGAGGCTGCAGATCTGGTACCAGTGAAGCTGACTTTCGTGAGTGTTCGCTGAGTTCTCCGTGGGTGTAGAGGAAAAGGAAGAAGGAGCGGAGCGAAGAGCGCTTTTATAAGCATAGAAAGTGTTAACTGTGAAAGTACGATGGGGGCATTGCTGCGTGACAACGCCCACCTCCATTCACAGTGTACTCGTATAAACATAAGATATGTTGAGGCCTTGACTGCGAAGGAGGATCCCGCAGTGTACGCGCGCGTGAAGAACAGAGCTGGCAACACGCCAGCGTGAAGGCTCTCCCGCTTGATGCCAGCCTTACCGCCGTCCTCGTACTCCTCTCTCTCATCTCCCTCCCCGTCGTCTTTGCCATCCTCAGTGCCCAGCTCGTCGTCCTCTTTTAGCGGCCTCCAGTTCGTCAGGGCCGTCCCTCTGCGTCAGCAGTGGGAGGTGGGCAAAGGAAGTGCTTGTCGCCCCCGAGCAGGCCCTGGCATCTGCCGCCGGTCAGGATCCCCAAGAGACACACACGTCGCGCAGCCGCGGTGGGCATCAGACAGGACGTCGTCGCCTTGCCGCAGCGTGCCGTTGCTGCGCCGCACACCTTGCACGCCCAGCACCTGGTGGAAGAGCTCGTCCGTCCTGGCGTGGGCGTGCGTCTTGCCATCCTCATCGCCCATCTCCTCGTCCTCTTTTGGCGGCCGAGCTCAGTGAGCCCGTGTTTGTCTTCTTCTCTCGTATGACTATCACGGCATTTATATCAAAGGCCCCGGGTAATTTGCCCACCCCTTAACTATATATTGAATAAAGTATATAATACCTACATAATACCTCTTAGATAGTTACAATAGACTGTTATACTACAGCTAATAGATACTATATAATTATATAAAAGCAAAAATATACGAGTACTAGAGTATACTACGAGAGCATAGAGGTATAGATATATACGACTACTAGAGTATCTATAAGGGTATAAAAATAAAACATTCGAAGGGTATAAAGGTACTTATAAGGGTATAGAGACCTAAGATTTTAAGGGGTAGAAAATATGTTGTATAATTCTGTAGATGCTATCACGTGGGGTGGGCAAAATATCTAGAGGGGGTGGGCAGATTATCCGGTGCCATATCAAACACTGCAGTGAGCGCTCCTCCACAGAATATATGTACAAGGCATTTCGCATCTTCGGCCAGCGACACCTACCACGCTTTATATCCCTTTCCTTCTGAACAATTTGCTACAAACAAACAAGCAAACAAGCTCACCACACACGACCCCACAAACAGGTCACTAGCATGAGTTTCGCACCAGCAAGCGTCCGGGCGGCTCAGGAGGCAGTAGTTGTAAAGGGCATTTTGCGCGCAAGAGGGAGTGGAGGCGTGGATGCGTGGATGCGTGGGGCGGGCGGGATCCATTGGCGTTGTGTGTGGCATGTAAGGCGACGATAACGGCCGGGGCGGCGGGGTGTTATGCCGAGACGAAGTTGTGGGGGTTTTGAGTATGGTATGGTGTGGAGTTTATGGCGCGGCGTAGCTTTGACTGAATCTATCAGTTTGCCCGCTTGCACCGGAGCAGGGGCTGCGGGCAATCACGTAGCTCGTGAAAAGGTGTGTGTACGCACCCACTGCACCGTAGCAGACGAGCCCAGAAGGCAGTGTCCCAAACCCCAGTACCATACTACCAATCTCGCTCCACGCAATCTCAGAAGAAACGAGGAAGGAAAAGAATAAGAAGAATCACCCATTAATTGCTACGAGAGTGGTATCGCTGAACCCCTTCCCATCCCATCCCATCCCCAACGCCACGCTAAACCCTTAAAGAACCCGCAGATAACAGAAACGCAAAAGAACCCCCAGCCCCATTTCGAGACCGTTCGTATACGGGAAGAGGAAGCAGGAAAAAAAGAAAGCTCAGAAGATGCGGCGCAGGATCATGAATGCCAGCGCGGCGACGATGCCGTAGATGGCCTTGTCGATCCAGGCCGGGACCGCGTCGTCCGCGCGCCGAGGCTGCTGCTGCTGCTGCTGCTGAGGAGGCGGCGGGGCAGGGCGCGCTGCAGCGGGTGCGGGTGCAGGCGCAGGGGCAGCGGACAGCGGGGCAGAGGCACTCGCAGCCGGTGTGGTCGTCTCGGTCTTTTGCGCAGATGACGTCTCCTCCTCGTTCGCGGCTGGCGGAGCGGCGGCCTTGCTCGACGATTCGCCCGGCTCAGCCTGCTTGCCCAAGTCCTCGCGGTATGCGAGCCTCAGCTCCTCGGGGACCTCCTCCTCCTTGATCTCGCCCTTGCCAACCATTTCCCTGACTAGGTCCTCGCGCTCGGTCATGACGTCCGCGTTAGTCTTGCCGCAGCTAGCGCAGCGATGGGTGACGGACTCGGCGGCCATTTTCCTGCGGGCAGCCTCGGTGCAGTCGATGCCGCCGACCTGGCCCTTGGCGTCCGTGTCCATGAAGCTGCGGATAGCGACGAGCGCGGTGCGGATGCCCCACGCTGGCTGCCAGGACTCCTCGTGGTGGCCGCTGATGCTGAGGCAGATCTCGCGGTTGACTTCGAAGCGGCCGGTCGGCGTGACGAAGCGGAAGGAGGGCGGGCGCAGCGGGTACGCGGGCGGCAGGATGATGCGCCCGTGGTAGATGCCGCCGGCGTAGGGTGAGGGCGCCGGGGGCCCGCGCAGCGTAAAGTGCCATTCGAAGAGGTTGTCTTCGAGCGGCTCGGCGTGGTATTCGGTCGAGGCATTGTTGGCCAGCTCCGACGCTTCTTTCACTGCGGTACATAGATATTGTCAGCGCGGGGGGGGATCGTTATCGCAGCGGGTGCGGGGGTCTCGCGTACGGATGCGCTTGATGGTGGGGTTCTTGGTGTTGAATTGGCCGCGGGTCGCCATGGTGCGGGCGGGCTGGGAATGGGTCGGGGGGGCGAGGGCGGTCGTGGGGTTCAAGGCATCAAGGCGGACGAGGCTGTGGTTTTGTCTTGGGTTCTGAATGCAACGTAGCTTCAAGCTTGGTATCGCGTCCGACAGCTGATGTCGGCATTTTACGGCGGCCGATTGGGGCCAGGATGGCAGGGAGCAGATATGTGCTCTAGCACGCCATTTGTCTCGGTCGTCCTCCTACAAATATGAGCACGTTCTCAATCCCAAATCCCCATCCTGTCTCATCCACGGCATCGCACCAATCGACGCAACCATTCCAAAACCGAACCGTTTCACCTATTTCAAGCCCATTATACGCACTCACAATCAGGCACTAAACATGTCAGATACACAAGGACGGGCAATTGAGACAAAGAACACATCTACTTGAAACCCAAACCTCAAAACATCAAACAAGCGACCCCTCTATGCCCGTTCCCCACGGGACGTCTACGTTCAAAAACAACGTCTGCTAGGCCAAAGCGCACTCACTTACCAACAGAAATCCAAACACACAGACGACCATGCACGCAAAAACCGCAGATAGGTGAATGCTAGGCATGCATAGACCAAAGCACATGACGGGTACAGGTACAGTACATAAGCATTCGTGACCAGGTAGTTAAGTCGGTAAATAACTGCCTGCCCGTCTGCCTGACTACGCAGACAAGCAGACAAGCAAGCAAGCAGAGAGGAAGAGGTATCAAAGACAACGACGAAGACAACACCAACAACAACGACACCAACCCCCACATTACCACCCCCACTAAAAAGCCCCAACTAGCTAGTAGCTAGCTAACTAGCCAACCAACCAAAACACCTACAGTGCAAACGCCGCAGCCGCAACGCCGGCAACCGCCAGCAGCGGCGCAGCAAAGTGGCCCGCGCCGCCCGCCGAGGGGCTCGCCGTGGCCGAGGCAGAGGAGGACTCCTCGCCGCTCTTAGCCGCCGAGGTAGCTGTGCGCGCATCTTCGTCAGCAAATACGATTCCACAACAACAACAACCGGACAAAACAAAGAACAAAAGAACGCAAACCACTCACCCTTCGCAGTCGCCGACCCGCTGCCACTGCTCGCCTTGCCGCTCGCACCCGTGCTAGACGCACCGCTCGCAGACGCGCTCGCCGTCCTTGCCGCCAGCCTCTCCAAGCCCGCCGTGATCGTCAAAGGCCCAAACGACATGTCCTCGCTGGCGAGCGTAGTCGTCGTATCCGTGGGGGCCTTAGCGTTCTTCCCGCCGACACTAGCATGGCAGCTCGCGCGGGTAGTGCCGTCCAGCTTGCAATCGATCAGGAACTCGTTGCCGTAGGTGTCGTACTCGTCCTCGAGATCGGTGGCGACGGAGGCAGAGTCCGTTTGCACGGTGTAGGAGTAGGCGAGGGTGGCGGGGCCGGCGGTGATGGTCATGGAGGGGTAGAGGCCGCAGTCGTCGGCGTCGGTGTCGGGCGCGCAGGCGATGGCGTAGGTGACTGCGTTGCCGGAGACGCCGATCACCGAGGCGACCGGGTCGTTGTCGAAGCCCATGTTGAACCACGAGGTTACGGAGGTGCTTTGGGCGAGGGCGCCGGTGCTGGCGAGGAGGGCGAGGGCGGTGGTCGTGGTGGCGTGCATGGTTGCTGTTTGTTGTTGTTTGTTTGTGTGTGTGTATATGGAATAATCCGTACTATACGACGAGAGAGAGCGTGGTGGAGTTAAAATAAAGACAGTATGTAAGTGTATGACGACTACGACGGTGACAACGACAGAGACAGAGAGCAGCGAGCAGAGAGGGCTGAAGGGCTAAAGCACTCGAGAGAGAGAAAAGGCACGCAGGCCTCTTAAAAGAAATGAGCACCCAGGACCACCACGCCACGATGCAGCCTAGTGGTCTAATTCCCCCATCTAGGCGCCCGCGAATCCTTCGCGCTGCCTCATGCAGCCCAAGCGCCTTGGCAGGGGCCGGGACCAGGCCGCTTCCGTCGCTAGCGCGCACTGCTTGTCGGGGTTAAGGTTTCTGCCTCATCTCGCGCGGCCCGGGGTACGAGAGGGCGAGGCCCGAGACCGCCCGCCAGGCCTGGTCTGATCTCCCGCTGCTCGCTCGCTCATCACTCACCCGTCCAGCACCCGATGCATCAGCGCGCGGCTGGCACCCACGAACCGCAGGTACAGCTCCCGCTTGTGCGGCAGGAAGAGGTCGTCTGCGCCGCGCAGGCCGTACGCCTGGAGCAGCGCGTCGGCGGCGCCGTCTGTCGTTAAGCATAAGTTATTGGCACCGTCTATCTTTCAACACTCATATGGAAGGTCAATACTTACGGCTCAGTTCCCTTACCGCCCGCCCGCTCCGGGGCACCGCGCCCAACCCAGCCAGCGGCAGCACCGCGAGCGGCTCGTCCAGCTCCGTCACCTCTGCGTTGCGGGCGCGCTGCTCGGTCCGCTGCCTGTAGGTTGCGGAAAGATGCTCGTTAGCGCGCCATCTTGCCTTGCAGAATCAATACCTAGGTAACTAGGTACTTACATCTCCACACGCAGCTCGCTGGCGCTGCCCTGCCCCTCCCCGACCCCTAGCCCTCCAGCACCCCGGTACAGCATCGTGCGCGCCTCGTCAATCCCGCGCGCCATGCGCTCTAGCAGCGCAAACATGCCCGTCGCCAGGGACGGTGTTGGCGCATCAGTCTTCTGCTGCTGTTGATTCTGCAGAAGTAACGACTGCACGAGGCCACCACCACCGACACCGCCCCCAAAAGGCCCCACCGGCACCACCGCCTCCGGCGTTCCCGGCGTTCCCGGCGTTCCCGGCGTTCCCGGCCGAGCCGGCGCAGACGCACCCGCAGCGCGCAGCGGCGACCCGAACTCGCGCCTCTGCTGCTGGTGCTGGTGCTGGTGCTGGTGCTGGTGCTGGCGCTGCTCAAGCCCCATCATCGGCGCAGGCGCAGACGTCGGGCCCGCTGCCCGCCTGCCTTGCGCCTGTGCCTGCGCCGCGGTGTTCCGCACGAGCGGGCGCGCGCGCTGTTGCTGTTGCTGTTGCTGTTGCTGCTGCTGCTGCTGCTGCTGCCGCAAATGCAGCGGATGCGGCGCCGAGCGTGGGTAAGGGTGGCGCGCGGGGCGTGGGCGGCCGATGAAGTGCCCGGAGGTGCGCTGGAAGGTTATGCCGCTGCTGAGGGGGTTGGAGTTGGAGTTGGGGTTCGAGTTCTGGTTCTGGTTGGAGTGTGAATTAGGGTGCGGCGGCAAGCCGACGTCCTCGGGGGGCTGGCTGTGCGAGCGCATGTGCTGCGTGTAGGGCTGCTGCTGGTGGTGCTGGTGATGCTGCTGCCTTTGTTCCAGCGCAAAGTAGTCGCTCGAGAAACGCTGCTGCTGCTGGGGCGCAGTGCCCACATGCCCTCTCTGCTGCCCCGCAGCAGCGAAGCCGCCTACACCCGCACCCGCACCCGTACCCAGCAAGTCCAGCCCCTGCCACTCGCCATGCAGCTCAGCCAGAACGTCAGCATCAGGCGCGGAGAGGACAGTCCCGCACGGGCTGCCGGGTGGCTGGGGCGAGGCGGCCAGGTCCGCAAACACGGCGTGTTCTTGGGGGAGCCAGACGTCGTCGAAGAGGGGGAAGTCTGGGATGCTGTTGCCGTTGCTGTTGAGGTTGTTGAGGCTGTTGTTGCCGTTGTTGAGGCTGTTGAGGTTGGTTAGGTTGAGGCTGTTGTTGTTGCTGCTGCTGCTGGGCATGGCGGCTAGGGCCATGGGGTCGACGGTCTGGAAGGGGGGCGGGGTGGCGGCGGCCGCGAGGAGCTGGTTGAAGTCGTGGTCGCTGAGGGGGGCGTCGGTTGTGGTGGTTATGGCTGTGGTGGTGTTGTTGTTGGGCTCGAAGTCGAAGGTGGTGCTCGTGGTTGTGGTTGTGGGTGGTGCTGCTGGTGCTGGTGCTGGCTGGGGCGTGGGTGGGCCGTTGCCGTTGCCGTTGTCGTCGTCGTTGTCATTGTCGACGTCGAGACGGGGCCGTTTGCGCGGGTTTGATGCGCCTGGCGATGGGCTGCCGGGTGAGCAGGCTAGGGCGTAGGCGGGGGTGGCCATTGGATGCGATTGCGTTGTTGTTGCTGCTGCTATCGGTACCTATTGCGGCCTTCGTTCGTGTGCGGTTCTGCTGCGCGTGAGTGAATGCTCTCTACCCAGGTAGGTTGGTCACTGAAAGCGCATCCTACCCACGTACCACCCGGGGCGATGACCACGGCTCTTTTCGTCCAGCAACACGGATAGGGGCCACGAAGGCGCTGAAACGGAGACGTCGGAATGGAGAAAGAAAGACTTGACAAAGCCAAAGCCAAAGCCAAAGCCAAAGTCAAAGCACAGGGAGCAAACGAGACACCAAGTCTCCACGCCGAGAAGCGGGTGCGTAGAAGGAAGGCTAGGGACCGGGGCGAGTATCTCAACGAGCGAGGAAGTAGGAGAAGGGATCAGAAGAAAGAAGAAGAAAGAAAGCAGAAGAGCAGAAACAACAACCCAACAGCACCCACCCACCCACCAACGCGGTGATAATAACCCTAAACCTGCCGGCTCCCGCCCTCACGTCAACAGCAAGGCACCTAGTGCCACGCCATGACATCCCGCCGTCTCCGTGCAGTACAGGACAGTGCCTGCATCGCGCCGCGCCGTGGCGGGCGGGGCGTGCACGTGAGACATGGCATGGCATGAGGCAGGCAGGCAAACGGGCTATCCATGCCCATGTCCGTGGCGGGTGCGTGCATGCGCGCGCGCGTGCGTACCTACCTACCGACCTGTGGCGTAGAAGGAGAAACATGGTGAGAGATGGAGAGAGAGAGCAGAAAAACCTCGCCAGACAACAATGCAACAACCCACCAGCGCCCACCAAGCCTCGGAATGAAAAAAAAAAAAAAAAAAAAAAAAAAAAAAAAATAGCGGTGGCTAGACCAAACCTCCATACTACCTAGGGTACCTAGGTAGGCTTCCACGCGTCTCAAACCCAGGCAGGCAGACAGGCAAAAAAGCACAACAACAACTGCAGATCTCGATTCTGGCTGGTTGGCTGGTTGGCTGGTGCTCAAGGGTCCGTTTCGTTTGCTCCCTCGCGCGCCCACATCCATCCATCCATACCTACCTACCTAGGTACCTAGGCACAGTGCCTGTCTCGGGCCGTCGCCGCAGCATCCGTCACGTCGCGGCGCGCTGCGCGCTCCCGTCCCCAGAAACAGCCCTCCTCTTCAAACGCCAGGCCAACGGCGCCACCACACGGCTCAGCCCACAACCAGCCACCCAGCCAGTCGCCTACGCCGGCACGCCCTCCAGCCCCAAAACCCTAATGGCGTTTCCGCCCAGCACGGCCTGCTTGCCAGCCTCGTCGTGCGCAAACGTGGCGTTGATGGCCGCGTAGTTCGTTTGCACGCTTTGCCACTGCTGCGAGTCCGCGGCGTCAGTGTCGGCGTCGTCATCTTTTCCTAGAGGCGGGAAGAAGGGGTGGTCCGTTCCTGTTTGGGGGGGGGTGGGTGTCAGTTTGGGGTTCATTTGTTTCGTGTTTGGGGGAAGGACGTGGGTGGGTAGGTAGGTAGGTAGGGGGTGTATGCACGCAGCCGCGCCGTGCAGATGATCAGGTAGCTAGGTAAGTACGCACCAAACATAAGCCTATCAGCGCCGCTTACCGCGACGGCCGCCCCCAGCCCAACGTCCGAGTAAACAACCGCGTCCAGAAACACGTTCGTCCTCAGGACGTCCCACACGCTGCGCTTGTTCCTGCGGCCCTCGCGCGACAAAAACTCGTCGTGCGCGATGCAGCTCTCGATGCGGCCGGCGAGGAAGGGCAGCGCGCCGCCCGAATGCGCGAGCAGCACGCTCAAGCCCTCGAAGCGGTCCCACACGCCCGCCAGCAGCATGCGCGTGACGGCTATGGTGGTCTCGAGCGGGAAGCCCAGCGCCAGCGGGAGCACGTGGCCATAGTCGGTGGCGCGGGGCCCCCACACCTCGGCCGGGAGGCCGTAGTGCGGGTGCAGGAAGACGGGGAGGCGGGCCTTCTGCAGGGCGGCCCAGACGGGGTCGAGGGCCGGGTCGTCGAGCCCTTGGCCCTGGCCCAGGCCCGCCGTGCCCATGATGACGCCGCGCAGGCGCGGCAGCTGCGCAATGCGCTGGACCTCGTCGGCGACGGCGTGGGGAGAGGCGCTCAGTGGCAGGGCGCCGAATGCGAAGAGCCGGCCCGGGTGCTGGGCGCAGAGGGCGTCGAGCTCGGCGTTGATGGCCGTGGCGGCGGGGACGGCGTCGGCGGGGGCGAGGAAGTCGAGCCAGGGGTTGGCGAGGCTGATGACCGAGGCGGCGATGGCGTGCGTGTCCATGAAGGAGAGCTTGACTTCGATGTCGTAGTAGGCGGGGCCGACGGGGCGGCCGCGCGCCGTGCTGGGCGTCGAGGGCGAGTCTTCGCCCGGCAGGATGATCAGGCGCGCGTTGTCGGGGTCGTCGGGGAAGTTGCGGATGTAGGGGACGGTGGTGCGGGAGCGGAGGAGCTCCATGTAGCTCGGGGGGTAGACGTGGGTGTGGATGTCGACGGTGGGCATGGTGGCGGTGGTGGTGAGGGTAAACTGGAGGCTCAATGGGAGGAGACTTGGAGTGAGAGACGAAGAGCAATTGTCCATGCAATCCCCGCAGTGCTCGGCATCGTCACACGCCTGCCACAAGGAGAAAACACACCCGGCGGCTGAATGTGTGTGTACCTGCAGGTCGCACAGAAGCTGGCCTCGATAAGCCCCGCCTTCTTATCTACGCCATCCATCCCCTCGTCTTCGGGCACTGCGCGGGGCTCGCCGACGCTTTCACCCACCAGCGCGATAATGGCGGGCGGACGCAGTGTGCGGAGTGGCTTGGGCGCGCGGATACATAGCCGTGGTGTTGTCTGGCCAACTCACCTCTGCACATCCCCGGCGCGGAGCATCACGAGGCAGATACCAGAAAGACGCACCATGGCATCCAGCAAGATCGACCCCGCCGTAGAGAAAGACGACCTCTTCATCCCCGTGCGTGCCCTCATCCACTCCGCACCGCTTAAGCACCGACTAACGCGGCGCAGCTGATCGACTTCGCGCAATACACGCACGGCACGGCGGCCTCACGGGAGCACGTCGCGCGCGCGCTGCTCAGCGGCTTCCAGCGCGCCGGCTTCGTCTACCTCTCCAACCACGGGATCTCGCGCGCGACGCGCGCCGCCGTCTTCGGCGCCAGCGCGGGCTTCTTCGCGCGGCCGCAGGCGCAAAAGGACGCGCTGGCGTGGTACAGCGCCGCCGCGAACCGGGGGTACGTGGCGCATGGGCGGGAGAAGGTGACGCGGGCGGACTTTGGCGGGGATGTGGACGCGTTGCGCGCGGCGGTGCCGGACCTGAAAGAGTCGTTGGAGATTGGGCGGGAGGGCGAGGAGGGGCGCCCGAATTTGTGGCCGGATGGGGTGGATGACCAGGGGAGGGAGTTTAGGGAGTTGATGGTCGGGTTTTGGGAGGCGTGTAAGGAGCTGCATCGTGAGGTTTTGCGCGCGCTTGCCCTCGGTATGGGCATTAGGGAGGACTGGTTTGATGTGTACACTGCTCGTGGCGATAATACGCTGCGCTTGCTGCACTACCCCGAGGTGGACGCAAGCGTGTTCCGCCGCAGCGACGGCCAGGAGCAGGTCAGGGCAGGCGAGCACACCGACTACGGTATGTCGAGAGAGAGAGGGAGAGCGCAGTAGGCCGACATGCTCCAGTCACCACTAACACGTCGTCTCGTCTCCGGTGTATAGGCTCCTTAACGCTACTCATCCAAGACGACCGCGGCGGGCTGCAGATCCTCTCCCCGCGCGGCACCTTCATCGACGCAACGCCCGTGGCGGATACGATCGTCGTCAACGCCGGGGACCTGCTCGCGCGCTGGTCCAACGACACCATCCAGAGCACCAAGCACCGCGTCGTGGAGCCACCGGTGCGCAGCAGCAGCAGTGGTAGCGGAGACGCGCCCGCCCGCCACCCCGCCCGCTACTCGGTCGCGTACTTTTGCAACCCGGATTTCGATAAGCTCATTGAGGCCATTCCGGGCACGTTTGAGGAGACGGGGAGGCGCTATGAGAGCGTCGTTGCCGGCGAGTATTTGGCTATGCGGCTGGGGGCGACGTATGCGAAATGACGAGAAGGAAATTGAATGAGAGAGATGGGGGAAATTGAAATGTTACTTCTCTGGTGTGGATAGAATGCTTGTTTCTTCTCGTCATGACCTTGCAACAGCTTTTTGCCCGCTGCTAGAATTCGTACATACAGATAGCAAGTGCATTAACCTCCACCTACGTGAAAAGATATCTCGGCCTTATATCAAGGCATTACCTTCTAATGGACAGCTGTTTGACCTCCGTCAACAATCATGTTCCGTTGCGGACCGAGTTTGGTGTCGTGCAGGTCGTGGCAACTCAGGTCTGAAAAGGGTCCGTGATCGCGCTTGCGCAACGATTCACCACCACCCGCAATCCCCTGAATATATTCCAAACATGACAAAAGTTCTCCAACGTTGGCGCTGTGGCTGAGTGGTTATAGCGATAGACTAGAAATCTATTTCCTTCGGGAGCGCAAGTTCGAATCTTGCCGGCGTCGTTTTTTGCCTTTTTGGCGTGCTGGAATCCCCTCTTTTTGCCTGCTCAAGAACTCAGGGCCTTTATCTTTTGCTGGAGAGACTAACTGCGAGTTGGTTTGGTGCGGCAAAGGGAACGGAGGGTGGACGTTGGCGTTGACAGCATGGGCTACTCCAACAGGAGCTTCAGATGAACATGTCCCGCAAAAATGCTGCTCAACACCAATTTTTTTATTTGCTCTCCAGTGCAGCCATCAAGTGTCAAGACCCCTCCAACACCGTTCGAAGTAACTAGTTCGCGAACCCCTCGCCGAAGACTTTTTAGCGTTTCGATGCCTCAGCGCCCTGGCGCCGAAAAAGCTCTCGCTTCCCAATCCCGCACAGACCTCGCACTTCGGCCCTTCCCACCAAAGCCACCCACCCCACGGACCGAAGCCCTACCCACTGGCCCGCCCACCTCCCCCCCTAAAATCCAAACTAAATAAACATGCCAGGCAAAGAGTTAGTCATCAACAAGCCCCCTCATCAGGCGCAGTGCCAGAGTGGTTAATGGGTGTGACTCGAATCGTGTCGCTCTTACGGGCTTCGCTATCTCCGATATCACATGGCTTCGGCCGCGCAAGTTCGAATCTTGTCTGCGTCGCTTAAGACCGAAGAGGCTTTCTTTTTTGCGATTTGTTTTTTGGTTTGTGTTTGGGATTATTTAAGGGGGGCGGGGTTGGGTGGTGGGTGGTGAGAGGGGAGGGGTGTGTGGTTTCTTTTGCGGTGGGAGAAGGAGGTGCGATGATTGTGAGGTTCGTAGTGAAAAATAGTGGTTTGGTGGGAATTGCTGTGGGCGCAGGCTTTGCGGGAAAAGTGGTGTTGGGTTTTTATTTTGTTTTGCTTTTTGACATCATGATAGAGGACGAGCCAACGTAAATACTTGCAATGCACCATTCACTTTTCTGCAGACAGGAAACAGTGGGTTCTCAATTCCGTAAACATTGGAATAGGCATATGATTGGATAGATAGAAGAACATATAAAATAAATTTAGCGAATAAATTGATAGATGCTTGAAAGTAAAAAATAATAAATGAATTATTATTGATATTCTAAAGAGGTCAAAATCGCAATCTTTAGGCTCGCGAAGATGGCTATGGAGGTAACAAATAAGATTGGGAGACAAGAGCCCATAGGTTGAAGTAGTAAGTGGAGAACCTATAGATAAATAATTGATGATTATCTTGTCGACATATTTGTAGTGTAATGTCCTGGTAAAGGGCTGTGGGGCAGAAAGGTGACAAAGTGATGGTTGATGGCGGCGGTATATGTATGTATGCATTACCCTGATAAGGATGCTCATATCTGGTTGTAGACGTTTCTAAATAGTCGAGTTGAGAAATAAGGGCAAAATATCACTTCACGCAGTGCACAGCATTTGTAAAAAGACTAAATGACTACCTACGCCTAACTCCCCTCCAACGCCGTAAGAGAAGTTCGTTTATGCCAGTGTCGGGTTTGTTTTCCAAGTGTTTTTGTTGATTTCCTGGTTTTCTGGTCGTGATGAAAGCCGAAAAAGTCGTTACTGCAAGTATGGGTTTCGTTTTTGTGATGTTTTTGGTTTTTCGTCGTTTGTTTGGAGTACTGAATAAAAGGATGGAAAGGCGGAAGATGGTTCCAATTTGGTGATCGGCCTGCGTGCATTCTGGTCGGCTCATGATTGAGCGGGCGTTTCCATAGAAGGTGCTTTCACTCGATGGGAATGCCGTGCTCCTTGGCCTTGTGCTTGAGGAGGTCTCTTTCGCGAAAGTAGCCTTTTGGTCCACCACGGTTGCATCCAGGCTCCGTGCAGGGAAAGTCAGACTCCTTGTGGACCTTCCTCATGTGCGCGATATATTCGGCGGATTTTTTGAAAGCGTGATCCCTTTTCCAATAAGGCATGTCGTAGATATCAGGCCTTGATTCAGGACACCCGTCATGCGGGCATGAACGCTGATTACTACTCACTTCATCCACGCCCATGTGGTGATAGTTGCGCAGATGTTGCGTCAAGTGATCTCTGCGCTTGAGACTGTCCGCGCCCCGGTGTCTCTTGCAGTACTTGCAGGGGAAACGGGCAGTGACGGATTGGTGAGACTCTTGATGTCTTCGTAGAACGTCGAACCTCGAGAAGGCCGACTCACACCCTTCCACGGTGCACGCAAAGGCCGCATGGCCAGTAGACGCTGCGTGTTCGCTAAGTGACGTAATGAAGGGGAATCCTTGTCCGCATTGACGACATGACTTCATCTCGGGATGGTCCCTCCTCACATGCCTTGACACGCCTGAGCCAACTGTAAAAGTAAGGCTGCAACCATGTACAGAGCAAGCAAAAGCGTCGTGCTGTTCATCATTCCCATGCCACTGGAGATCCGATGAATTACTTCTGCAGACTCCGCAGGTAACACATTGGTATCGACCAGTTGCATGAGCATCATCGGGACGTACACTGCAAATGCCATTAGCTTCACAATCCCTTAAGCAAGCTCATCATACTCACAGCTGACGGGAGGATTCACCACTGGGCATGTTTTCTGGTGTATTGCCTGTTGGCTCATCATTGCCTTGGTTCATGGGCTCTGAACCAATCCTGAACGGAAGATCGTTCTCTTCAATCTGTGATCCATTTGAGTCATCGAGCATCTCGTGCCCAGTCGAGCCTGGCAACTGGTTATCCGGAATGGGACTGAACGATAGCGTGCCATTGCCCCAGTCGTGCCAAGTTATTTTTTCTTCCGCAAAACCAGGTATTGAGCAGCTGTCCATCGAAGCCTGAAAACCGAAGGAGTTCCCAGAATTTGGTGAATCCCATGTATTATTTACATGCGGAGCCGAGTTGAACGAAGCAGACAGGAGTGACGCTGGCTGACTGTTGGCATGGTGCAATGAACGATTTGTTGCTACGGGAGGCGTAAAGCAGAGATCGTTGAGCGCACATCCAAATGGCTCAGAAAGAAAGGAGTCAATAGTTGTGACATTACCCGAAATACAAGTGCTAGGTACTTGTGATATGAGAGTGTTGAGGCCGTAACAGAGGTCGAGTCTCGATGGTGTAGAGTGCTGGAACACATCGAACTGGGAAGGCCCACTGGTGGGGCCTTGGAAGCCGCATGGGGATCCAGCGTATGACAGATGTGTTCGGCTTTCAATGTTCTCATCGGATGGTTGTGAAGTCCAAAATAAGGGCCTTTTATTACTTTCCGCCCTTTTTCTATGTCAGTACTAAAAAAAAAAAAGTACCTCGATCTGTCGTCCATGTCGACGATGATTGGAAGGCCAAGCAACACTCGAAGGGCGAGAGCAAGGATATGCTGGTCCCCAGCCGCAGAGCTGACGTTGGCGAACTTGGCAAGCAAAGGTGGGAAACAAGGCTGAGAAGTGATATGATTGGGTGAACGTAGCAAAAGGCTGTCGGGAGGTCTGGCGAAAGCAAGTGGGCGACCCGCTAGATTCATACTGGACTCCTAAGCCCCCCTGCTGCTTGGCGCGCCACGAAAAAGGGCGATGTCTCAGCCATGCAGCGACAGCTCACCACTGCATACAAAAAGGGCGAGGGAGAGCAGGATGTGTGCGACGGTGGCTTGACCGGTCAAACCGTTATGGTGGCCATCACGGGTTGAACGGCAGTTTCTTGCAGCTGCTACTGACGGCACGGGGTCATGAGCTCGGTGAATGACGGTATGCCGGAGCAGTTACTTGCTGCTTGCGTGAGCAAACGCGCGATGAAAGAAGGAAACGCCTGGTAGCTCATGTGATAAAGGCCCTGACCTCGGTCCGGACACCGAATTGTTGTGGTCAACAACCAGGTTGGATCCGAGGCTGAGATGCTTTGGATTAGTTTAATGATTTTGAGGCTCTGCGTCAGTCTAGTGAATACGGGTTATCAAATTGACCTTCCGTAACCGACAACAACGGCTACTTAGGCATTAATCGTATAAGTCTCTGTCATTCTCTGTCCGCGCAGCTGCGCATGAAGTTATGAATGCTTCAAGCTTTGCTAGCGGCTTGTTGCTCGCGCCCCGCAGCATATGGAGCTGTCAGTATAAAAGAGCGGGCATAGTATGCGCGTTCGATCGGGTCTTGCAGTCGGTGAGGAAGGAGTGAGATGGAGGATATGGTGGAAGGTGCAACCGCCGTCTTCTGGGCCCGCAACCTCCTTCTGCGTACGCCCAACCTTCCGCCTACACCCAACAACAACATTCCGTCCGCCCACACATCCTATCTTGCACCCACACGGCCATTTCGCGGTTTTGCCTCGGCGACCAACATCGCTCCCCATGGGGAAAAGCGGAGAAGAAGTGGGATGAGTCATGCATCACGCACATCCCATCGCATTGTTCTGACACGCGAGACAGAGACGATGAGAAAAGACAAAGAAAGGAAAAATGAAGGGAGAATGAGAGAGACGGAGGTGGAGAGGAAAGGCTAGGATGTTGATGTTCCAGTTACAGGATCGGCGATTTCTTTTTTCTGGCCATCGGCCATCTCTTGACCTCGGGGCTCGCAACTCGTGTCAGCGTCGCGTCGCATCGCGTCACCTCAGCATCAGTACCGAATTGCCTGGCAGAAGAGCGATGTTCTGCATGCAACGAAGCGGTGGATGGGTCAGCTGGTCAACTTGCACCCGTCGGTGACAAACGCGACAGATGGCGAGGAAGATGATCAATGCCGACGACCGCAAAAAGAAAAAAACAAACCCCCAAAAACCGGTCCACAACCACACACCACGCCGGAGCCGCCACCCGCTCACCGCTCACCATACCTAGTACGACAACCTCCCAACATCCTCACGATGCTTCAATTCCCGTCTGCCCCTGTTGCCGATGTTTATTAGCTACATACCCGCGCTGTAACTACCCACACGCGTGCGTGCGGGGGGCGCGGAGACACAACGACGCGGAGACGCGACTTCAGGGCGCGCACACTCCAGCGAGTTCCGGCCCCCACTGTACTGTACGGAACACCCCCCGCGCCGCATCACGCTCTGCTGGCTCGATTGATGGCGCTCGCGTCTTTCCCTCGGGCGGGCCGCTCCGCGTGGAAAGCGGCGCGGGTGCGGGCGTGAGTAATCGCGTCGTGGCTGCTGTTAGTGTCATGAGGCTACGGATGTCCGTACCTGGTACATGGAACGCCATAGCCAGCCGCCAGAAGAGCCGCGCTGCAAGCCGCAGCGGGAGAGGTTGCGTTGGGGAGGCCTTGCGCCCTGGACCAGTCGCGCGGGCGTGTGTGCCTGGCTGTTGGGAAAATGTGCGCACATCAATGGCAGGGTTGATCTGCTCTGCTCGCATGGGTGATCCGCTCTTTCTTGCCAGGTGCAAGGATATGCGCGCGCGCATTCATGCCGGACAATTGCAAACCGCGACGTGCGGGCGCTAGACACGAGCACGGCGGGGTGGGAGTAGTGCCGTTCGCAACAGGGCGCGCGTGCCAATATTCCGGCGTGAGAAAGAGATTGTCTGGCGGGACTCACGGGACCATCACCGGGGAGCGGCGTAGAGGGCCGAAGGGGCTAGAGCCGCGTCGAGAGACGAACTGCGAGCACGAGAGCCCTGGAGCGAGCCTTTCGCTCTCTCAACTCTGTCCCGCCACGCGCAGGCTCTCGCCGCCGCGGAAATGAGCTGATCTGCATACTACAGGGCAAGGGCTCTTGACTGGGCGACGGGGGCGTGGTTATATGTATCGTGTCGACGCTGCTGCTGCTGCTTCAGATCAGACAACTTGACAGTCATGGAACATAAAGAGATATTACAGATAACGACCGAGCATGCGGTACGTATGCCTCCACCTCCCCACATCACCAACCCCAGATCCCCACACTCAATGCGCATTCTAACAGAGATGCCCCACACAGATCGACGAAAAACCGCCGATCAAAGAAGTCAAAACCATCACAGGCACCGAAGCGTACAATGAAGCGATGCTTAAAGAGCCGCCGCGGCCCTTCAGCGGGCGCAGCATGGTGCTGTACCTGTGCTGCCTGGTGGGCTTCTTCTGCTCGACAATGAACGGCTATGACGGCTCGCTGCTGAACGGACTGCTGATGAACAAGGACTTCAAAGCCTTCTTCCACGGCTCCGAGGACGGCATCTGGGCCGGCATCGTCACGTCCATGTACCAGATCGGCAGCGTGGTTGCGCTGCCGTTTGTTGGGCCTGCCATTGACTCTTGTGGCCGTAAGGGCGGTATGTTCATTGGCGCTGCGGCGATTATTGCTGGCACGCTGATTAATGCTACTACCTGGTGGACCGCGAGTGTAGGGCAGTTCGAGGCCGGCCGCTTCGTGCTCGGCTTTGGCGTGTCTATTGCTTCGTCGGCGGGGCCTATGTATGTGGTTGAGACGACGCACCCAGCCTACCGCGGCGGTAAGTGCACACTTTGGGACTCCCTCATCAACACTCAAAGCAGACACTAAGACACCCTTTAGTTGTAACGGCGCTCTACAACACGTTCTGGTTCGTAGGCTCAATTGTTGCGGCCGGCGCGATCCGCGGCGCGCTCAACGACAAAGCAGCCAACAACTGGACGATACCCATCTGGTTGCAGATGATGTTCTCAGGGCTGATTGTGCTGTTCGTGTGGTTCCTTCCCGAGTCGCCGCGGTGGCTGTACACGCGCGGCAAGCGTGAGCAGTGCCGCCAGGTGCTGACGACGTACCATGGCGGCGGCAACCCCGACAGCGTGTGGGTGATGCTGCAGCTGCGTGAATATGAGGAGTACCTCGAGCTCGAGGGCGCGGACAAGCGCTGGTGGGACTATCGCTGCTTGTTCCGTGACCGCGCCAGTAGGTACCGTATTGCGTGCAATATCGTCATTTCCATCTTTGGTCAGTGGGCGGGCAATGGTGCGTATCTTTTCCTATCCATTTAACACCCCATTTTCTACTGCTAGGCGCAGAGATAGAGCTAACAATCCATCTAGCCGTCCTAACATACTTCATGTCCTCGCTCCTCACATCCGCAGGCTACAAATCACCCGTCGCAAAGGCCAACATCAATCTAATCTACTCCTGTGAGCAATTCGTAATCGCCGTGCTGGGCGCGCTCTGCGTCGACAAACTCGGGCGGCGCTTCCTACTGCTAGCCGCGAACCTCGGCTGCGCCGTCGTGTGGATCGGCATGACGGCCGCGACGGCCGTGTTCGCGCAGCGCGGCGACGTCGCCAGCTCCAAGGCCGCAACGGCCATGATCTTCCTGTTTGGCGCCGTGTTCTCGTTCGGCTTCACGCCGCTGCAGGCGCTGTATCCCGTTGAGGTGCTGAGCTTTGAGCAGCGGGCTAAGGGCATGGCGTTTTCGAGCTTTGCGCTTAACGCCGCTATGCTGCTGAATCAGTTCGCGTGGCCGGTAGCTATGCAGCGCATTGGGTGGCACACGTACATTATCTTTTTGGTGTGGGATGTCATCCAGGCGGGCGTGGTGTATTTGTTTATTCCGGAGACCAAGGGACATACGGTGGGTTCTTTTGTTCTTCTTCCTGTCTCTGGCACTGTTACTGACGTATCTCTCTCAAAGCTCGAGGAACTCGACGACATTTTCGCGGCCAAGAACCCGCGTAAGGCGTCGACGCAGCGCCGCGTCGTTGCGCTCGACCACGATGCGAATGTCGTGCCGGTCGAGGCGCCGACGTATGCGTAGGTAGGTCGCGTTGTGCTGTAGACGGTAGAGGAGAGGGGAGACGGGTGTAGAGGAAGAGGAATGTGGGTGCAAGGGCCAAGACGAGACGAGACGAGACGTCTAGAGAGGTCTAGAGAGACTTAGACACACACACTCTCTCTCTCTCTCTCAGAGACGAAGAGACAAGACGCAGGGATGACGGTAATGCTATGAGAAATGCTATGAGAAAGGAGAGAGAGGGAAAGAGAGCGGAGAGCATAAAGGAAGAGATCACGAGTAACGACGAAAACGAAGACAACGACATTGACGACAATGACGGCATGTAGGTAGTAGGTAATGTGTATATACGTACGAGCGATGATAATAATCCAACTGTTTATACACACGACGGAAAGGAAGATGAACGCACCTGCAAGTGCTCAAGCAGAAGCAGCCCTCCATCACAGCATCAGTCTACACACAAACACACACAGCAAGCCCTCCCCTCTCCCTCTCGCATCCTCCCATCGTCCCATCCTTTCTTTCCACACAGACCCCACACCCACCCACGACGCGCCCACCGCACAAGCAGCGATTGCCACCGCACACGACAGGGGTGCGCGACGCGGCGCAGGGATGTAGCGTAGCGTAAAAATAGCACAAGTGCGTACCTGCCTACCTACCTACCTACCTAGCTAGCGGCCGAGGCCAAGGGTGGATCGATCGATCATTTTGCTTTGCTCTGCTCTGCTCGGCTCAGCTCGGTGGGGGAGGCTGTGTGTGTGCGCGAGTGTGTGCGTGTGTGTGTGGGAGGGATGCGCGGCGCTGCGATGCGACCATGGTGATGTGCCGCCGCCGCCGGGGCGTGTGACGCGATACGAAGGGCTGCGATGCGATGCGCGATCGGTCTTGCACTCTCTGCTTGCTTGCTTGCTTGCGTGCTTGTCCATAGCATGCTAGGTATAGGTAAGGACATACATACCTATGTACGGCCAGGCACAACGGCCCAACAGTATGCACCTTGCACACCGTATTTACCGCGTACAGGCATCAGCAGTAGCAGTAAGCAAGCAAGCAGACCTACTTTTCCGCTCTACCTGCGACGTCTCAAGCAAGGCACGTAGCGGGGCAGCGGCGGCGGCAGTGGCGGCGAAAACGGCGCGGCGCAGCGTGGCGAAGGAGCCCAAAGCCTGCTGCCTGTCTGCTTGCTTGCTTGCTTGCTTGCCTGCTTGTCTGTCTGGCATCCCTCCCATCCGCATACCCCGCCTCGAGGCGAGGGCGAGGCGAGGCGAAGCTGCGGCTGTAGGATTACGCGTATATGCTTTTAGGAGCAGGGATAGCGGAGCAGGGCAAGGCAGGGCATACATAGCGGGGCAGGGTTTGGCGAAGGACGGAGGCCGTCGTCTGGGCGCTGTACGTAACAGGGCGGGCGAGGCGGTGTGGCGAGCGTTTGCGAGGATGCGAGTGGATAGATGGGTGGATGGATAGATGAAAGGAAGGATGAATGGAGGAGGGGCTCAGGCTACGCCGTTGAGCTGCAGGGTCAGCTAGCTACATAACTGATGGGCTAGACAGCCCGTTGTATGTAGCTCATGTGGTGGGTTAGGGCGAGTTGGGCGCGAGGTGCATGGTGCGGGGCGCACGCAGGGAAGCGGGGCCACGACGTGGTGCTTGGAGGCGGGAGGGTGCAGGCGGGCAGGCGGACAGGCGGAACGGTTGAGTAGCTGCTTGCTTTTTGGTGCGCCGTTGGTGCATAGCCCGAAGGACAGGGGTGCTGAGGTTGTGCGGTTGATGTCGGAGGGTTTGTTGGTGTCTGGTAGAGATGTCTTTGCGGAAGTACTTTGTAAGAGAAAATGGTAATTGGACGTGCTAACTTGTAAGCTGGTCGCATTGAGCAGTACCAATTCCAAATGTGTAATGGGAAAAACTGCGCTGTTGAATTCTAACCATTAACGAAGACTGAATGCAAAAATATAAGACGCCGCACCGGTCTTGTAGAGGTCCTCTCATGAAAAGCTACTGTTCCTGCGGTTTATTGGTGTCTGAAGCCAAATTAATCCTTCTGTTAGTTTAACAGCACTAAAATTAATATCAATGGTAGGAGTATTGCTTACCGTTGGTGACTGGATAGTATGTCCAACCTCGTCTTCCATAATCAGAGAAGTAGAATTGGGCGGTCGCCAGCTCATCGGCATCCGATGGATTGCATTATCCATAGGCTTCTGATGGCAGTGATAGAGGCATTTGTCTCTGACCCTCCAAACAGCTTTAAGCCACTCCTCGCCACAGTTGCTTGGAATTTGCCCGTTTTGCAACCTATAAAGTTTTGGGGCGTAACGAACTGTCAGGTCATACAGGAAGTCCGGGCAACCTTTAACTAACTCGCGATGGTTATCAACGTCACAGAGACCTTCAAAATTCGCGTTCGTTTCGATAAGCGCGTCGCACATGAAGCTCCTCAGTACGTCTCCCTTGTGTGTGTTGTTGTAGACGAATATAACATCCGTCAGGAGTGGTATGTGCCAATGAACGTAAACCAGGTCCACGAGCGTATTCATGATGGCGTCCTTGAATCTCGGAATTGCATATTTGTTGCAGAAAAAGCAAACGCGGTAGCAGTGTCTGAAAAAACGATTGAGCGAGGCGTCATCCGTTTCTTTCGAGAATGGAGTCTTTCCGGTGTAGAGCCAATTGATGTAGTCCCCTGTCACTTCATGGTCCTCTTCGATTACGTATTTTGAATCTTTAAGACGCAACTGAAAGTAGGTCGAGGTACGCTGCAGCAGGCTAGAATGCACTACCATAAGCCTACGTTCCCTTGTCCTAGGATCAAGAACGGTAATCATGACCGTCGCAACCTCCCATCTTTCGTTATGTAAAGTTAGAATGAGATTTTTTTGATATCGTAGGAAGACTTACAACGGCATGCCGAGATCAATTGGACTTCTCTGGATTTCGTCCCACATGGGACAATCGAGAATGGGCAAGTCTCCATGATGGTTTGCATACGGCCATGAATGATAAAGAGGGTGTGGAGGAAGCTCAGAACGAAGGCTAGCCATGATGATGACAGAGCGATAACCGTCGAGTGAGATACAACTGTTGGATGAGACGTGGCTGTTGAGCGATGTGTGCTTGGTTTGGGAACTGGACAGACGCGGAACGCAGAGGTAGATTGACAGTGCACCAGACGAGGAAGGAATGAAGTGCTCAGCAAACAGCTACCCAAACGCGCAGTCACGACGATATAAGCAGGAGCTACCGGGGTGACAAAATTGATCAAACACTTCAGACTATCTACAAACCCCCTTCGGTTCCATCACTGAGCACTATCGGCTCGAAAGAAGACATAAATAACAAAGAAATTTGCCTGGCTGCCACAGTATCTGGCTTGTATTGGCTTGTCGTCCTCATCGTTCAGTTTCTATCATGGAACACGCCACGATGCGCTTAGCAGCCGACATGGATGGCTATAGATGCAGTCAGTAAATGTAGCTAGCAAGTGCTTGGAGGGCTGAATCTTACCGTTGGCGTACAGAGCGTAGGAGTCGGCGTTGTTGAGGGCCTGGCTGGTGGTAAGGCGGGTGGCAGCGCTGTAGCCGTAGCCAAGGTCGTCGGTACCGGCAATCTCGCTCAAGTGGGTGAACTCGTGGAGGGTGGTGGTGCTCTGGTCCTGGCCGTGGCAGGTCGAGGTCAGGACGGACAGGGCGCTGAAGTAGAGCGGGCAGTTGACGACGACACTCTGCGAGGGGATCGTGTAGGCCAGGACGTTGCTCTCGCAGTAGTTGTACACGTCAGTGCAGTAGTAGTCGGAGTAGCCAGAGCTGGTGCTGCCGCACTCGCTGGCGACCTTCTTGAGGGTAGCGGCAACCTGGCTGCGGACGCTGGACGAGGTCGTCTTGAAGTACTCAGAGAACTTGCTCGAGGAGCCCGAGGTGGCGGCCGAGGCGGCGGCATTGGCGAGAGAGACGCAGTTGGTCATGGCGCTCCTGGTCGAAGAGCCGCGGGTACCAGTGCAGTCAGACTGCAGGGAGGCGCGGACCTTGAGGTTGTTGGACTTCTCGGTGAAGGCAGCGCGGACCTTGGCGGCCTCAGCGGAGTCGACCTTGGCGGTGACCTTGTTGCTGAGGTAGGGCAGGGCATCGACGAGCGTGGTCGAGCCAGCCTCGGCGTAGGGGATGGCACCCTGGGCCAGGAGGTCGTAGGAACCACCAGTGGTCAGGTCGTGCATCTCGGCAACGTCGAAAGTGACCTCGACGGTCTTGCCGACGCCGATGGTCGTGAAGGCATCCTCGGCGACGTTGTCGGTGGCCAGGCGGAACTTGACACCGTCGAAGGCGACACGGGAGTCTGAGGGTTGTCAGTAAGAACTAAAAGGTAAGCAAGGGCAAAACGTACCAGCAGAGTAGATCTCGACCTTCTCGACCGGAGCAGAATCCATGAAGGTGCCCTTCTTCAGCAGGTTAAGGTCGGTAGCACCGTTGTTGGTGACGGTGGCCTTGACGGCAGTGTTGCCGACCATCTCAAGTTTGACATCGAGAGGAGACTCGCGCTTGTTCAGGTTGAGGGAAGCGGAGCTGGCCAGAGAGACCAGGGCGGCGAGGGAAAGCTTGGTGAAGAACTTCATTTTGAAAGAAGGGTGATGGATTCTGCTGAACGATGGAAGTTGATCTTGCTGCTTTCTGGCTCAGATGCGCTGCTGGTGATCAGTTTGGAGAGGACACAAAGGTCCTTTATACTTGACCATGCTATCACATCTCTGATGTAAATCGACAAATTCCCGAACAGCCGGCTTGGCCCAATTTCGTGCCAGACAGAAAAAAGAAGCTGGAAAAGAAAGGACGGAGACGACCGAAGCGGCAAGATAGAGGTTGCATTAGAAGCCTCCCGGGATGTGGGGAGACCTAGGCTGCTGCTGCGGCAGGGATCAGGGAGCATGATATGGCAGCGTTGGGACCATGACGGTACCCATGCCTAGAATAAAGGTCACGGTCAAGGCCACCACAGCCTCAAGAGCAACCTCGGAGGGGAACCGGCCCAATCACGACACAAGACTAACACGAGTCTTTGTTGATGGGGTGAGACCCCTAGTCATTTTTTCGCTTTTCGCAGAGGACAATGTGTGACTTGACGCGAGAAGAGAGACAGAGAATGATTGATCACTACCGGCGCCTACAGAGAGAGAGAGAGAGAGCCTGAGCCACGAATGCCATGATGTCGCCAGAGAGAGGTGGCGACATTAGGACGGAGCCAATGAGACTGTCGAGAAATGGATAGGTCCTGATAAGGTAGCAAGAGTTGCATTATATTGGAGCGCTGGAGATCGGCGCGGCTGTGCCCCGGACAGGAAGGCAAGGCTCGCATAGGGTCCAGAGGAGGACTTGGCGAGGCCCGAGATATGGCGGCGGAGAGAGGGAATTGGCTGGAGGAGACGAAGGGTTGGAGTGGGTTGAAGCAGGCGAAGCTTGGCGGCGGCGGGGCGAGGCGTCTGTTCCTGCACGTTCGGCGAACCACTCACCTCACCATGCTCATGCTCCCCACACGCCCACACGCCTCAGCGCAGCCTCATCCGCTGCTGGCCCCTGTCCGTGGCTCTCGGCGCGTTGCAATTCCCCCTACGGCAAGTCGAAAGCAGCTGCATCGCCGGCTTGTGCGTTTCAGGCCGTCTGCCGCCGTATCTTTCACCATCGCTCGTGACCGCGCATCGAGGCCTCAACAGCCGGCCACCTCCGAACCGGCATGGCAGGACGACGCAGGACGACGCAGAAACGACGTGCATGCTCGTATTCCGGTGCATGGACCGAGTGAACATCACCACGGAACGGCTCGAAGGCCCTCTATCTCTACCTGCCTTCCCATTTCCGTCTAGGCAGGCGCGCACAAGCCGCACTCTAATGTGCTACCGCGCACCGCTTCAGCTCCAACCGCCACTCACCTGCTCCTTCAAGCCGTACCTGCATCGCACCGCAGCTTCCCGCTGTCAGGTCGAGCTCGTCACTTAATTCCCCGTCCTCGAGAAGCTTCCTCAGCCCTTGGCGCCGAGATTGTTAAACGCTTCACCTGCATTATCACCGCCGTCGCTTCGAAGGATTGTTCCCGGGAGCTTGTTTTAGCGCCACTGATCTTGTCTGTGCCAAAAGGAGAAGCTTCCCACCGCGGTTAGCAGCCGGTGCGGGGTCAGGCCAGGATCGTGAGCTTGTCCTCTTATCGAGACACGAAGCTCACGGTCCGCGGGACCGCTCGCCTTCTGGACCCTCTCCGCGCTTTCACAGCTTTAGTCTCGGTATCCCGCCGGGAACTAAGCCCGTCGACCGAACACGAAAGGCAATCTATCGGGCCCTGGGTACGTGGGTAGGTAGGTAGGTAGGAGGTAGGTACCCGCCAGCGAAGCGGCCCTCCCCGCACTTGATACCTACCGATCCCGATCCGGAAGCTGCACAAGACACTGGCTGTTTGTCTCGCCACACTCCCAGAATCAAGGCCAGCCGGGCAAAGCTTCCAGGACCACGGCTTCCCCCCTCGATCGATTCCGAGGCCTCCTAGCGCGAAGACCTCACACTCGCCTTTTCCTCGAAAGCGCTGCGGTATCCCACTTGCAGCAAACGACCAGCCAGCCATCTACCCACATCAGCCAACGCCTATGAGCAGCAGAAACAGCAGCAGCAGTAGCACGCGCGCCTTGCTCCTCGCCCTCGTCGCCCTCATCGGAATCACCACTTTCACCTACCGCTCGCGTACCAGCAACAGCAGCACTCCCCACCCCAACACCAGCATGTCGTCCTCGACAGCCACGCCCGCCGACCTGGCCCTCAGCATCGCGCAAACCAGCGCCAACCCGCCCACGCTCAGCATCAAGCTGACGAACACGCACGCTTCCGCGCCCCTAACGCTACTGACCTGGGACTCGCCGCTAGACCCGCAAGCGCTGGCCCTCGGCCTCGTGCACATAGCGCCCGCGGCCTCTGAAGGGGACGAGCCCTTTAAGCTGCCCACCATCAAGGTGTCCCGCAAGCTGCCGCCTAGGCGTGAGGATCTGATCACGTTGGCGCCGGGGCAGAGCAGGGCGCAGGAGATTGAGTTCAAGGAGCCGGTTGTGCCGCTGGGCAAGATCAGGGAGAAGGGCGGCAAGGCTAAGGTCTGGGTGATGGGGAATTGGAGGGCTTTGTGGGCGAAGACTGTGGAGCAGGTCGGGGACGAAGAGCTTGAGGCTATGGAGGCGGCCAAGGACGGGATGACGGGTGCGTTTGAGAGCGAGGGCGTGCTGGTGGAAGTTTGAGCAGGTGGAGCAACTTGTATGAGGATTAAAGCGACAGACGAATTTGAGTGGAATGCTGCAGAATGGAATTGTACGATAACCTTGCATGAACCGTGTCCGTCCGTCAACATGTGCCGATGACTGCAAACTCACCAAAAAGAAAAACTCATTTATTCGCCATCTAAACCGTGGAAAAAGCAAAACTATGCAATCCACCCGCACCCAAGCGAACAAAAAAATCAGTTTTCTGCCACGCACGTGCATGCAGAACCACACCCGAGAAACCAAAAAACCAAAAGCAAAAAAGCAAAAAAAAAAAGATGACTTTGATCGGTCTTAAGCGACGCAGACAAGATTCGAACTTGCGCGGCCGAAGCCATGTGATATCGGAGATAGTGAAGCTGCTGCAAATGAGCTGCGACACGATTCGAGTCACACCCATTAACCACTCTGGCACTGCGCCAATTGATGGAATTGAGATCCACCAACACAAACTAAGTAGTACGTAATTTTGGTGGGTCGCAAATGTGAGTTTGGCCGAGGCTGCCCGCCGACGGGACGCGCGGGTTGACCGAGACCGAGACCGGCTGCCCCGGCGAGCGCGGATCGATCGGTCTTTGATGCACGCTCGCACGCACGCAAAGACAAGCAAGACATCCAAGCCCGGATGGAAGACACGCGCGGCTCGGCGCGGCGGCTCGGCGCACAGCCCGACTGACAGACGGTCGGTGGTGGGTGGCGGGTGGCGGGTTGCGGGCAAACAGAACAGAACAGAACAGATCGGTTTCGGTTTCAGATCGCACAGGGCGCGTCACGTCAACAGCACTGCACAGCACAGTACAGCACAGCACAAAGGGGGCAGATGGCGATGGCAGATGGCGATGGTGGATGGCGGATGGTGGATGGCAAACATGGGGCTACCTACTTGGTGGTGGAGGTCAGCCGGGCCGGCAAGCACAAGGCGCAAGACGCTCATGACCTTGGTCGTCATGTCATACCCTCCTTTGCGAGCGAGGTGAGGCTCACATGGCCTGCTTTGTAGGTACGGAGTAACGTACGGTGGTGGGCATGACTCGGACACATGGACTGCTCCTGCTGCTGCTAACTGCTGCTGTAGCCTGTGGGCGCTGCGGGTGAGACTGACGTGCTGAGATCTAGAGTAGAGCAGGGGCCAGGTAGGTAGGTGTTATTCCCGGGTCTGCCATTGACGCGGGCTGTCTCTGAGTTGGTAACTACCTAGAGTAGGCTCTCGACGCTCGTTCTAGTGCTGTTAGGCCGCCTTTTATTGGTTATTGCGTGGCTTTTGTGCGCGCCCGCGGCGGCGGCTAGAACGTCGGGGTTGTCTTTGTCTTTTGTTTTCTGGACTATTTGCTACATGCCGCGCTAGCTCGGTAAGGGGCTGTTTGTTTGTTTGTTTGTTCGGTAGGAGGATTGACTATTTGCGGCTCCTTCGGGTGCTCCGCCCGCAGACCTAGAACGCGAGAGCGAGAGCGCGAGAACCCGACACCGACACCCGCACACGACGACACGACGACACGACACGACGTGCGGGACAGCGATCGGAGCGGGCGATCGCACACACACACACACACACACACACACACACGGCGCGGGCACTGGTGCGTGTGTCAGCGAACTCTGGAGCAAGCTGAGGGGAAGTGGCAGATCTCTCTCTCCCCAAAGCCATGGCTTTCGAGGATGCAAGACACGGGCTTCAGATGACATTGGGGTCGTCCGATGGGGCTTTTCTTGGTCGGTAGGTCGGTAGGGCAGGAACGCCACAAGCGGGAACAGGGCGCACGCTGGCAAACACTGAGGTCTCCACGCCCTGACGCTTGAGAGTGCTGCTCGCGCCCGCGATGGCGTCACACTACTCCGTGGCCGAAAAACCACCTAACCTTGCCGCCAAACCGCCACGAGACATGCCACTTGCCTCGGCCGTCGCCAGCGCGTGCTCTGCCCGCCTTAAGCTTTTTCTTCGCTCTTATACTAGCGCTGTGTCGGCCATAAGTCCGGAGCTGCACACCTTGGTTCTTGGACCGCGGCAGAGAAGAAAAAGAGTCGCTCCCTCCTCCTCCTCCTCCTCCTTCTCCGTTGCTACCTATTACTACTACTACTACTACTACTACTATCACTACTGTTTTACTACCGCTAGATTTGATGCTGTCGTCGAGTCGAGTGTGCCCAAGACATACCCACCTATAGCCACCCATGACGACCGCCGAGACGGGCCCTGAAGTTCCCAGCGCGTCGGGTGCGGGTGCGCCGCCCGCCCTCTCGCAAGAGATCAACACCGCGACCAGGTACGTACATGCGCGTCGCACAAATAAAAAGACATACATACATACCCTACAATAGCTAGCTAGTTAACTAACCCCCCTTCCCCCCTTGCACAGATCCGTCCACACGTCGCTCAACCGCCTCATCACGGCGCGCCTGCCGCTCGCGCTGCCGCCCCACGCCCCCTCGCCCCGCGTCTACGCCCTCGGCCTGCAGCACTTCGCCCACGTCTACCTAGCCTTCGAGGCGGCATGGGGGGACATCGTGGCGCAGAGCAGCGGAAGCGACACTGACACTGCCGCCGCGCTCGAGGAGTCCTGGTCCTCGGTCTCTGCGTCCTCCTCCTCCGCAACCCTGACGCCATCTTCCTCTTCCTCCTCCATCGCGGACAACAACACCAACGGCCTTCCCGACCCCATAGCAGCAACCACACACGCGCTCCTAGCATCGCTCCTCCCCCCAGGCCTCACCCGGACGGCGCGCCTCCGCGCAGACCTCGCAGCGCTGCTCGCGCTCCCCACGCCCGCCGCCGTGGACGCCTCGCTCGCGCGCTCGCTAGCCAGCAGCCCCGCCGCCGCGGCCTTCGTCGCGCATATCCGCGCCGCCGTCGCCGCGCGGCCGCACGTCCTGCTCGCGTACGCGTGGGTCATGTACATGGCGGTATTCAGCGGCGGGCGCTGGATCCGGGGGCAGTTCCTCGGCGCGGGGGAGGAGTGGTGGCGCACTTCTACTACCGAGAAGAAAGCAGAGGGAGGGGAAGGAGCACCGAAGCTGGACCTCGCAGCCACGGGCCTCGCATTCTTCCACTTCCCCGGCACCCACGACGGCGAAGACATCAAAGCCGCGTTTAAAGCCCAGCTGAGCGCGGCGGAACTCCTGCTTACCCCCGCACAGCGCGCCGACATCCTCGCCGAGGCGGGCACGATCTTTGCGCGCTGCGAGGGGCTCGTGCACGAGCTGGACGGGCTGTTTAGCACTCTTTTGCCGCCTGCGATGGCTGCTGAGCAGACGTACGACGCCGCGCTGGCTGCGCACGCGGGTGCAGCGGGGGGCGAGAAGCGCTGTCCGGCCTCCTCGGCTTCGGCAGCGATGCTGCAACAACAGTGGCAGTGGCAACAGCAACAGCAGCGCGAGAAGCGCGCGTGGCGCCGGGCGGCCGGCGCGGCGGCCGGGGCGCTGCTGCTGGGTGGCGCGGGGTGGTATGCTGCGTGCGCTGTTGGGGAGGCGCTGAGGGTTGGGTGGGAGGCTGGCTGGGCGGAGGTGGGGGCGATGGCGGCTGTGGGTGCGTAGTGTGTTGTGCGTGGTGTGGGAGGTGATTGATACCCTTTTCTTTTTCTTTTTCTTGTCTTTTTTCCTTCTTCTCTTGGGGTCTTTTCGGCTTCTTGTACGCAGGTACGCACATAGGTAAGTGTGCTTTCGGTTTCAGTTTCAGTTTCAGTTTCAGTTTCTTTCACGTTGCCTACCTACCTTACCTTATTGATTGATCAAGTAAGGGATTGGGGGTTTGGGGTTTGGGGGGTTTGATAGATACACACATACACACACATATGTACGCCGGGCAGACTGCCACGTACGTACGTACGTACGTACGTACGTACGCAGATAGGTAGAGATTATGGAATACGCACGCTACTCAACCTACGAGCTACGGCCAGGATTATAAGTAAGCAGTGATATATATATATATATATAGACAATATATACGCGCTTCGAGCTATCCCTACCTATATCCTGGACCGAGCATACGATCTATAACCCACTGGGACTGGGCATGTATAAATATGAATGCAGATAACGGGATAGTATTTGATTAGGTTAATGCGACGGCGATTATAGTTATGGAAAGAGAAAGAGAGGGAAAAGGATAAGAATCTATGTTTATTATCTAGTTAAGTGATGTGTTTATATTTTCTATTTATTATATTTATTTAATATTTCGAGGATGTTTATTATATATATATATATATATATATATACTTAGAATACACTAGCTAAGTTTATATTCAAAGCGACTGAAGAATTCTTTAGTTCTTTTTATTTTAGTTTTAATACTTATGTTATGTAATGCTAGGAGAGTTGTTATTGGTGCGGTGGTGATAATACTTTATTCGGAAGTGGAAATAAAATAATTTCTCATCCCAGCAATCAAACCTACTTAGCTAACTGCAAAATACCTTCTACTTCCGCAGACCAGCTAGCTACCATACCTAGCTACACAGACACCCAGAAACAGCCATCAGCCACCCAGCACCACCACCACCTTCCATCCCACCACACCCCACCCACCTCACCAATCCCCCTCCCACCCCAAAATCTCCCACCCCAGCAACCGCCACACCTCGCCCGTAAACCAGCCCCCGACATCCACGCCCCCCTCCCCCTCCTTCTCCCTCTCCACCACAGCCAAGGCCGCCGCCACATCCCTGCCCAGCGCGCCCCGCGCGCGCGGCATGCGCAAGCAGTCCATGAGCTCGTCGTCGGCGTCGGCGTCCGCGCCGCCGGCGGTGCCAAACGTCGCGTTCACCAGCGTCTGCTGCAGTCTGTTCTTGGCCGCGAGGGAGAGGCCTGCGCCGCGTGCTGTGCCGGCGGACGACGAAGGGTTTACTGACTTGGCGCGCGCGGGCTTGACGGGTTTGGGCTTCGCGGTGGTTGATGCCGAGGGCGTGACGAGCTGTGGCGCGATGGCCATGGCGCGCTCGAGGAGGCGGACCAGGTGCGGTAGGCTGAGGCGCATGGCGCGGGCCTCGGGCGGCGTGGGCGGGGCGTCGAGCGCGGCGGCGCCAGCGCGTATGTCTTCTGCGATGGTGGCGCATCGGTCGTGCCCGAAGGTGCAGATGTAGAGCCATTTGCCCACGCGTTCGAGGAGCACGAACAGGAATCCCTCGAATAGTTCGCGGTGCAGGGCGTCGGTTGTGTATGGGGATGTCACGATCACCAGGAGAACCTGGGATAGCTCTTTGGGGACTTCGAGTGCAGCTTGGCCTGCTCGAGCCGCCTTTTGCTTTGCCGTGTTGGACCGCGCACTGGATGTCGTATCGTCAGAAGACGATTCTTCCTGCTCTGATTGCGTCGTGGCAGCATCCATGAGAGTGTCCAGCATTCGAGAGAAGCTTGCCACGAGGGCGTATATCACCGTCCCCCGTTCTTCCCTTGTTGCACCGGCCTGGCTCAGTTTCCCCACGCTGTAGAATAGCGAGCCAAACGCTCGAGTGGATGCAGTGAACGTGGAGAAGAGAATATCGTTATGCCTTGCTAGAACGGGTCCGAAGATGGCGGCCTTTTGCTTCTTATTGCTCGTTTTAGAGGACGCCAGAGCTTCACCGATGCGTTGCTGGTACTCTTTGCACGCCGCATCAAGTACTGATGCTAGAGCGGATGAGCCATGAACGACATGGTGAGACAGCGCGCAGGTATCGATGCTCTTGTCAGGAGCAACTCCGGTTTTGATGAGCTTATGGGCCTTGTACAGATGTTGCACAAGCGTAGATCCCACTGCTACGTTGTCAGCCCAGTTCTTTCGACCATCAGTGACATTCCTACCAATGCCAACGGCACCAAACGTCTCATAGTCATCCTGGAGGGTGGCTTCAGTGGGGTTAGGCTGCTGAGAAGACGAAGTGTTCTTGGGAGCCTTTGGTTTTTTGCTCTGGCGACTAGATGAAGACTCAGCTGCGTCGCCGCGTCGCTTCGTGCCGGACGACGGGCCTGCGTTCTGACTCTGGAGCGAATCGGCTTTTCTCTCGAGTTCGGCGACTCGAGCTTGAAGCTCATCTCGCGCGGCCTCTACCCCGGCGCATCGCTTTTGCCAGTAGCGCGCGGCGGAAAGGTGGCGGTCTACAGTGTGCGGATCATGCTGTTTCCTGCCCGGAAGCAACTGCGCGCGAAGGCGTGAGATGTACTCTAGGCAGAGGCATTAGACGGGACACGGCAGGCGTGGACAAGACGCACCTGTGACGGAGAGGTCGGGGGGCTTGGATTGCACGAGGGCAATGGCAAAGGCGAAGTGCAGCCTAGAGGGCGTGGCAGGATGCGAGGTCATGGCAGCGAAGAGTGAAAAATTGTTGTTGTGGGGAAGGAGAGTTGGGGCGGGCAGAAAAGAGAAGTTGCATTGGAGGCGCGCCTGCTGTCTATCGCCTCAGGATGGTAAAACCATGGAGAGGACGTGAATCGGGACGTTGCTCGCCCCTTGGCTTAGACCGTTGTGTTTTCTGCGATCCCAGCACCTCCCGCAAGTATTTCTCCTCTTCTTCCTTCACTTTCTTTTCCTCCTGCTTCAGTGCATACCGACTGACCTTGACCTTGCCATCCTTGTTCTTCTCCTTCTTCTTGGCCTCCTTGGCCTCCTTCTTCCCCCTCTCCATCTCCTCAACCTCCTCCGGTGCCTTCTCCTTGCCATCAAACACCATGGTCATGACAGCGCCCACCTCGCCAATCGGCTCCGTCCGCTCCCTCGCGCCCTTGACGCTCTTGACCGTCGCCCGCACCTTGGCCAGGGCCGCCTCGGCCTCCTCCTGACTCGCCTTGCGAGCGCGCTTCTTCGGCCCCAGCACGATCGTCACGCGACGCCCCTCCTCGAGGAATTCGACCAGCCGCTTCATCCAGTGCGAGAGGTCGTGGTCGCTGACGCCCCAGTTCAGCTCAATCGTCTTGCTCAGGTCCTCGACCGACTTGGTCTTCTTCTTGAGCTTCTCCAGCTTCTCGTTGTCCTGCTGCCTCAGGAATATCTTGGAGAGCACTTTGCACGTCGGGTTGGGGTATTTTGAGTTTTGACCCTCAGCCCCAACTTGGACGAGATGGTGCGTGGTTCGGTTCATGCGGCGTAGAACATCGTCGCGCCACAGATTGGGCCTGAACGTGCCGTCTTCCTCGACGATGTTGATCATATCCGACTCAATCTCGTCGTTGTAGGGTGGCCGCTCTTCCTCGAGCTGCTGCTTGACATTCGCCACCGACACGGCGGTCCGGATCTGGGCGGGCGAGCATCGCGCGACGGCCGCGATGGCAGGGAAAGGTCGAGCGCAGACAGGCAGGCGTGCGGGGACGGAAAGCGAGGGTTGGACGAAGACGCGATAGAGAGCTTGAGCAGTGGTGGAGAGATGGCGGGCGCGCATCTTGCTGTTGGAGAGCAATCTGTAGCTGACAAGAAACGTGCGTGATTCAATGGTAAATTCGGGCGAAGACAGACAGGAAGTGCGGGGTAAAAAACGTCTGGAGTTGATAAGTAGGTGGTGAAGCAGCGCTGGCGTCGGAGAGCTTTGGATTCGCCGCGAAAAAAACGGCCGCGAGAACCAAAACGTCGACGACGCTCGCGGGCCTCAACCACAACCACGACCCAACACGACCACGACCACCGCCGCCACAACGCACCATGCCCGCCTCCAAGCAGGCCGCCACCCAATTGCGGGCCTGCCTCCGAAGCAGCGCGCCGGCGCGGCCAGGACGGCTGTCGGGGCTGACGCAGCTCCGCAGCATCAGCAACACGGCCAGACAAGCCGACGAAGCGCAGGTGCAGAAGCCAGCGGCGGCAACGGAGGCCGCAGCAGCACCAGCACCAGCTGCGGGACGGACAGCGGCACCCCTGGACCCGAACACGGTGTCGACGCGGCGCGAGGAGCGCAAGCTGCTGCGGACGGGCGTGCAGCCGATCGGCAGCCGCAGACGGCGCGCCGTCATGGCCGCAGGGGCCGGCAACATCCCCTTCGAGCAGCTGCCGTTCCAGTGCTTCCAGGAGGCGCGCAGCGTGCTGGCCGCGGACCGGGCCGAGAAGATCAAGGCCATTGAGACGCAGCGCGCGCGCATAGAGCGTGTGCAGGCGCAGGACGCGGCCGTCAGTGGTGGCGACGCCGAGAAGAAGCTCCGTCTCGTTAGCATGCGAAATCACCTTGAGGAGCTGAAGATCCTGGCCGATATCAATGACCCGCTGGTCAAGATGCGCTTCGAGGACGGCAAGGGTACGTGATGTTGATTCCCCCGCTGGGCATACAAGACAGCTAACCCCATTGTGCGATTGTAGGCGACCTCAACAAGCCCATCTACCGCTACCTCGCCGACAGGAAATGGCGCCAATACAAGCGCAAGGTGCTCGAGCAGCGCGTGTCGCAATTCTACCTAGTGCCCGACGTGCTGCCCACGCTGGACCCGGTAGCAGACGTATCGCTGTCCTTCAAGCAGCGAGGCGTACCACCCGGCGACTTCGTGGACTCGCGCGTGAGCGAGGTCCCCGGGACGCTGCGCGTGCAAGTCTTCGACCGCGGGACGCGGCTCGTGACGATCGTGGTCGTGGACTCTGACGTGCCGAACGTAGCCAAAAACGGCTTCGACTACCGCGCGCACTTTGTCGCGGCCAACGTGCCCATCAGCCCGGTGGCGCCGCGCGTGGACCTCGGCGCCCTCAGCACCGACTCGCAGGTCGCGCTGGGGTGGCTGCCGCCGTTCGCGCAGAAGGGCTCGCCCTACCACCGCCTCAGCGTGTGGGTGCTGCAGCAGCCCGAGGGCAAGGAGCTCGACGTCGCGGCGCTGCGCGAGGGCGCCGGCCCCGCCGCCCTGAAGCGCGACGGCTTCGTGCTGCGCAGCTTTGTCGACGCGTTTGACTTGGACCCCGTCGGCGTCACGCTGTTCCGCTCTATCTGGGACGAGGGCACCGATGGCGTCATGAAGCGCGCCGGCGTGCCGGGCGCTGACGTCGAGTTCCGCCGCGAGAAGCCGCTGAAGCTGCCGTACAAGAAGAAGGATGGTGCGCGGTACAGGTAGTGGCGCGGATGAGGAGGGGTGTGTTTGGGTGCGTGGGGGCGCGATGGATGGCTTGAGCCGTGGGGGTGCCCCGTTGCCTGCCTAGCTGTATGTGTACCATATGTAGGAGCTACCTAAAACGGCGCGTCGTTTTGCGCGCCTTGTTATTATGCAATGAATATAGATCTTTTGTACGAGCGTGGGCGAGGCGAGGCGAGGCGCATGACATGAGAGAGAGGGAGAGAGATACTGTAGGGGGCGTCCGCGCCCAATACAGAGGATGAATGGCATTGAGACGACCGTGTATGCGGATACGATTGCAACAAACTCGGAGCCAGGACACGCTTCCACCTGTACAGACTGGCGTTCTCGCCGTGGCTGCGCGTCCGCACACTATGTAGGCACAAGCGCAGCACCCGTGCCGGGGGGGATCAAATCATCACAAGCAGTACACACTCACACACGTAAACCATGCACAGCAATCTTGCACAGTCGCCAACCAAGAGCTATTTATTTTTTCGCCGGTGGCGGCAGCTCAAACACCGGAACCTCACGCGTCAGATCCATATACTTGCGTAAACGCTGAACCACTGCATCCGGGCCGACGATCTGGATCAAGTCCAAAACGCTGGGGCCGCGTCTCCCGTCGCTAATGGCAGCGCGCAAATGCTGGTAGCCTCTTGTCTTGGCGATGCCCATGAGCTGGCTCTTCCTGTCGCCTAGGTAAGGGTAGCGAGCGGCCAGGTTCTCGGTAGCGTGCATCGTGGCGAGCGTGAGGGCGTCCTCGAGGCTCGCCGTGGAGTAGGGCTCGGTGGCATCGAGGATGGGCGCCCACGCGTCGGCCCAGACGGCGTGCTCGTCCGCTGAGATGCGCACGTTGGGGAAGTGCGCCTCGAACAGGAAGTCGTGCGTCTTGAGGAAGTCGGCCGGCGTCGTGAAGTTGTGCGCTGAGTACTTGAGCGCCTCGTGCACGTGTCCACGTACGTCCCTGTCTTTGAGGATGCTGGGGTCGATTCCTGGGTGCCCGTTTTGGCCCACCAGCGCGACGAGCTCGTCCTTTGCTTGCTCGAAGAGCGGGTCCCCTGGTCTGAGCCGCAGCAGCTTGTGGTGCCTGTTGAAGTAATCCAGCTTGCCTTCTTCGACCCTCGCGTTGCCTTTGGTGAATTTCATTGTGAACTGCGTGTGAGGTTAGCTCTGGGTGGGCTGCGCGCCGAAGAACCGTGTTCGTACCGTTTCAGCGAGTTGGTTCAGTGTCAAAGTCTCATTTTGCTGTTTGGATGACCAGCCAAGCAGGACGGCAAAGTTGACCAAGGAGTCAGCGAGAATGCCCTTGTTCCGGAACGAAGCAATGTCAATGTCCATGTTTCGTTTGCTCAGCTTGTTGCCGAACTTGTCCGTCAACAATCCGACGTGAGCATACCTTGGTGGCTCCCAACCGAAAGCCTCATACAGAGCTATGTGCTTCGGTGTCGTGGGCATCCACTCCGTGCCTCGAATGACGTGGGTGATTTTCATGTGGTGATCGTCCACCACATTCGCAAGATGATAAGTCGGCAAGCCATCTGATTTGAGCAGGACCGGGTCTTCGTACGACTCGCTTGCATTGTTGACAGCCGGCTTCGTCGCGCCTCCCACAACGTTGTAGTTTATGTCATAGAAGCTGGGATATTTGTCGGGCGCCCGCAGACGAATAACATTGGTCTCTCCACGGTGGGCTCGGTCATCGGCTTCAGCCTTGTCGATGTGGGCGCATCGGCGGTCATAATCCGTAGGCAGGCCCATTGAGGATCGTAGCTCCGCCAGTTCCTTCAGTCGAGCCGGGGTGCAGAAACAGCGGTAGGCGTGGCCGGATTCCAGAAGCTGCTTGGCAGCATCCTGGTAGATCTCGGTTCGTTCGGACTGTGGTTGTCAATAATTTGAGCATGAGGCAAAGCTTCGTGAAGCGTACTTGCTTGTAGGGCCCATACGGGCCTCCCACCCCAGGTCCTATTTGCGTGAGCATGCGCCCCTCTCAGCAAGGCGCTGCGCTCAACGCACCTTCATCCCACTGCAATCCGGCCCACTGCAGATCCTCTATCAACCTCGCTTCTGCATCTGGGATTGTCCTTTTCTTTTCCCACCATTAGCCAGTATTCCAATAAAGTCCGCGCCGACAAACCTGATCTGTGTCCTCAATCCTCAGCAGGAATTGGCCATTCGTGCGCTTCGCTATCAAGTAGTTGAACAGCGCGGTGCGCAGCGACCCCAAATGCAGATAGCCGGTCGGTGATGGTGCGAATCGTGTGCGAACGGGCGTCTCAGGAACATATTCTTGTTTTTTGATTCCCTTGAGAAATTTGGGTCTATCGGAGATAGCTCGAGTTTGGCGCAGAGAGCAAGAGCGGCAGACAAAGGGAGCGCGTCGCGACGTGACGCGTAAAAGTAGTGACATTGCGCAGTTTCGAGGTGTTTGGAATAGTTCCGTGACGTTGAAAAATGTCGCGGCACACCTCCGAGCTCAACTCCGCATTGCACCTCCGCTCCCGTCCTCTCTCTCTCTCTCCATGCCCTCCTCCCACCACCCACCATGAGCACCAGCTGGCTCGCCGAATACTCCACCGCCCTCAAAGTGCGCGACGCGCGCGAAAAAGCCCAGGAACCCTACATAAACGCATGTGCGGCTCCCCTCGGCAGCAGCAACAGTAGCAGCAGTAGTTCGCGGCCACTGACACCTTGCCGAAACCCAGACACCAAGCTCGCAGACCGGACCGCGCGCCTCGAGGCCGACCGCGCCGCCGCGCCCGCCCTCGCTCCACCCACCGACGACGCAGCAGCCGCCGCGGCAGCCAAAAAGCCCGTCAGCCCCTCGCCGAGCGCGCGCTCGCGCTTCGGTCGCGCCAGCCCCGCCGTCGCCCCCGACCCCGCCCCCGACGCCGGCGACGTCCTCTCCCGCCTGCGCGCCGACCTCGCGACCACGCAGTCGTCGCGCGCGCAGCTGCAGACGCAGCTGACGGCCGTGACGGGCGAGCTGAGCGCTGCGCGCGCGCAGTCTTCCGCCCAGAGCAAGCAGGTCGCTGAACTGGGGCGGGAAAAGGCGCTGCTGGAGCGGAAGCTGCGGGACCGTGAGTCTGAAATCAAAGGGAAGGGGAGACTGGTCGAGGAGGTGCAGGATGAGCTTGTTAGCTTGAACCTGCAGTTTAATATGGCCGAGCAGAGGGCTGAGAAGCTGGAGATGGAAAATCAGGACTTGGTGGCGCGGTGGATGGAGAGGATGAAGGAGGAGGCTGAGAGAATGAATCAGGGGAGCGGATGGGAGTGAGATTCGCGCCGTGTTCTCGAGACTTTGGTGAGCTTCAGAAAAGACGGAGTATGAGCCCATGGCCCCGGCGTAACAAAGGAAGTATTCATCCTTGGAAATCTGATATATGAGTCGGGATATAACCTCTAAGTACCGTTTCGCGACCCACCAGGCCAACATCCACCCGAATTCCTCGTCGGCCGTCCACGAACGAGCTCGCTGTACGACTTCATCTACCAACCCGATCCACCAACGCCATGCAAATGCAATGCGCATCTGCGCTCAAGAATCATGACGAAAAGTTCGCGGTTTACTGGGTCGCGCACTGTGGTCCAGCCTCGTCATCGTCGTCCTCCCAAGCCGCATTCGCCGCACGCGGGTCATCCGAGTCGGCACCAAACTCTTCAATATCCGCATCGAAATCGAAGTCCACCTCGTCGACCTCTTCCGCCGTGATCTCCGGCTTTGACCCGGGCAGGACGTCGCGGATCTTTTGCACCGTCGCCTCGTCTTCCAGCCAGCCGTCCTCGGGGAAGTCGACGTGTACAATGAGGTACATATCGCCAACGTGGTCGCTCTTCTTAACCGGCATGCCTTCGCCAGGGATCTTGAGCACCTGGCCAGGTCGGAGGATCTTGCCCTTGGGCTGCTCCACGTGCATCTTTATGCCGCGGCCGTCCAGGTGCTTCAGCACGACGCGGTTGAAGCCAGTCAAGGCCTCAGCCAAGGTGACGTGCAGATCCGCCTGCAGGTCAGCACCGGCGCGGCGGAACACGGGATGCGGGACCTCGGACAGCTCGAAGATAATGTCACCAGGCTCTTGCTCGGGGAACTGGTCACCTTCGCCAGCCAGAACAATCTTGTCGCCTTCTCTCGCGCCGCGCGGAACGTAGAGTTCGAGAATCTTGCGCGTCTCGACAACGCGGGCACCCTTGCACTTCTTGCACTTCTCCTTGTCCTTGAAAATCTGACCGAAACCCTGGCATGTGCTGCATGTAGCGGTCTGCTGCGTCATGAGGCCGGAACCGATAACACCAAGGCGTGTAGTTTGGCCTGATAATGTTAGCTTGAATGCGCAATGCAAACCTTATAGCACTGAGCTGGATCGGGCATACCTTTGCCGTTGCAAACGCCGCACTGGTGCGGCTTCGCCTTCTCCTTTCCTCCAGAACCATTGCAAGTCGAGCAAAGGACATTCTTGGTGCTCGCAAACCGCGTCGACTTGCCCTTGTACAACTCCTCAAGAGTAATCTCATACTCTTGCTCCTCGTTCTGTCCTTTGCGCGGCCGCTTGGGAGGTCCACCCATACCACCCATGCCGGGCATGCCGCCACCCATGTTCATGCCGAACATCTGCTGGAGAATATCATCCAAGTCGACTTCGGCATCCATGCCACCGGGGCCACCTTTGGAACCGTCGAACGCCGACATGCCGTGCGTGTCGTAGAGGTGTCGCTGGTCATCATCGGAAAGAATCTCGTAGGCGCGTGATACTGCCTTGAAGCGGGTTTCGGCCTCTTCGCGCTCCTCTGGGGAGACCTTGTCCGGGTGGGAGGAGAGGGCAGCCTGTTAGAAGGCATGGTTAGTATCGGACGGTATACCAACCCGCGCGGGTATGGAGGATGGTTCGCAAGAGTGTTCGGTACTCCAAGAGCAGAGCATGTTCGTACCTTGTGGTATGCCTTCTTGATCTCAGCCTTGGATGCGCCACTGTCCAAGCCAAGCAGCTCTATGTATGTCAGCCAAAGAAATTGCGCGAGACGGGAAAGCGTCAAGTCTTACCATAGAAATCCGTCTCTTCGTAATGGTTCACTATTTAGAAGTCAGTGGCTGTTGCCTTTGGTTGTGAGCAAACGGAAGCGCGACTCACTTTTCTAAACTTTGGGCTCTAGGCCGAGGGAGGTTTTGTGGGAGTAGGTTTTTTGTTTTTGGGGGGAAGCGGGAATGAGGAATCCACGAAATCAGGCGCACTGAAAGGCACCTGAGAGCGACGTTGGCGTAGGGTGAAAGATGGGAAAAGACAAAAAAACGTGGGAGCGATGCGGCGGATGATGCATGACAGAATTGCTCTTCTGCCCGCGCAAGCATTGACCGCATGCGCGACCGCCGAGCGTTTCTCCGGCCCCGACAGGTTTTCCATCGGCGAGCGCCAGCAGCTTAGGTATCACCACCGCGTTCGCAGGGCCCATCACATCATGGCAGGCAGTCGGGTAGCAGCTCCTCTGAGGGGCTTGGTCAATTCCTCCCGCAATGGCCTGCTCCAGTCCTCGGTCACCGTAAGCTCCTCCGCCGCCGCTCAACCATCCCCGCATACCCGCTAACATGCGCATCAGTCCTCCCCCATCACCGCCCGCACCATGGCTACCGAGACCGCCCTGCCCTCCTCCAAGCTCACCACCTCCGCACACTCCCCCGTCTTCTACGTCCCCGATGTCCCGGCCCACATCCAGCGCCCCGACGCGCAAGCCATCATCTACAGCTTCCCGGCCATGGAGCCCAAGCGCCTTGCCACTTACCCCTCCTCGCACCTGCTAGTGCCGCTGCGGCGCGACCTTCTGCACCGCGCAGTGGTCTTCGAGGGCGACAGGACGCGACAGGGCACTGCGAGCACCAAGTGGCGCGACGAGGTCCACGGCTCCAACAGAAAGATACGGCCGCAAAAGGGTACGGGTCGCGCGCGTCTCGGTGACAAGAAGAGTCCAATGCTGCGGGGTGGAGGTGTGGCTTTCGGCCCCAAGCCCCGCGACTTCGCGACGGGTCTGCCGCGCAAGATCTACGACCTGGCGTGGCGCACGGCGTTAAGCTACCGGTATAGGCGCGGCGAACTGATTGTCGTTGAGGATGGCGTTGAGCTGGAAGAGGACAGCGTCAAGTACCTGGAGCAGGTCTTCGCGCGTAACAGTTGGGGCAATGCCGATCGCAGGAGCACGATCATCACCGAGACTCCGCGGGCGAATCTGTGGAAGGCGCTGGAGGGTGCGGGCCAGCATGGCGTGGCGAAGACAAGGAGGGATTTCGACGTCAAGAATGTCCTTGAGACGGGCAGGTTGATTATCGAGAAGTCGACGCTTGACCGTATCCTCGTGTCCCACCAAGACGATTTGGCTCCGTTGCCGGGTGTTGCCAAGTCTGGAACGAAGACTTTGACGACGAGCGTACAAGAGGTGTTTTAGGTTGGATGTCAGGGTAGGAGTCTTGGGAGAGGCAGTGTACAATATGTACGGGCATTTGAAATTTTGTAAAGATCTTTTGTTGATTCATGAACACCGGAAGTGCTAAGAAGCAACAGATGCAGATATGTGATGATCCATAACCTGCACAGCGAGCACATCTGGCGGCTGTGTTATTTGCACAGCGCTTCTACCGCGGTCAAGATAGTGAGAGCATAAGGGAGCAAGCACAATGCACCAGAGCAGAAGCTTGCATTTGTTAGCTCTGCATGTGTCTCTTGTCTGGTCCCCTCCGTCTGTAACGCCCGTCACTGCGAACCGAGATCCACCGTATAGCGAGACAGGGGACGATACAAGCAGTCCTTACAGGATACGTCTCGCCTAGCTCCCAGCCCGAGTCCTTAGTATGAGTGAAATGGTCTTAGAGCACACACAGAGTCTACATATCTTAACTGGGTCTCTTCTTCCACTCCGTATAAGTATCTCGCAAGAGGGTAAACTAGGGTATTCTACGAGAGTATAAAAACAAAATATACGAAGGGTATAAAGGCACTTATAAAGGTATAAGGGTAAAAAATACTTAAGGGTAGAGAGTATATCACATAATTGTGCAGGTATGTTATCGCGTGGGGTGGGCAAATAATCCGGGGTCTTGTGAGTCTGGTGCCTTCCTCTTCGCTGAAAGAATCACAACCCAAACAACAAACATGCGGCTCTGGGCAGACTATCTGCACTACGACCTCTTTCACTTGGAAGTACCCGTCTTTGTCGAAGAAGCACCTTTCGTACTTGATATTTGGAGGCAAAGTAAGCAAAAAGGATGTTGGCAACACGTACTCTGGGCTAATATTCGCACAACGCTTAGACTTCACCGGCGTCACAAGCCACCACTACGTCCACCAACACCATTTTTACTTCAAGAGGGAAGGCATTACGAAAGACATTCGCCTCAAAATAACGCGTAAGTCACTACAGGACTTAATGATATTATCCCAAAGCCCTCAAAGCTAACTACCCGGCCAATAATTAGGTTACGACGACAACACACTACTGTTCCAAGTAAAGCTCATTCGGTATGAAGGCGATAACATGGTGGTTGAAGCATTAGAAAGTTTCGGTAAGCATGGAAGACATTGATTACCGCGTCATGGCACTCTCTCTCACGCTAACACCCGTTGAAATGCTTAGATTCGCGCTATTTACAATCGCCGCTCCTCGACGCCTGACCAAATACATTCGTGTTTCTGAAAAGACAATGGGTTACACTGCGAGAGTCCGAAGGCGCTGCAAGACCTCACTGACCTACGAGCGTGGGGGCACGAGTCCAGAGAAGTGATGAAGACACTAGGTGTGAAACAGCTAGAGGACGGAACTTTGTTCACTTAAAAAGCATAGAGAAGAGAGGCACGCGCTGAGGAAGCTGTTTAGTAGGCTTAGTGACCTTACGTCTGCACCGCCTGTATAAAGGCGTTAGAAACTTCAAAGCAACTCGTAAGGCTCCATTCTGTTTTTCGCCCAAGACCGCTATATCATTCAACGTGGCTTCAAAGAAAGCCATATGTGAGTGTTAAGAGTGTTAAGAGTGGTAGACGCTAGTAGGCTTAGTCAACCCCTCTGCCTATATCTTCGCAGCCTAGAGCTTCGTTTCTCGTCCAACCAACTCCCATTCGACCCAGTCTTCAACAGTGCTGGCAGACCCAGGTGCGCGTAACGCCTCGTAACCGAGCCGGAAGGACGCGATTGCGCTTCCTTGAGGCAGCAGGCCACCTATCCAGATTAGGGAACCACAGAACCACCTCCGATTAGCCGACACCACGACCCGTATGAACCCGTCCATCTTGCACTACTCACGCAGAAACAGCATCGGTTGAAGATTTTTAGCTCACTTCAAGTCACCACTTCAGTCTTCATTACAGGCAAGATGATTCTCAACGACTTACCTGCTGAGGTTCTTGCGATGGTCGCAGCCTGTCTCGCTGACGAAGCGACACCACTCACCATACGCACAAGGAGGGTCTTTCCGCATTCGGGATCCCTTTGTACTGCTTATGAGGAATTCAAATACCCAAAGAGTATGATTCCAGGACGACAGGATGAGCGGAACCCAGCGAGCGTATCTCGACTTGGGCTACTCATGCTCTCAGACACCCTGTGCAAGGAATACGAGTATCTCATCTACCACAAGTCACTTGTGGTGTTCGAGGATCCGACTGCGCTAATGCTGTACTACGATGAGGAACACTTCTTAGGAAAGCCAGCACTGATGCAGAAGAAGTGTTCGGTACAACGGATAGAGTTGGAACATTTACGGATCTCCTATGACGCGGCCCCCTATGCAAAAGGTCTTCACCAGCTAAGAGAACTCAAGGCGCTGTACATCAACTGCGGACTACGAGATTTGAATATTGAGGCTGTTATCGCAGTCGCAGCGCCGTTGGCGCAGAACCGACCGGATGTTCTGAGCATGATATACGTCAATGTTAACGAACCTGAAAAAATCAGATATCGGGGTCGTATGCGTAGAGACAAGCATGCCGTGTCCGAACCGAGACATAAAGTCTGGCGTGCCTTGTCCGAGACACACAAGGGCTCAATGGTACAGCTTGAGCTTGAGAAGTTCCTGAGAAAGAAGGCTGGGTGGGATAAGGTCAATGCTACGAGAAAGGCGAAGAAGGAAAGAAAGCAAAGGGCCGTCGAAGCAATGATTGCCGGTAAGCAGGCCAAGAGAGCAGCTAGGAAGGCTGCGAAAGATGGAGGAATGAGAACCAAGGAGGACCACCACATGGACCAGGAAAGTGGCTAGGGTGACTGCGGGTTACGGGAAGAACATTCAAGAAATAACGGATGCATGGACTGGTCGATTCAACTCCGCTGAGGTGTCAAAGATAGGGCTGGCTTGACAATGATGCAGAGTTTGCTTTCTTCACCTATAAAATAAAGTTTGTGGTTCTACATGGTACTGTTAGAATGCTTGGAAGCCTCGGATAGCAAATCAATATCTAGGACAAACAATTCTCTTCATGAATAATCTTAAAGTTTCTCAAGCCCGTGCGAGTAGACGTCAGACCAACTGCTCAAGCAGGCAACACGGCCATGACTCTCGCAATCACGGTTATACAGTAGCAGCGGGACCTGCGCTTAAACAAGTGGAGCCAACGGCCTCCACCTCATCTCGCCCCACAGCAACGCGCTATATGACGATTCACGGTTGCGGCCCGAGGCCGGGCGTCTTGCACGACATTGCAGACGTCGCTTAGCAGATTGGGTTGCTGTGGGGCGAGGCATGGTATTGTAGCTGACCGGTCGTCCTGTTGGCAAGGTATTGGGCTCGAGAGCTTGCATTGCGTTTGCCAGGCTGTTGTTTTCACATGGACTCCTAAGTGCACGCGGAGGCGTGTCGTTGTTTTTCCATGCGGCTCTGCAACTACCTAACGCGCGAAGCGCTCGCGGCGATCCGCAACTTGATCCTATTCGCCGCATCTCGGCGCGTGCTCCACCATACCCTGACCGCACGTCCGTCGCTCACAACGACACGAGAACGGAGCATAAGTTGGATTTTCCTGGGCGTTCGAAGCAGTGCATGAGCAGTGAGGGTCGGGGATCCGGGTATGGCATACAACCTCGAGCTCGGCGTGACGAGGGCTGGTCACAGAAGAGAAAAGACGCCAGGATCTTGCCGCTGTCTGCAACTGCCGACTCTCTCATGCGAAATGAATGAATGGGACGGCGTTGCCTCTGCCGTTTATTCTTGGTGATCACACTGCCGGCAGGGATGCCATAGGCCGCTTGTATCGTGCGTCCCCGCGCGAAGGGATTAAGCGCCCAGCAAGACAGCAGCGACAACTGCGACGGCTGCGCCGCAGTACTTTAAGCGAGTTGGGGCCCCCCGTCGTGATGGGCTCGGGTTCAAGTTTGGGATGCCGCCGGTCTGAGATTGGGAGGCGTTTTTCTTGAGGTCTCATCGATTCTCGTTGTCTTTGATTTGGCTTGGCCTGATTCGTTCTATACCCTCGCGGTGCTCTGACGTTCGCTGCCATGGATTGTCTTCCTGCTTTCTTTCGCTTCGTGGTCTTGCTGTTGATCAGCGGTCTCTGTTGTGCTAATGGGCCGTTGGATGGTGCTACTTCTGCAACGTCATTTGGGCGACGAGCTGGTCATGCCGGTATGCAGAAAGTCGGAGTTTGTTTGGATTGATTGATAGCTAATGCGTAATAGCTGCTGTACTCGGAAAATACTTTTATGTCGATGGAGGCGATTTCTCCACAAGACAAAATGGCAATGTCACTTACCATTATTGTGGGTTGAGCCAACTTGAAGCACTCTTTGTACTGACATTTAAAGCTTCAACGCTCTTGTCCATAGACCTTTCGCAGGATTGGACAAACGACTCTGTCGTACTTCATTCGACATCTAAGCCCGACGGAGTACCTAACCTCATTGATGCGGGACTTTGGTCCGATGAAGACGAAGGAGTCCTTTACACAGGATTCGCAGGAGGATTGCCTCATTTCGGTAATGACATGGATCCTTACCCGGTGGGCATTTGGTCCTTTACTCCCGATGGCCAAGGAAACGGAGACTGGAAAACCGTAATAGGCTCGGATGATGACGCTCTGAACGGCATCTCTAGAGTCTACGTTGCTCAGATGACTTACGGAAATGGCATGGGCTATATGTTAGGCGGAGCTCTCACAAGTTCCACGAGTCCTGCGACGGTGGGCTTTGGCGACTCCATCATCTCGATTCGTAGTCTGGCCAAATTCGACATGTCCACTAAGAAGTTCTCCAACATTATGGTGAGCCAGCCGCGCTCCAAGGGCCAGATTGAAGAGGGCCAGATGCACTACGTCCCAGTTTTTGGACCGGAGGGAGTGTCTTTCGTCATGGGAGGAGGAAAATCAGTTTGAGGACTATGATGATTTCTGGGATTTTAGGACCGTCTCAGTCTACGATCCGGCAAAAAACAACTGGTACGATCAGCACACGACGGGAAACGTACCCCGGGCTCGAAAGGGCTTTTGCGTCGCCGGTGTCGCCTCGGATAGGGAGACATACGAAATGTAAGGGAATAATCCGGGGCTGAGATTTGAATTCAAGCCATCAAAGCTAACAGCCATTGTCTCAAGCTTCGTGTATGGCGGCTATCCTGGTGAGACAGGCTATGCTGCTGTACCATACGACCAAATATACATCCTAACCTTACCCGCTTTCCACTGGATCCAGGTAAACTACACAGCAGAAAATCCGCGGCATAGCCATACTTGTACGGCAGTTGGAGGTAGTCAAATCCTTTCATTCGGAGGTTTTGACTCGTCAACGACCATTAGTGACGCTAGAAATTACGAGAGCATGTTCGAGGGGAAAGACCCATTTACGCAAGGCCTTGCCATATTCAACATGACAAGCCTGTGGTGGGCGGACAAGTACGAGGCGAACCAGAGTGTTTACAGGCAGCCAGACCTCATTCGGGAGTACTACGAGCAGAACCCAGGGAATGCGACGTTCAACTCGACCAAGTTGAAAGCCGTGTTCGACGAAACCTACTTTGGAGCGAATGCGACGGGCTCGTCCCGGCCGCCCCGCTCGTCCAGCACGTCCAGCTCATCAGCGTCGAGTTCTCCAAGCTCCAAATCGGGCACGAGCCACGCATCGACAGGCCTCAGCACAGGCGCAGTGGCCGGGATAGTCGTAGGCAGCATCGTGGGGGCACTGGGAGCCGCGGGAGTGCTATTCCTCTATCTTCGCAGCAGAAGGATCAAGAGGCGCGCGGATGAGGCGCGAGTGGGGGGTCAGCAGCAACACGAGCAGCTGTTCGAAGCCGACGCCGCGACGATGTGGGCGGAGGTGCACGGGCAGCATCGGCCGCATGAATTGGCTGGTGGGCACATGGCGCATGAGAAGGATGGCACGCACATCGTGGCCGAGCTGGAGGCCGCGGCGGGGTCGGGGTCGAGCGAGAGTAGCCGTAGGTAGTAGGGTGGGATAAATAAGAAACGCGTGCATTCTTTTCTTCGACTGACGTGGGCGGCGCGACCGCAAGAACGCGGGCAGTTCCAAATATACTCCGTACGTCGACGGCAGAGCCGAAAAAAAATAAAAAAAATAAAAATAAATAAATAAATAGCACGCCCCGGTAAGGCGTGCCTGGGCCGTCAGCAAATCAGCCTGGCTGGCTTGCCGCCCCCAGTTTGTGGGCAGACATGGTGCTGAGTCGCTGCTGCCATGGGGGCCGAAACAGTCGATCCCTGCGCTGGCGCTTAATCCCGGTGGGGACGATGACTGCGCCGCCAGAGCGTTGACGTCGCGACAAAAAGGATGAGGCTGCGCCCACGGGCGGCAGGCAGCTTTTGTGTTCCTTTCCATGACTTGACCTTGCTGCAGCTGGTTTGCATTGCTGCGCATCATCTGTGCTTCCTTCCCTTTCCTGTTCATGTCCATTCCATCGTTGCTGCTGCTTCCGCCCTTCTTTCGTCCGCGTACCGCCTCATCCCTTCATAGCCTGTCATCCCAATGATTGTGCGGTATGCCGCCTGCGTTATATCATTGAGCCTGCTCGCCCTCTTTCCGCGCCGGGGCGCAGGCCAGCAGAATGGAGCCACCTCCGCCTCAACGTTCATGCGACGAGCTTACCACTCTTGTGCGTACCGCACCTCGCCCTCCTTGCTTTGCTCATCGTTGGAAACTTACACCGCGAGCAGCTCTGGTCGCCGGAAAATACGTTTACATCGACGGCGGCGAGTTTTCCACCAAGGCCTACGACGTCGACTTCTCCTTCTCTTCAACTCTGCTCTCCATCGACTTGTCGCAGGACTGGACCAACGACACTGTGACCCTTCACTCCACCACCAAGCCTTCTGATGTCCCCTCGCTCGTTGGCGGCGGCCTCTGGTACGATGATGACAAGGACCTACTGTATACCGGGTTTGCAGGGCGCGTCTCGATCTTCGATACCTCGCAGTGGACCGATATGGAACCATATCCCATGGGCATCTGGACCTTCAAACCCGACGGCACCGGCAGCGGCACCTGGGGCACCGCAATTGAATCCAATGCCTCGGTTTTCGACAACGATACAGACAGCTATATCACTCGTCCGTACATCGCTGCAGTTGCGCACGGCGCAGGCGCTGGTTACGTCCTTGGTGGAGCCAAAACATACCAGACGGCGCCCGGTGCAGTTGATGGCGAACAGATCGTTCCCCTCAGCGGCATGTTAAAATTTAATATGAGCACTCAGACGCTCACGAACGTAACCGTCGACGGGCCGCGTTTTCATGGCGTCTCGCAGTACGCATCGATGTTATATGTGCCATATTTTGGCTCAGAGGGGGTCTTCGTCGTGCTGGGAGGTAACCAGCTCAATGAAACGGGTTCTGACCGTTTGCTCGACTGGGGAGTGGTGTCGGTTTTTGATCCTGTTTCTGGGAAATGGTGGGATCAGGAGACGACTGGCAACAGACCCGAAAATCGCAAAGAATTCTGTTCAACAGGATTACCTTCGGATAACGGGACTTACGAAATCTTCGTCTACGCCGGCTGGAGCGGTTCCCTCGGCACGGGAAGTAACCAGTATGATGAGATTTTCATCTTGACATTGCCAGCATTCCACTGGATTAAGGTCGATTACAATCCGTATAGAACGAGGCATGGATTAACGTGCCATCATGTTGGTGGCGGCCAGATATTGGTAATTGGCGGACTTGATACCCAAAGTAATGATTCGGGCGCGACCATCTACGAGACACCGTTCAGGGGAAAGGATAATTTTACCCAAGGGCTGGCGGTATACGACCTGAATACCTTGCAGTGGCAAGATAAGTACAAGGCGGAACCTCCTGCATACACGCAACCGGATATGGTACGGAATTACTACAAACGGAGGTAAGCAGTACAGCACCCGTATAAAAGAGCATCAAAAACTGACCTTTGACAGTGACGACGTCAACGCCGAATTTAATTCCACAGACCTAAAGTCCGTTTTCAGCAAGACAAGCTTCCCTACCACCACCAACAACACCTCACGTATCTCGTCTGCCAGCGCATCCAGCACCGCAACCGATGTACCACAGACACTGGGCCCCGGCGCTCTGGCCGGCACCATCGTCGGCGCCATCGCGCTCATGACGCTCTTCTTGGCCGCACTGATATCGTATTGCTGCATCAAACGCCGCCGCCAGCGCCAAATCTCTGCACTGGACGAGCAAGCGCACACGCTGGCGCACAGCCCCTCGATAGGCGCGACAGTAACGCCGCCGGAGATGGACCCCACGTCTGTTGGAGAGCTGCACGCCCCGCAGTGGCGGTTTGAGATGGCCGGGATGCCGCCGCATCACCAGGCGCATGAAAAAGATGGCCAATCGGGTCTTGTGGAAATGCCCGCGAATGAGGCGGCGTATTATGAGCTGCCTGCGGATAGTATTGCAGCGGTGGGGGAGCAACAACAACGTCCGGAGGCGGCGAAGCGGAATCCGGGACCGCGGGGGAGCTATGGGTGAAGTAACGCGCGGCTGGACGCTGTGTGCTTGATTTTGTTGTAGCTATGTATGTGGACTGACATTGGCGTTTGGGTAAGCGGGAGGCCTTTTGGTATGCATCTATGAGCGGGTTATGTGGGGAAGTAAAGAGAAGGCTCTTTGACGCATTTTTGATCTTCTTCTTAGAGATCTCAAGGGCAACTTCAACTGCCACCTTATAAGGGCTCTTGTTATTTGTAAAAGTAGGTGGCGATAATGGTCCTGTGGCCTACTATGCTTAACCGTATATTATTCAACGAAGAATTCTCTGTCTCCATGTCAGTACTGAGGTCAGCAGAATAGCACAAACAGCATAAACGGAGGTAGCGCAAAATGGCACCCACCTACCTCACCTATGTCACCAGTCCCTGAATACCAGCAGTGAGCAGACAGCAAGCTGCAGGCAAGCAGGCAAACCAAACAGATGAAACACCAACAGCTTACACGTACACATACGTACCTTTCCCTCACACACTAGCGAGGCACCAGGATGCTAGCAGTGACCGCCTCAACAAAGCCAACATCACCGCCATCACCCAGCACAGCACCGCGTATCTCCGCCGTCATCATCAGATCAGCACACGAATGAAAAAAAGAACACAGCACAGCACAGCACACACCCACGCAAGCAGGCAGACAGGCACGCAAGGCCTCGTAACCGTGCGGTGGTGGGGGCGCGCGGGGTACAAAGAAAGAAAGACGACACGACAAGACAGACACGACACGCGGACTTGCCAAATATAGCAGCGAAACACGATGCGGCTGACACCTTGACACCGATGACAGTGACAGCCACAGGCAGGCACGCACGGGGCAAGTCGGCGAGCGACAAGGCGACGTCGAGACAAAGTTGCGGGAGCGCCGCGGCGGAAAGGCGGCTGTGCTGCGTGCGAGCGTCCTGGCGTGCCGGCGGCCTGGTCTGGCGGGTGGCGGCGCAACTTAGCGCGCTGAAAACGTCATCGCGCGCGACGTCATGCCTGCCTGCGAGTAGATAGGTAGCTGCGGTTGTTGCTCCCGTTGGTTTTGCTGCGGTTTCAATTGGGCGTGTGCTATCTTGATGCTGATTTCCGCTGCCTGTCACGGTGCCTGTCGGATCGCTGCGGGGCTGGGTAGTGCTGTTGTGGGCGCTGCGGGCTGCGGGGCTGATGTCAGATTGTCCCTGGGCGTCCTGGGGTGGCGCGAGGGCCGGCGCGCATTCCCGTGCCCGTATTTGATGTTTGTAGTTCTGATGGTAGATTGTTGGTGGTGATAAAGTTGCTCGTGATTTTCTTGTGTCTTGTGTCGCGTTAGGGACCGTAGTCATCGTTATGACCGTAGTCTGCCCATGACGCTCTCAGCTAGTAGCGAATGAACATTTCCTCCTGTCCTCCCACATCTCCCTCCGTGGCTGCTCCCAAAGTCCAATTGCACTAAAAAAAAAAAAAGCGTATCGTCGTGGTACTAGAGGCCGACTCATAGCAAGGGCATAAGTCGTTGAAAATTAAAAGAAAGAAACACATATGGATATCCGAAACACTGGTAAATGATCTGCGACCACGTTAGGGCACTCTCTCATTGACAGGGCCGACGAGTGCCTCACCAATTAAATGGGAGTGGACCGGAAAGGTATCATAAAGTCCTCATCCTGCAGCGAAAACTGTTTTCACGTGGTATTCCGCTCATAGATGGATTGAAGCGGAGGCGTTGACAGCCTCCAGCATCGGTCCCATGTAAATGGTTCCGTACATTCCGGAGGACAAGTGCTCGAGCACGCTGTAGAAGCTCGTGGGCTCAAGCGCCAGCTGCCGCGACAGCACGCGGAAGCTTATGATGGAAAGCGGAATAATGGCTTGCCAGAGCGCAAATGAGAGAGTAAATGCGAAAAAGGCGTAGATGATAATCTTTTCCCAACAGTCCATGACGTACAGACCGTACGTAACTTCGAAACGGTAAACCAGAGAGCGCATTTGCTCGGAGGAAGTGTCCCGGAGGCTGGGCTGGTTCATTACGGGCTTCTGCATAGCAAAGTTGTTCTTCGTGAAGGCATCCATGACTAATGTACGTATGTTACAAGTCGCGTGAAGCTGGAGTGTTGCCATTGCTAGAAAATATGCGCTGGGGCATGGGTTAGCTGCACTGCCAAGGTATTCGTGCAGCATGACGCTAATGTGTATGCAACAAAGTGCTGACGGTTGAGTACTTGAAAATATAGTGCACTACGTACCTTGGAGAAATGTTCACACTGCACTAATCAGACGGATTAAGAGAGGAGCTATGAGAGGGTTGAGGGGGCTCTGAGCGAGGTATTGAGGCAGCGTGTCTCAGTATATGAATATCGCATGCATTGCTTCATAATCGCCGATGGCATCAGTGAGAGCTGGGACCCCAAGACATGCCCATCGTGAATAACGCCCGTCATCTCGAATCACTGGTAGACGCCAGGATATGAACAAGCATATGCCGTCCCCGATCTCAGCCTATATCAAACATTGACAGCTGCTTGCCGTGAAGCTTGTGCCAACTTCAGGCACTAGGCCCGGCCGGCACCGAAGCCGTTGAGTTTATGGGGCAGGTGGACAGCAAGGGTTGTTGTCAATGAAAATCTGCCGAGCTTCTTTTGCAAAATGCATTTCCGCAGGGTTCTGCGGTGCCGCACTTTCCACGTCATGGTCCGCTTCACGAGTTCTGGGGGAAGTGGGAAGGGATAATCTAGCGGCCTTGTCTCCGCAAGACGCGTTTGTTCCAAGACGCCGGCGAGGTATGACTACTCTGCTCTTCTTGACCCGAGTCTCGTGCTGTGAGGGGTGGTCTGACAGCTCAAACGATTCGGATGTCGGCAGCAATACGCCAATAAGACAAGGGCGCGGTTGATGCTTGGGCAGAGGCTCGTGCACAAGGCTGAAGGGAAAATTGGGTCAAGCTCGGAGTGAAGCGTGTGGTGCAGCGTGAGAACTTCGAATGTCCGTCTCCGGGCAGGGGGATCAAAACACCGTATGGCTGTTCCAGTTGTTCGGCATGGGAAACTGCTGGAAAAGCAAGGAGGCTGGCATGCAGATGTTGCGTAGTTGTATTGGTGCGTGCGGTGTGCTCATACCTAGCACTATAGACGTTTGTTGTCCGCTATAGTGCAGTACATCTTTACCGATCCCTCTGCAGTCAACTCTTGGCATCTGCGCTTGGCGTTGTGAGTCGTCCATGCTGGCTCTCATGATTGAAGTCGGGATGCCTGAGCATTGAAACTTTGCGGCCTCCACATCTTTGATTAATGGCGCATCTCTTCATTCGACGACCAGAACACCTTCTCCCCGCACGCTATGACGGAGTGACGTGCACTAGCAGAAGATCAAGTCTGGATCTGAACCGTGAAGTCTATCAGTGAGAGATAGAACAAGTAATGCGGTAAGCTCATTAGGAGACTTGATATTCGGGTTGGCTGACTACTGCCCGAGATCTTGGGAAAGCAGATGTGCAAGCCCAGGATCACTTGACAGAATTCGTTGACGATTGAGAATGTTGCGCGAATGCGGTTATATGTAGGAGTAGGAGTGGAAGTCGAAGATCTTGCCCAATGGACCCGACGCGATCTCGCTTAGCTCAGCAGGCACGGGCGCTTGCCGCGTTTTGAGCGAGACGCGGTTTGGAGCGCGTCACCGCGACATTTCGTGACACCGAGCTCTCACGCACTGCGATTTTCCCTTCACCCACGCAACACCGCGCTCTGAATGTAGCGCTCTTCCCCTACCGAACCAACGATTATGCCCGCTGCGACCTCCATGAAACGGGCTCTGGCCGAAACTCCAGACACTCGCCGCAACGCCGCCGCATCCCCGCAATCGATGAAGAAGCGCAAGCTGGACGACTCCGTCAGATCGACCAAGGCCCCGCCGAAAGGCGCGGACAACAATGTCATTGGATCGAGCCAACCTAGAAGCCAGTTCGAGGAGACACTCGAGAGGCTTACGCAGGATATCGATGACTTGAGGCACACCAACAAAGAGAAGGATCAAGAATGGTCGCGGCCGAGCTTGGATGAGTTCGATGACACGCAGGATAGCCTCTGCTTCCAGCAGATCGAAGCTGAGGAGGGAACTTTACATGGTGGCAAGACAACTGTCAAGCTCTTCGGTGTGACGGAAGTAAGTGTTGCCTGTCTTTTGCAGCGCTGTACGCTTATTGACACGCAGCTTTCTAGACCGGTCACTCTGTACTCCTCCACGTCACGGACTTCCTACACTACCTCTATGTCGCCGCACCGGTATCCTTTCAGAAATCTGACTGCCAAGGCTTCAAGCACTACCTCGAAACCCAGCTTGCTCAACACCAGCCGGCTATCCACTCCGTAGAAATGGTATTGAAGGAAAATCTATATGGCTTCCAGGGCAATCAGAAGAGCCCCTACCTCAAGATCACCGTCAACGACCCAAGGTACATAAACAGGCTCCGAACATCCATCCAGGAGGGCAACGCCAACTACAAGGGACTGTGGAAGGGCGCGGATGGAGGCATTTTGACCTTTGACAGCATTCAATATGTTTTGCGGTTCATGATCGACTGTAAGATCTCCGGCATGTCGTGGGTCGAGGTGCCTCCTACGAAGTACACGATGGTTCCTCAGCGAGACCGCCATTCCAACTGCCAGATTGAGGCCTACGTCAGTTACCGAAACCTCATTGCCCATCCTGCTGAAGGGGAGTGGGCTAAGATGGCACCACTACGAGTCCTCTCATTTGATATCGAATGTGCTGGCCGCAAAGGAATCTTCCCCGAAGCAAACATAGACCCTGTCATTCAGATTGCAAACGTCGTTACCCGTTACGGAGAAGACAAACCGTTCGTCCGAAACGTCTTTTGCATGGATACCTGCAGCTCGATCGTTAATACTCGGATTTACGAGTTCCAAGACGAGGGGAAAATGCTGCAATCCTGGACCGACTTCGTGCAAAAAGTTGATCCCGATGTCATCATTGGTTACAACATTGCCAACTTCGATTTTCCCTATTTGCTGGATCGTGCAAAGCATCTCAAATGCGCACGCTTCCCATATTGGACGAGGCTGAAGAATGTCGCTTCACAAGCCAAGGAAACCAACTTCTCCAGCAAGCAGATGGGCAACCGCGACACCAAAGCCACCAACACCAATGGCAGACTACAACTCGATCTGCTTCAGCTGGTGCAACGTGACCATCAATTGCGAAGCTATACCCTCAACTCTGTCTGTGCACATTTCCTTAATGAGCAGAAGGAGGACGTGCATCATACGATGATCACTGAGCTTTTCAACGGCGACGCGAACTCAAGACGACGTCTTGCTGTATACTGTTTGAAAGATGCCTATCTGCCACAGAGGTTGATGGACAAACTCATGTGCTTGGTCAACTATACAGAAATGGCCCGTGTCACGGGAGTGCCGTTCAACTTCCTGCTATCCAGAGGTCAACAAGTCAAATTCCTCAGTCAGCTGTTCCGAAAGGCCTTGGAACAAGAGCTGGTCATCCCAAACCTACGCATGGACAGTTCTGATGAACAGTATGAGGGTGCGACTGTCATTGAACCTACTCGGGGCTATTATGACGTTCCTATTGCAACCCTTGATTTCGCATCTCTGTATCCCAGTATCATCCAGGCCCACAATCTTTGTTACACGACATTGTTGAACAAAAATGCTGTGGAAAAGCTGGCTCTGAAGAAAGATGAAGATTATATCGTCACTCCTAATGGCGACATGTTCTGTACGTCTAAGGTTCGAAAGGGGTTGCTGTCGCAAATTCTTGAGGAATTGTTGGGTGCGAGAAAGCGCGCCAAAAAGGAACTTGGCGTTGAAAAAGACCCATTCAAGAAAGCTGTTCTCAACGGTCGTCAGCTGGCTCTGAAGGTCAGCGCAAACTCGGTTTATGGTCTAACCGGTGCGACTGTAGGCAAGCTTCCTTGTTTGGCTATCGCAAGTTCTACAACCAGTTACGGTCGTCAGATGATTGAGAAAACCAAAGACGAAGTGGAGAAGAAGTATACCATCGCCAACGGCTACTCACACGACGCGCAGGTCATTTACGGTGACACGGATTCCGTCATGGTCAAGTTCGGGCCTCCGGATTTGGCAAAGGCCATGGAGTTGGGTCAAGAAGCCGCGGATTACGTTTCCTCGAAGTTTATAAAGCCCATCAAGCTCGAGTTCGAGAAGGTTTATTTCCCCTATCTCCTCATCAATAAGAAGCGTTACGCTGGTCTCTTCTGGACGAATCCCAACAAGTGGGACAAGATGGACACTAAAGGTATCGAAACAGTCCGTCGTGACAATTGTCGTCTGGTACAGACTGTCATTGAGACTTCGCTTCGCATGCTCTTGATCGACCGTGATGTCAATGGAGCACAAAAGTAAGTTTCAAGTTATACATGAAGTGAAGGACCTTCGCTGACAATGACTGCAGTTTCGTCAAGGAGACCATCTCCGATCTGCTCCAGAACAAGGTCGATATGTCCAATCTTGTCATTACCAAGGCCCTTTCAAAGTCCGATTATGCCGCCAAGCAGGCTCATGTTGAGCTTGCTGAACGCATGAAAAAGCGCGATGCTGGTTCTGCGCCGGCACTTGGTGATCGTGTCGCGTACGTCATTGTGAAGGGTGCTGGGGGCTCCAAGAATTACGAAAAATCGGAAGACCCAATCTTCGTCCTGGAGAACAATCTGCCGATCGACACGAAGTACTATCTGGACAACCAGCTTTCGAAACCGTTGACCAGAATCTTCGAGCCTATCTTGGGAGAAAAGAAGGCCTCTCAATTGCTGACAGGCGAGCACACGCGCAGCATCAGTGTCGCAGCGCCGACGATGGGTGGTCTCATGAAGTTTGCGAAGCGCACGCAGACATGTATGGGATGTAAGAAGCCTCTGGTGTCCGCTCACGAGAAGGAGGGCGCTGTGTGCGAAAACTGTCAGCCAAGGTCTGGCGAACTTTACGCAAAGACCTTGTCTAAGGTTGCGGACCTAGAGGTCAGGTTCGCACGTCTCTGGACCCAATGCCAGAGATGCCAGGGCAGCATTCACTGCGAGGTCATCTGCAGTTCCAGAGATTGCCCAATCTTCTACATGCGCATGAAGGCGAAGAAGGACGTCGAGGACGCAAATAAGGAACTTGTCCGTTTTGACAGGGAAGACGTGATGTGGTAAATCGGACCAGCATCGAGATGGATATGCAGCGCATTTTATGGGACGGGTGTACATGCTTTGTTTGCTACCGGTTATGGGTTTTACTATGGGATCATGGTCAGGATGGGCAGTTGCTAGGGCGGCGTTGCTGTGTGGAAGGCGAGTTTGTGCTTTCTTTAATACAAACATGATACGGAGATGAGAGCATTCAATCAATTGCTCTCTTGCTGCTGTTTTCTATATATTTTGCTCTCCATTGTGACCAGAAAACAAGCAAACCCTCTGAAGAACCTTTTTTCCCAGTTTGTTGGATACTTGGTCTCGGTCGGTCTTTTCAAAAGTGTTTATCATCCGTCTACTATCTTCCGGAAAGCGCGGTATCTGGCACATGCAGCTGAGAGCTGGTGCGAAGATTCGCAGACCCACGACCCAGAAGCTAATGGCAGGCGCCGCCGATAAGGATAAGGCGATAAAGCTCCGGGCGCTCTTCCGCCTGCGAACGACCACCGTACCGTCATCATCCAACCATCTTCTCCAAACAACCCCCCCCCCACAACGCCATTTACACCATGGAGAATGCAATGAAGAGCTGGGGTACGTCACTCCCTACCTAGTTACACCCACAACTTTGTCTGACCCTCCCCACAGAGTTAGAAAACTCCATCAAGCTTGTCGACCCCACCCGCGATGCCCTCTACAACTACTCCACCGCCGACCAGAAGGCCATCAACGATGCACGGCCATGGAAGAGCGACGCGAACCACTTCAAGCATGTCCGCATCAGCGCCGTCGCTCTACTCAAGATGGTCATGCACGCGCGCTCCGGCGGCTCCATTGAGGTCATGGGCTTAATGCTCGGCTCGATACACGGCGACACGTTCGTCGTGACCGACGCGCTCCGCCTTCCGGTTGAGGGCACCGAGACTAGAGTCAACGCACAAGACGAAGCCAACGAGTACATGGTGCAATATCTGCAGCGCGCGCGTGAGGCTGGGCAGCTCGAGAACGCTGTTGGATGGTACCACAGTCACCCTGGCTACGGATGCTGGCTATCTGGAATTGACGTCGGTACGCAAGCGACGCAGCAGCTGTTCAGCGACCCATTCCTCGCCGTTGTCATCGACCCCGACCGCACCGTCAGCGCTGGAAAGGTCGAGATCGGCGCCTTCAGGACCTACCCGGACGGCTACAAGCCCGAGGGCGCGACCACTGGCGACGGTTTCCAGACGATTCCGCTGGGCAAAATGGAGGACTTTGGCGCGCATAGTAGTCGGTACTATTCGCTTGAGGTGTCTCACTTCAAGAGCACGCTCGACAGCAAGATTCTCGAGAGCCTGTGGAACAAGTACTGGGTCGGCACGCTGACGTCCTCGCCGCTCCTGACCAACCGCGAATACGGCACCAACCAGATCGCTGATGTGGCGCGCAAGATAATCGATGCGGAGCACCACAAGCAGAACCACGGCATGGGGGTGTTGGGCAAGTTGAAGAGTGAGAGGCAAAACACGGGCAGCGACGAGCGGCTGGAGAAGATTGCCAAAGCGAGCGAGAAGATTGCCCGTGAGGAGCGCATGGGCCTGTTGGCGGCGGATGTAAAGGAAAAGGTGTTTGTGGGGGCGGGAAAGACCACGACGACGCAGATCCAGGATGACGGGGATACGGAAATGAAGGCTTGAGGGTGGCTTTTATTGTGTCAGGGCTGCACGCACACATGAGGAACAATGGTCATGACGGCGGAACATCGAGCTTGATTTGAGGCATTTGCTTGGCGTTTGAGATGGGAGGGGTTCTGGGACTTGAAAACACACCAGCAAAGCACGGCGCAAGACGCTTGCTTTCCTAACAGCGATTACCTAGTAAGTAGAAAGATCGAACAAGGAGCTGTGCTGAGTGAGCACGGCCGCAGATTCGGCCTTCAAACCTCCGGCGGGACTATCTTGCTACCATGCTTTGACTTGCAGCAGTAGCTTACCTAAATTACTCGATTGCCGTTGCATTCGGTTTGGAATTGAGTGATTGCGCGGAGTGGCGTACTGCTGTAGCTGAAGGTAAATGTTGGACGGATGAGATCATGGCGCAGTTGAAAAATAGGGGGGGCCTGGGGACGGAACAGAAGGTGGCATTGACGTCGGGAATTCAACAGAGATTCCAATGCAGACAGGCTTACCCGAAATGGATAGCTGCAGCGCGGCTCGGTAAGGAGCAAGTAGAGCGGCGGCAGGCAAGAAGATGGAAACAACCGTCAAGCACAGTACGACAGGATGCGGCCCGAGTGAACCGGTATGATTGCTGCCTTGCGCCATTCGCGGGGACACGAGATACGATAATGGGTGCAGCAGCCTCCACGTTCCACTGCCGACGAACATGGCAAACACCCCGCATTGCCCGCATCAGTCAGCTCGTATCGTAGATGAGTAGCTGCAGTTTCTCTTGGCTAGCCCCAGGGGCACGGCCGACAGTAAGCTCGAAACGCAGCTCCGGCCGAAGCCTGACCATCTCTGGACGTGACATGCGTCTCGAAGCAACCGTCACCACCCGCCAAGCCGCTGCGCCTCCTGCAAATAGTAGCACCTCGCGAGCCATCATGGAGCCATGTCGCGTAACTCCACATTGATGAACGAGCATGATCACCCGACGGCCTTTTACTACTTCTTGTCCCTCGTGTTTTTTTGCCTCCGTCCTGTAATCGTCACCTGTTCCCTGGCCGAGCAGGTACTTATTTTTGAGGGTCTCTGCCCCTCGTACTCTCGCTTTTTCTCGTCACTCGCTTCCTGCCTGTCGTTCCTAATCCATAATGCGTCTCGTTGCACTCGTCGGCCTTGCGGCCTCGCTGATCCCTAGCGTGGCCCAGGCCGCCTGCAGCGGTCCCCTCACCATCGACGACTTTTCTCAATACTCAAGCAACAGCAACAGCTTGGGCTCATGGACCAGCGGTAAGCCTCTCCTGCGATGCCTTGACATTGTCTCCTCTATCAGAATGAACGCCCCTAACGGCAGTAGATGACGGGTCCATGACGTCCATCTCTGCGGCGGGCAACAAGCTGTCTTTCACGCCTAGTTCCGACTCGTACTTCTACGAAACCTTTTCTTGCCAGGCCGCTTCTTCAAACGGCTATGATTCTATTTCTTTCTCTACCAAGGGCCCTGCTGGCGGCTCTTTCACGCTTGAGATCCAGACTCAAGCTTCATGCTCTGCTAGCTCCTACACCAGCTACTACCATGAGGTTACTGGCCTCACGGGCCAGACCCAGACGATCACGATCCCTCTGAGCTCGTTTGCTGGTGCCAATGCGGACGCGGTGACAGCGTTCCTCTGGAGTGACTTTTCGAGCACCTCGGCCACCTATGAGTTGAGCAACATCCAGTTCGGATGTTCGTCTTCCGGCGGCGGAAACCCCCCGACTACGTCCCAGACTTCTATGAGGACTACCAGCCGCTCCACGGTTCCTACCGGGTCATGCCAGAACCTCCTCGTCGATGACTGGGTTTCTCAATCCCGTCTCACATTCCTTTACTACAACGCGATGCTCAACCCAAGTTCGGATGACGCTACCATGAACTCGGTTGTTGTCTCGCCTACCACCAACCGGCTCACGCTGACCCCCAAGGACGACAGCTCTTACTTCTACAGCCAGGTCGGCTGCCTCAATGCTAGGGACGTTTACGGTGGTCTCTCCCTCCGCATCAAGGCGCCCAGTGGCACTACACTTTCTGTCGAGCTCGACTCCGCTTCGGAGTGCGGTGGGGAGGCCACTGCCGCCATCACTGTGTCTAGCTCTGACCTTGGCTGGACTTTTGATGGCAGCGAGAAGCTGTACAGCATCCCCTTTTCCAAGTTCTCTGGTCTCGACACCAGCAAACTTACTACCATCCTGTTCGCTGGGCTTAACAACGCCGTCACTTTTGGTCCATTGGCATTCTACTGCGGCAACACGGTCAGCGAGTACACACCGACGAACACTGCCGTCCCTACGGGTATCAGTGAGACCGTGGCGGCGCCTTCTGGAACGGCCGCTGCGATCGTCATCGACCAGTTTGCCAACTCGGAAAGCAATGCGCTCGGCTTCTGGCATGGTGCGGATGAGGGCATGACTCTGAACTACGGGGGCAACTCGCTCACCATCACTTCCAACGATGCCGACTACGCCTACTACACGCAGGTCACGGCCACGTGCAGGGACCTGAGCAGCTACGACGGCGACTACCTGCACATTGCCTACAGCGGCTCCAACGCCTTCAGCGTCGCGCTGCAGCAGCACAACTCGCAGTGCAACGAGAATATCGCGCCCTACCCCGAGACGTGGGACTCGGTTGAAGCGGCGCGCTACGCCTCAGGCTCGGACATCTACATCCCGATGAACCACTTCAAGATCGAGCGCAGCCGGGTTGTGGGCGTCGCGCTCAAGGGCTTCTACAAAGCCGACCCGGTGACGCTCAGCAAGATCGAGATCGTCAAGTCGGTGCCCGCAGGCTTCACGATCCCGAACAAGCTCGAGTCCGGGAACCTGATATTCGCGTGCAAGCGGCCCAACAGCTTCGCCTTTGCGATCGACGACGGCGACCCGACGCTCGCGCAGGAGGTGCTGCAGATCATCCGCGAAGAGGACATCAAAGTGACGTTCTTCACGGTGGGCGCGCCACTGCTAGACGCCAGCACGAACCTGTCAAACGTGTACAACGAGATGAAAGCGGCAGGGCACCAGATCGCGCTGCACAGCTACACGCACCCAAAGATGGAGGGCCTGCCGGACTACGCAGCCATCGACTGGGAGTACGAGAACGACATTGCGGCCGTCGAGCAGACGCTCGGCGGCTTCCATACGCCGTACTTCCGGCCGCCGTTCGGGACCGAGGGCGCGCGCATGCGCCAGCGCCTTGCGGTCGCGACGGCGGACCAGACGTCCTCGCCCTATATCATCAACTGGAGCGTTGATGTCGAGGACTGGCTCTGGGCGGAGACAAGCACCCCCGAGAAGCAGCTCGATGCTTTCCAGCGCGATGTCGATAAGGGCGGCAATTTGGTTGTTATGCATTATTTGTATCCGAGCACCGTGGGCTATTTGAGGCAGTTTATTCAGATTGCCAAGGCGACGGGGAAGCAGCTTATGCGTGTAGATCAGTGCTTAGAAGATCCGAATGCGCCGGCTTTGTAGGTGGGGGTCGGGGTGGGGTGGAGGATGAGGGGGTTGCTTGAGAGAGAGACAGAGAAGGAAAGAGGTGGGTCAGTGCGGGGGACGCGTGCTGCTTCTGCTGCTGCTTCTGCTGCTGCTTCTGCTGCGAGGACGAGGTGGAGGAGGTGACGCGAAGTGAGGAGGAGGGCGAGCGGGGTCGGTCAGTCATACTTTACTGCCTACTGCCTACTTACTACCTAGCTACTACATAGTTACCTACTGTAATCAACTAATGCTCCGAGCCAGTTATGCACTACACACGTACGTAGTATTTCGCGCCACTCGCTCGGGTTTCTTGACTCTGACTGACGCTCCCGGTGGGCTGGCTGCGTGGCGTTTTGCTTCGTGCGTGCGTGCGTGCGTGCGTGCGTGCGTGATCGGCTGGGTGGGTGTGTGAGTGCGTAGTCAGGTGTAGTGTGCTGTAGTCAGGTGAAGCATGTAGTGTGGTGTGGTGTGGTGCTCGCACTACAGGCAGGTAACGTGGCAGCAGCAGTAGCCCATTGGCGGAGGCGGCGGCGGCGGCAGTGGTGGTGGTGGTGGTGGTGGGGAGTGAGGGGTGCGAAGCACGCAGTGCGAAGTGAGGAGCGCGAGGCGTGGGCGTGGAGTGAGGTCATTGTACATACGCCATACATACAGTCAAGCTGCTGCAGCTACTGCCCTTGCTGCTGCGGGAGAGGCTCGCCGCTTGCCGCTCGCCGCTCGCGTCGGGTTGCTTGCTTGTTTGTTTGTTGATCAGTAGCTGGGAGTGCGGGGTTGGGTTGGAGTGGGGAAGGTGGGGCGAGCGGAGGGGTTGGTTGGTTGGTTGGTTGCTTGCTTGGTAGGGACGCATGTATGGACGGGGGTGTGAGCGGGGAGGGTCTTTGCTTCCTCTTAGGTTGTAGGTTGGCTGCGTGGTCATCTTAAGCTTCCAAGACTTCGACTTATCTTGTTGTATTTTTCGGCGTCGTTTTAGATCGCAATGACTGGAAAGAAATGAATTATAGGGACTATATATAGACTAGCGCTGAAGGTATCAGTATATATGGCCAGGATGCCACGATGCGGATCAATCTGCAATAATGTGCAGTTGCTGAGTGCAACGCCTCTTCTTTTATCGATAATGGGTTTCCGGACTGGGCGACTGGTTTGTCTTAGTTGGAGGCAGCAAGTATACTTAGCCGTGTTTGGCTTTTTGCAGGTACGATTTCTTGTTTGGTCTTTTCTTTTATATGCTCTCGAAACTTAACGTCTCTGTCTTTACTTTCTGTTAAGTTATAATAGTTGGACCGTGGTGAAGTATATTATAGGGATCTTCAAAGCTTGTACGTGACAGTTGTACTCACTGTCATTTTTCGAGCTCGGCTGTTTTTGCTTAGGGTGAAAGCATAATGTTGGAGTGTTGATATACATGTTGTTGCAGTTCGGGACAATTCATAATAACTTTAAATAGTTTATCAACAATTAAAGAGTAAAAAGAAAATTAGCGAGCCTTATATCGTATAGAATTAGAAATTCGAATAACAGAACAGATAAGCTCAGAATCGGAATAAATGAAAAGAACGAGAAAGAAGGAGTTCGTATAATGTGCTGATTCTTCTCGAGTATCCATTCTGAAGCCTGTGTCCATACTGTTAGGAAAAGACCCATCCTGTCCTGGAGTCTGGTACTTACTACCAAACAAAAATTCAGAGTAACTTGAAATTCTGCTCCTCAATATCCCCATTCTTCCACATAGCAATCGCTTGTCCATCTTTGAGTTCAGGAATGTAACAGTTACCACAAAAGCGGTATGTCTCATCGACTGTGGGGTGTGGCTTCAGGATAACAGGAGCTCTATAGCCGAAAAAGACACAAACCTTGTCGCCGGGCTCCATGACTTCCGGGCCTATGCCACAGTACCCTTGTTTGGTGATGAAAAAACGACGCCCCAAACATGATCTCGAGAGTAGTTGAAACCTTTCAAGGTCACCGTCGGACCGTAAATCATGTATTTCTTCGTCCAGATATGGTCCAGTCCCTCCTATATATTGGAGATAGAGCAACAGGTTCATCATAACTGTTTTTGTAGTAGTTTTGGGCCAGGGCCATTTGGTTGAAACGATTCCTCCATCGATAGCTTCGCAAAAGGTTTGGAACAACCGTATAATGCTGACAAACCGGGAGCCTGAGCAACTATTTAAAAATTCTCCCCATGCTGTTGTCAATTGTGGTACTTGCCGTGTCCAAAAGAGATCCGAAACCCAATCCAAGGCATCAATTAGTATTCCCTTTGTCTTCAGACTGCGTCCGCTCAAAGAGAAATCCAGCGTAGTGTCGCCAGCAGCGTAACATTTCACGCCCAAAATCATGCCATACCGGTCTACATCCCACCGAGGAACCCAAGAGATAACGGCTTCAGTATTAGACATCGTTTCTTCCGTATGGGTGACAAAGTTTAAAATTGTTAAATCTTTGTCCATATTCAATAGCTGTCGAGCCAGCATGAAGTATGTCTCGTAATGAGACGATTCATAATCAATTGGTATAAAAGAATCCAGCCCGAGTACCTGTCGTCCTCTCTCAAAAGAAGGATGGGATAGGAGTGCGAAGACCTTGTCCTTTGGGTCAGAAGCGTTGAACATCCACCCCTTTAAGAGGATACTTAGAATTTTTGGGCCAGGGTCAACCTTGAATCCGAGGTTCCTTATAATATAAGGGGCAACTATCGGCCTGCCTATCAATCGATTAATAGTAAAGCTGTTTTGAAACACAGCCTCACAAAGCTGACAGAAACCGCTCCACGATATTACAGCACTCCCGCAAAATAGTGACGCATCTCTTGCTAGGCCCACTTCTTGTAAAATCCATATTCGCGAAAACCATGAATTTTTCAGGATGGCTTTTAGGTTGTTCCACCCCAGCGGAGGTACGGTTTCGAGAAATTTCACAAGTTTTTTGTGAACTTCGGGCGTTTCTACGGTTTCTGATGCTTCTGAATTTGATGTGAAAAAGGTTTTCGATTTAGATGTGGAAGATATCGCGGATGTCTTAACTTCCAATGTGAAAGAATTTACAAGATCAGCGATGATTTGTCCCTCCATATCCGCTGGCTTCCCTAGCCATATCAAGACTTTTGTCGCCCTACTGTAGATTCTACCCATGATGGATACTTGATGCCCACGTTCAAGCAGATTTCCTTGGTCGATACAAACGGCATCAGCCCAAACCGTTCGCGGGGCTTCCTGGTGCCGGAATCTTTGCAGGGCACCGAGTAAACTCTTGGTGACCTTTAGAAGCCGTCCATTGCATAGGACTTCAGCCGTATCATTTGGATCGCCCCAAGTGTACGATATGGCCTCGTATGAGGGAGAACCTTCGATTTGCTCGATGCATAGATCGCATTGGATTGGGTCTGTCCGTGGGCCAGGGAGAAGTCTCAAGAGGCGGAACGCTTCTTTGCTGTCCGAAAGTGGTTCATACTCGTAGCGCAATGTTGTTAATCCAGTGGCGGTAGGAGCATCCACAAAAGTTCTTTCTTCCAAGGACCTTAAAAAGGTAGGTAGGTCCATTTTCTTCATCTCTTCCTCCTTCTCCTTCTCCTTTTCTTTTTCTTTTTCATTTTCTTCTTCTTCTTCTTCTGTGTCGTCTTGTTTTTCTGCGGTGTCTTCTTCATCGTCCTCGTATTTTTCGCCTTTTTCATAACTTTCGCATTCCTCGTAGAATTCGTATTCAACTCCCTTTCCCTTTTGACCAACCTTCCCATTCTCCTCTTTGTCTGAAACAGATTGCGTTCCGGCGATGGACCATTCCGGAGAAGGTAATGCAGGTTCGTTCTTGACTTTGCGGATAACCAATGGATTTAGCACCTTTAGTGGCTGTGGAGTGGATTTTCTAGCCACCGGTACCATGTTGACCATCGTGCTGATACCACTTATTGTATTAAGCTCGCAACAGTGTTGAATGCGAAATTTCACATTCTAAACATAGAGGCAGGCGAAGGGTACAACGTGACCGAACAGTGAGTTTAGTCTTGGAGAGAATCAGGAAGCGATTACTGTCAGCAGACTCCAAGGGCAGGCTTGGATTATAAAACAGGTGCTTGCACTAACGCCAGCCTCATGCATCACGATATTAAGCCAAGGCTAAGTTGGAACATCCCACTTTGTGGCACCTAAAACCACCTACACCAATGTCAGCCCGTCATTATGTGGCGCCCAACGACAAAGCTCCACGTAGAAATCATCAATTCCGAGTTCAAGTAAGGCTGTGCATGCAACTAAAGCCTTGTTGTCCGAAAATCATTTCGACTTGGAAGAAGCTCAAAAGAAAATGTTGGCTTACTCTAGGCGTAATCGGAGGCACCCACCGGTTATTAGCCAGCCTTTATCCTGTAAAGCAACGCCAGGCAAGAAGCAGGGACTTAGCCACAGTCCGGTGATAAAAAGTCACCCCGTACAGCAGCAGCATCACGCACCTACACTCAAATATCCATAAAAACTTACACACTTTTCCTACCCGGAACCCCATCACACGTCTGCCCATACCAGCACCATAAGTCCAAGCACAGCAGCAGCATCAACAGAAGAGCCCGAAGAAGATGGCGATTGTGGTTGTGATCGTGGATGGTAACTAGCATTCGATGATGGCGTTACCTACGACATCCCCGCTGGGCACGTGACGTCGCACGCTCGGCCCCGCGTCGCATCTCAAGTTTGCTCACGCACCACTTGCAACCCCGCCGTGCCCGCAATCACCAACCACACTTTGCAAAAATGGAGGCTCAGATCAAGGAGTGGCAGGAGAAGGCCACCAAGCTCGCTCCCCTCAACCTCAAGGCCATTGAGGGCCAGCTCGCCGAGCTCGACGCGCACCTTACCCTTCGCTCGCACATTGTCGGCTACAGCCTGACCGACGCCGACACGACCGTCTGGACGACTCTGAGGAACAACCGCGTCGCCCATGCCTACATCAAGCAGAGTTTGATGGTGAACCTGTCCCGTTGGTTCCGCTACATCGAGGAAGCATACCCGCAGCAGACGAAGCTACCCGAGCGCCCCGCGAAGAAAAGTGGCGCGGCCGAGGAAAAGAACGAGAAGAGCGATGCGGCCAACTACAACATTGGCCTGCAGGATACTGAGCACGGCGTCGTGACCCGTTTCCCCCCCGAGCCCTCAGGCTACCTTCACATCGGTCACGCCAAGGCCGCCTTGCTGAACGACTACTTTGCGCACGAGAAGTACAAGGGCACTCTTCTCCTCCGTTTCGACGACACCAACCCCTCCAAGGAGAAGCAGGAGTTCCAGGATGCCATCGTCGAGGATCTTGCTCTTATGGGCATCACCCCGGACAAGACCAGCTACACTAGCGACTACTTCCAGGAGCTCTTCGACTACTGCATTAAGCTGATCAAGGATGGTAACGCTTATGCCGACGACACTGCCCAGGAGCAAATGCGCGCGGAGCGTATGGACGGCATTGCCAGCGGAAGGCGCGACAGCTCCGTGGAGGACAACTTGGCTCGCTTCGAGGAGATGAAGAAGGGCACCGAGGAGGGCGTCAAGTGGTGCATCCGGGCCAAGATGTCCGTTGACGACCCCAACAAGGCCCTCCGTGACCCCGTCGTGTACCGCTGCAACCCCGAGTCGCACCACCGCACCGGCGCCACCTGGAAGATCTACCCCACGTACGACTTCTGCTGCCCCATTGTCGACTCGCTCGAGGGCGTCACGCACGCTCTGCGTACCACCGAGTACAAGGACCGCGACGCGCAGTACCAGTGGTTCATCAAGGCGCTCCAGCTCCGCAACGTGTACAACTGGGACTTTGCGCGCATGAACTTCATCAAGACGCTGCTGTCAAAGCGCAAGCTGACCAAGTTCGTCGACACGGGCTTCGTGTGGGGCTGGGACGACCCGCGCATGCCGACCGTCCGCGGCATCCGCAGGCGCGGCATGACGATCCCCGCGCTGCGCGAGTTCATCCTGAAGCAGGGCCCCAGCAAGAACATTGTCAACCTGGACTGGACCACGTTCTGGGCCACGAACAAAAAGTACATCGACCCCATTGCCGGCCGCTACACGGCACTCGCGTCCGACAACAAGGTCCCTGTCACGATTGTCGGCTTTGCCCACCCGGGCCCTTACACGGAGGAGAAGCCGCTGCACGCCAAGAACGCCGACGTCGGCATGAAGAAGGTGACGTACAGCGCGGAGATTCTGCTCGAGCAAGCCGACGCGCAAGGCTTCGTGCAAGACGAGGAAATCACGCTCATGAACTGGGGCAACGCGATCGTGCGCAAGGTCAACCACTCAATCAACCCGGTGCACCTGCTGAAAGACACGCAAGACAAGCCGGTGACCAGCGTGGAGCTGGAGCTGCACCTGCAGGGCGACTTCAAGAAGACGTCCAAGAAGCTCACCTGGCTCAGCACGGCGCAGGACCTTGTCCCCGTCGAGCTCGTCGACTTCGACTTCCTCATCACTAAGGACAAGCTCGACGAGGACGACAACTACGAGGACTTCCTCAACCCCAAAACCGAGATCCGCACCCAGGCTCTCGCCGACCAGAACGTCGCCAAGCTCAAGGTCGACGACGTCATCCAGTTTGATCGCCGCGGCTTCTTTAGGGTCGACAAGGCTTTCCAGCATGGTCAGCCCGCCGTCTTGTTCCAGATCCCGACGGGCAAGTCGAAATAAGCTGGCCTGCGGTATGAGTGACGATGCGCTTCTTTTTTTTTGCCAGACGTAGAAATGTAGCTGCAGCTCTGATTTTTTGCAGAGGTAGAAAAATGACACTAAAAAGACACTTGATTGACTGCAAAGTTGCATGGGAGGAGGGCGTGAAAGCGATGGACTATGCTGTGAGACCTGCATGCCATATGTACATATGACACCCAACGGCCCCGTCTGGCTTTCTGTTCGCGGGACTAGGATCTTACGTGTACAGTAGCTATGTATATACATAGCCAGCCAAGCCAGCCAAGCCAGGCCCAACCGTAGCCAGCAGCCTTCGCGTCTTTATCCTCGCAACCAGTCATCCCTCCCTCTTCCCCGAATCAATCCATCCATCCACCCCAGCCTCAATCGTGATTTCTCTCCTACACACACACACGCACACGCACACAAGCATCCCCTATCCATCAACCCATCGATCCCCGACGCGCGCCGTGCGCGCTTTCTCGCCCATCCCACCCCATCTAATACTGTGGCCAGCAGTGGCGGCAGTGGCAACGACAGCGGCAGCCAGAAGAAGCCAGAAGACTCGGCCCATCCGACCGGTCCACTACAGCACTACCCCGCTCCGCCGCCATCCGCCATCCGCCATCGTCGAGTCGCAGAGGTTTCTACAATCCGCACCGCCATGCCCCAGGACCAGACAGACAGGTAGGTAGGTAGGTAAGGTAGGTTGGCTAGCATAGGCTCCCCACCCCCTGTCCTGCGCTGCGCTGCCCCTCTTTTGCTAATGGAAAGGATGCTCTTTTCGCTTTTTGCTTCGCTTTGCTTCATTTGCTGTAACGCGCGGTTCAGCTTTTTCCATTCACTCACTCACACGCCGCCTCAAAGGAACCCCGTTTCGGTGCGAATTTAGAAAATTAACCCTTTCCGCCATCAATCGTAGTTGCCCAGGCCGATCTGGCTCGCGAATGCCGTGCTGACGCTGCGCGCGTCGTCATCTTCGGTCGGTACACCGTAGCCGCCGCGGACAGGGGCGCCGCGGCCGTAGCCAACTGGGCCGGGCTGGCCGCTGGACTCGACGTAGCGCTTGAGACGATCGGACTGGGACAGCGAGGTCGGCTTGCTGAGGTCGTTGAGGCTGAGTCCGGCCAGGGAAACACCTCCTTGCGCTACGCCGCCCTTGCCGTCGACGGTGCTGCCGTTGGTATCGGTGAGTTCGGATGCGGCGACGCTCTCGCCGGCAACACTGCCCGCGACGCCTGGGTGCTTGCCGTTGGGCTTGCCGCCAACCGGTCCGCGAGGTGCACCCGGAAGAGAAGGCCAGGCCTCGGTGAAGCCCTGGAACATGGGCGGATAGTTGGAGTTGACACCAACGCCACCAAGCGCGGAGCTGTGGACAGAGCTGACGTCGTCCGGAATATAGCCGACAATGGAACCATTGTCGTTGTACTCGTGAGGCTGGCGGGGCTTGCCGTTCATGCCCACACGGCTGGCGCCCGAGGTCATGTTCGAGGCATGCTGGAACGCCATCTGGTAGCGCTGGGGGCCGCGGTAAGAGGTCTTGGGGCGGGAGAACTGAAGTAGAGAGACCTGCAAGTTGGAGAGAGGGCCCTCGACGAGGCAGTTGCGCTCCTTGAAGTGCAGGAGAAGGTAGTGCCACAGCGGGTGCTTAGACAGCACCTTAGGGTTACCCAAGATGACGAGACCGTACTTGGCACGAGTAAGAGCGACGTTGAGACGGCGCGGGTCCGAAAGGAAACCGATACCCTGATGATCGTTGGAACGAACGCAAGATAGGACAATGTAATCCTTCTCACGACCTTGGAAAGCGTCGACGGAAGCAACTTCGATTTCCTTGTAGTTCTCCTTCTTGAAGGTGCCGTTGGCCTGCATAGAACTGACAACGTAGCTGCGCTGTCCTTCGTAGGGCGTAATGATACCAATGTCCTGGGGCTTGACACCAGCCTTGAAGAAGCGGGTGACAATCTTCTCGACGTTGGAGGCTTCCGTGCGGTTAAGGTAAGAGGTACCAGAGGCGGAGATTTCCTCGTTGCCAAGGTTGGACCAGAACATCATTGGCGAATCCGAGACCGGCCAGGGGAAGTCGATTTCGCGACGAAGACGCGACTCCCGCGTGACACCGTTCTGGAGAGATCCCTCATAGAACATGTTCGAGGGGAATTCCGACAAGCACGGGTGCATACGGTACTGGACCTGCAGACGGATGGGAGCACAGCCTAAGATGACGAGACGCTCGAACAGAGACTGGTTGAGACCAGCCTTGGCAGCCTTCTTGTTCATAATGACAGGACCCAGCTGCTGGTGGTCACCGACGAGAACAACCTGCTTGCAGCCCAAAACGAGAGGAATCATGCACTCTGGCTCGGCAGACTGGGTGGACTCGTCAATGAGAACAGTGCGGAACTTGAACTTGGCAAGACGCGGGTCACCAGCACCAACGCAGGTACAGCAGATGACGTCGGCGTTTGTCAAGATCTCGCGCTCCGCAGCGCGAGTGAGCTGCTTGAACTTCTTCTCGTCTTGGCTGGACAGTTCACCGAGTTCGCTCTTGAGCTGGTTCAGCTTGTTCAGCTCGACATTGGTATCGTTCATGCGAACTTGCTCGTGAAGAGACAAGAAGCCAACCGGAGACTCAACATCCTCCCTAGACTTGGCCGTGACACGAACAGTCTTCAGGCCGGTAAGGTGGATACGCTCGCAAAGCTGATCGACAGCAACGTTGGAGGGAGCGCAAACCAGCACCTGACCGCCGTTGATCTTGGCCAGGTGGTAGATAATGGTGGCAGAAGTGACCGTCTTACCAGTACCGGGAGGACCCTGGATCAAGCTGAGAGGCTTCTGCAGAACGCTCTTGACGGCGTTGATTTGGGAGCCGTTGAGCTCCGGCAGGCCAGGGACGCTGAACTTGCGGGGAAGTTGAGTCTTCATGGGCGCGGCAGCAACTTCGTGACCTAAAAGACGGTGGAAAATGTAACCGGAAACACTCATCTCGTCTATGGCGAAAGTCTTCATAGCATGCTGCATGCGGTCGAAAGAGGTAGCCTTCCAGACGTAGTCGGCAGTGAAGTTGTGGGTGCACTCGGTAGGCACAGACTTATGGTCGCCCTTGGTGCGCAACTCAATGGTGACCTCGTCAGACTGGTTGTTGGGAATCTTGATGACGTATCCGACACCTTCCCAGTGTGGCCTGAGCTCGCCGGTGTAGCGCAGGCGCATTTCATCTCCAACAGCCAGCTTCACGTCTCCCAGTTCGAGTTTAGGAAGGACGAAGCTGGCAAGGTGCTTGTTGTTCAGACCAAAATCCCAGCGCACGATAAGTCCATCCTGCGACTGCGATTCCTTGAGCTTGCGGTCATAATCGGCCTCAATCTTAACCAGCGGACCGAAGACATTCTGGTACTGGTACGCATCGTCGTAGCGAAGCAGAACCGGGGCAGGCTCGTCGTCGACACCGACACCCTTCTCCAAGTCGGCAATGGTAGCATTGCTGTTATCCTTCCACATCTCTTCGAGCTTGGCAATCATCTGCGGGCTGAGGTGGCGAGCGCGGAGCTGCTCCTGGTCAGAAGGTTGCGACACGAGCCAAGGCAGGAACGAGCGATCCTCAATCAATGGCTGCCAGCGCGAAGTATCCCAGTTCATATCCTTGGAGGAAGGCATGGCGGCGCAAGGCTGGCGACAGAGCAAGACAACAACGGTATCCGACTTGGCCGGGATGAATCCGAGCAGGAAGACATTCTTGGTGCCGCAGTTGTAGCATTCGAGAACGGTATCGCCGAGCGATGAAGCGGGATGCAGCTGGACTTCCTTGTGGCGAGCGCGGACCAAGTGGTTGATGATGTGCGAAGACGAGGTATTGCCACGGGCGGAGCAGAACCATTTGCTGCAGGAGAGACACTTGACTACGGAACTGGCATTGTGGATACCGCAGTAACTGGACTTGTTAGCACATGCGCGCAGAGACGGCTCAGGACATGGCAAGCTTACGCGCAGGCGTGCGGCGGCAGCTCAACCTCCTCCTCGGCCTTTTGTCCTTGCTTGCCGACGGCCATGCTGGCCATGCTCTCCAGATCATCATCGTCGTATGCTTCGCCATCTTCGTCGTCATCGAGTCTGCGGCGGCGGCCGTTCAGGTTGCTGCGACCGAGGTCTCCGTCCAGGATGCTTTCATCGTCACCGGCGTTGATGGTCGAGGCGGAGTCGGAGATTAAGTGGTTGCCCAGGTGGGTGAAAGCGCCCTCCATGGTTGCAGCAGGAGCCCTAGGCAGAGGCTGTTGCTCGGAGGGAGTTGATCGGGGGGCGCTGCGGGGGAAGTTAGTATAGTGGAGGAGCTTGGGTTGCGGATGATGAGGCAAAATGCTTGAAGTGGGAGACGCTGCAGTGCACGGGCCGTCCGCCGAGTGGCTTGCTGTTGACGACCCGCGGCACAACAGCATCCAAACGGCGCATTATTCTTCTGCTTTTTGCTGCTTACTACTGCATTCCAGTTTACTACTGTTGCTTCTGCTGCTTCTACGAGCCAACCCACATGCATGTATTGTTATGTATATGTTAGTATGTAGTTCTCAGGCAGGTCCAGGCCGCGCAGGGACCAAAGCCCGCGTGTTAAAGTCCTGGCCGAAGCCAAAAGCACAGGAGTAGGTACATGCGTCTGCGGGGAATCAAAGCGCATCTGGACGAATCAATCCAACTGCACTCGGTCCACACGCTTCTTTGAAACCTCTGCACGCACACAACCCTCTCGGCCACGACTTAAGCCATCCCGACTCGGGCCCTAGGTGTCGATCTTAGATATCGTGCTATCTTCGGCTCCGCCAAAAAAAAGTTGACCACTGCCTTCCACACCGTCATAGTCCACACTGCTATCTTCTACCTTATCTCGATACCCCAGACGGCATGAATACTGTATCTGTAGATTCTCGCGAGCTATATGTGGCCTTTGCTAATATAGCTATGAAAGTGTATGACTCTGCCGTTTCGCCTGTTCTCACTGTAGGTAGGTACTTGGTCACTGTAAAAGGCTGGCTATCGAAGCAAAGGGACGTGCGTACGGTAAATTCTAGGCCTACTACTTTGCCATGGCTACAGCTACCTATACCTTTGGCAGTGTGGCAGCACGTCAATAATCACCTTACCCGCAGGATTCTTACAACGCATTTATCAGAAAAAATTGATTTCTTATCAGGTTCTTTGAAAAAAAAAAAAAAAAAAAAAAAAAAAAAAAAAAAAAAAAAGCCAGCACCATGGAGTAGTCGAGACACGCAAGAAGCATCATAGAATCCTACTAGCAACGCCTACTATGCGGACCGCAAAAAGCATTCACACTCCATTTAGGAAACATCGAACTCTACCTACCTACCTTCGGAACCAGAGGAATTTCTCTCCCACCCCGTACAGCAACGTTCGCCTTAGTAAGACCTCACTCGGCTCCTCCCCGGAACACCTCCCACACGATGTCATCGCCCAGGTACCGCTCATACTCGTAAAGTGAGCCAAGGGGCCGTGGGCAGCGACGGACAGGGAGCGCGCAAGAGTGGGATACACGGTCCCCAGCAGTGAGGCAAAACCGCTCGAGGCAGAGATTGCAAGTGGGTTATTGCAAGATTGCTCGGCATCCATACGGCGAATCCGTCGTCCAGTAAGACAATGAGGATCGATATCGGGCAGCTTCAGGTACTCCGTAGGGCGGCAGAATCACATGCGAATGAGCAGGCGCGAAGAAGAAAAAAAGAGCAAGGGCGTTATGACGGCAGGAAAGCAAGCATCCGGGGTGCAAGAAGCACTCGGAACAATCTACTCAAGACGGGGTTGGGCATCATCATCAGCGAGACGGATGGCGGCAGCATTATCATTATCATCATCGTTCGTCATTTGCCCTCAATGACGCTCTCGGATCGCCTGCAAGCGCGTTTCACCACTCCAACCGCCGAGGACAGCCGAAGTGGCAAAGGGTGATGGAGATGCGCAGGCGCCTAACCACATGGCCACCACCACGAGCGCGAATCCATAGTGGCACTGGCACCGACAGGATACAATATTGTAGATGATGAAGTGGATAGGCCGGCCCGACCACCTCGCCGTGCACCGACCCAGCACTCACTGTCGCAGCACAGAGCAAGCCGATCAAACACGCCTACAAACGCCCTGACACAGCTATTCAGCACCCACCAACGCCATCAACTCATCCCCTCCCTCTCCTCGTCTTTCTCTCCCAATCCCATCGCCACCGCCACCGCACTCGCCTCTCTCCCCTCGCCCAGCACAGCACAGCCACGCCCCACCCACCGCGCGCCTCAAACGTCACCCCCACCGTCCCGCCGTGCTCGCTCCCCGTCGTCTCTACTACGTATGTGGTAGGTGAGCTCGCCTCAACGCAGGGTGCAGCACGCAAGATGAGGATGCGCGCGCCGGGAGCAGCCGTCGCGATCGCCGCGCTCCATGCTATAGTACGCACGCGAGCGCTGGGCGGGCGGGGCGGCTGGCAGTGGCTGCGAAAGGGGAGTGCGTGGATCGAAGTACCTACGTACCTACGTACCTACGTACCTACCTATGGGAAGAAGGACGGGCGGGCGGTAGTGGAGCTTGCTCGCAAAGAGTGAGACACGGCGAAGGGGGCGGAGCTGAAGGTGCGTAACAGGACCTACGGATCAGGGAGCCTCGGAGGCCATGGTGGTGATGGAAGGGGATGGGACGGGATAGGCATGGCTGCGCGGTGACATGACATGACATTTTGCAGCGTCCAAGTGACGTGCCGCCCATCGTTGCTCCATCCTTCTCGCAAGCGCAGCTCAGGGTCTTCGGGGAGCCTCCGTATCTCGCCCGTCTGCGCTCATCAAACCGCACACGCCAAGTTGGCCTTCTTCGCTCGCGCCCCCTGTGGGCGTCTCCTCCCCCTCCTCGCGACTCTCCCTGCTGTGCTTGCTACCCCTACTAGGCCCATACCACGTACCCACTTTGCGCCCTCCCCCTACAGCCAGCCTAGGTACTTACTCGTGCGTCGTAGCCGTCTCCGTCCGCGGGCAGTGTCCCTCAGTAGGTAGGTACGGTATTGTACAATATCAGTCACAGATCGTGCCCACCTCAGCACGCCCCCATCTTCATCACCAACCAGCAACAACAACAACAACATCATCACAACCACTCATAGGTACCTTCCAGCTTCCCAACACCCAACTCGCGCTCCACACCCAACCCGCCCCCCCCCCAGCACGCCACAACAGGTAGCACGCAGCACGCAGCACCGCCCGCCCTAGTCTCCGAAACAAATGAATGAACGACCAGGCGATCCGCAGTCCGCACGCCCAAAACGGCCCCAGCGCCCAGCAGCGCCAGCGCGCCGATCAAACGCGCTGCCTGTGCTGCCGCAAGTCCAAGTCCAAGTCCAGCAGGGCAACAGCCACAGCCCGTCCATCCGCACGCATCCGTCCACACGTGCGCTCGTCCACCCAGCGACTGACGTCACGGCACGGCCGCGGTTAAGGTGTGGCGACACGTCCGGCCTGCTGGGGCCTGCGACTCGCGACGACATGATTGCCATTTGCCATTGCCCGACGGAAGGTGACGGCGACGATTGACGAGTCGCACGACTCCGTATCTAGAGTACCTACTCATACAGTGAGGCGCGCCTCGCCCGCGCCCTGTCTGTGCCTGTGCTCGCTCGCTCGCTGCGCAAGTGAGGCGGCGAGCCGGAGGCCACCGGCCCAGCGATGCCGCGACGCGCTGCGCGACACGATGCCGATGCCGATGCCGATGCCGATGCTGAATGATGGCGCCATTGCTTTGACATGTCTTGTCTTGCCTTGTCTTGTCTTGCTGAAGGAATGACTTGTACATACAATATTGTAACCACCTCTCCACCTAGAGTACTTTGCGTAGCTACTTTAATATCTATGTAGACGAGCAATCGTCCGAGATATCTCCCCCCTATGCCTCCCCTTCCCTTGCGTTGGGGGCTCGCCAATCAAGGCGTGGCGGTGGATTGGGTGATGTTTCTTGGCCTCGCGTACGTACGCTGCTGGTAGGTACGAGTACTTCTAGGTAGGCGCGTAGGTAATCCGTCCGTACGTACCCAAGTACCTAGACTAGGGCATGTAGGTACCTGTCCAAGCAAGGTGGCGTATCTAACAGCAGGGAGGGAGGAGGAGCAGGCCCGCGCATTGCTTATCAAGGCAAGAACCTACATACCTACGCCCTGCCCTAGGTACTGTACATACGGCACGGCACCCATTATACCGAGGGCCGTGGCAATGGCATTGGCATTGGCATTGGCACGTAAGTACGTAGGGCTGGGCAAGGCTGTGTCGAAGCGGAGTGGAGCGTGTGGGACCAGCGTAGTGTGGTAGGGTAGGTAGATAGGCACGGTACCTAAGGCGAGGCTGGCTGCGCTGCGCCGCCGCCACCTAACTGCTAGGTACGAGTCGTCGGGGATGCCGAGGCGGGCGAGCGAGCAAAAGTGCCGGGAGCGAGGCAAGTTGGATGCGAGGAGGTCGCCGTGCCGGCCTCGCCGACGACCCTCGCATGGATGGGATGGGAGAGCGAGGCTCTGCGCTGCGCGGCCTGGCGGACGAGCGTCATCGCCCATCGCCCATCGCCCATCTAGGTACCTACGCTACGCGCCGTGGCGCGGCTCAATCAATCTCGCTCTCGCACTGGCATTGGCCCTGGCATCAGATACGAGATTAGGCTTTGTGCTTTGAGCCTTTCCAGCCGCACTACTCATAGACGAGGGACAGCACTCTAGTTAGCTGGTGCGTGCTAGCGCGGCTAGCTCCGCTCCGTCTGCTACTCGTACTACAAGCAACAACTGCCTGCTTGGGCAAGCGGGGCGAGCGTGGCGTCTGCGAGCAGTGTGTGAGCCCCAGGGGCATTGATTAGTTACGAGTAATTCCTACCCACCTACCGCGGGCATCGAGCAAAGCGAGCGGGAATAACGCGCAGCAGCGCGGGAATAGCGAGTAGAGCAGGCATGCTGCAAAGTGAGCGAGCCGCGGCCTACCTACCTACCTACCTACCTACGTAGATAGATACGATATTGTATACGATGCGATCTACGCCAGCAACGAAAGACTACTCTACCTACCTACCTAGGTAGGGGAGGCTCATCAGCGCCGCAGGCCCGGCTATCCGCCCTTCCGGCCTGCTTACTCGTACATACAGCTTACGGGCACCAAGCCAGCCCGCGCCGTGCCGAGCTTGCCGAGCCCGCCGCGTCGCCAGTTGGTGGCGTCGCCCGGCACGCGCAAGAGGGCGTATATTGCGAGATTAACTAGCCCGCGGGATTGGCTTGCCAATTACTGCTGCAGTGCAGTGCAGTGCAGTGCTGCCTGGAATACGGTGTGTATGTACGCGCACGAGCACGAACCATGAGCCATCAGCCATGATGGAAGGATCGGGGAAAAAGCAAAAAGCAAAAAGCAAAAAGAAAAAGGCAAAAGTAAGATGGATGGATGGAGATAAAAATATATCTATCTAGGTGGGGGGACGCGATAAGCGTGCGTGCTGTGCTGTGCTGTGCTGTGCTGTGCTGTGGTCGTGGTGGCGCAGCTTGCTTCCTGTGCCACCACCCACCGTTTTGGGGTCCTCCGTATGGATGGGCTGAGAGAAAGACGCATACTCAGATCCTTCGAACCAAGAACCAACCCGCTAGCCCCTCAGCTCCCGCGCCGGCGCGCGGCATCCCGCACTAGCTCCACCTAGCCAGTTTCGTGTCGACTGCGCCGAGCCGTGCCGCTGCCGCCCTAACTAACTACTGCGCGCCAGCGCGGCCTGGCGGGCAGCGAAAAGGGCGCACATGGCGTACACACGGCGTGCATACTCTAGCCTGTGTGCGTGCAATCGCGCTCACGAGAAAGACACACAGAGGGAGGCACAGAGACAGAGATACAGAGACAGGCGCCAGCCGCCAAATACAGCATAGCATAGCATACATACAGAGATAGTTAGCCAATTCAGCCCACCCCAAAGTATAAATATTCGATATCCAAATAGTGGTCGAAAAGAAGAAGAAAAAGAAGAGAATAAAGTAAAGTATCGTATGCATATCCCAAGCCCCTCCGCCCTTCCTTTCCTTTCCCTTTCCTGCATACAGAGGTAGCTACAACCTACAACCCGAGAACCCCCCTATCACCGCCACCACCACCACCACAAAAAA